AACATAAGCAGTCTGTATTACATTTGTGTCTATAGTTACAAAATACTTCGTCATCACCAAATAAACAATCAACTATCCCATTACAAAATTGTTTTAAGTATAGGAATAAGGTTTGGCTTGTACATTTGAAATAACCACTTGGAGAAAATGTATCTGTCAATATTCATTTATTAGTTTATTCATTTATTCATTCATCCATCAATTGGATTTTACCACAATTCATTTCATCATCACCAAGTGGACAATGGTTGATATTATCACAGATATTGTTTACTGTAATACAATAGCCGTATTCTTGGCATTTATATTCTCCAATACCACAAATTGTGTCTTTACATCTCACCGAATCATGGAATGGAAATTGTGTTTTAGAAACTAAATTTCTCATAGAATCGTAAACAAGTCTACACCTTGTTGTTTCCGTAAGGTTTAAATAAGCTCTCATTATATTTCTATTATTTAAATATGTTTTCTCCAAGCAATCTCCTCTTCCTTTATATCTGTAATCTTTTCTTGTAACATTAACTTTAAAAATTTTCTTTTCAGCCATTATATCATGAAAATTTCTCGAACAATAATCAAAGGATTCTTCATTATCATTTGCTTCCAAACAATCATTATTTCCATCGCATGTTTTTGATATATGTATACATTTTCTTTTACATTTAAATTGATATATACCACATTCTGAGAGAGAAATAAAAAGAAAGGATGCTTTTATATATCTTATATATTTGAAATATTAATTATTTATAGTAATAATAAACCTTCAGTGCAATTTTCATCACTACTGTCGAAACAATTTCTTTCATTATTACACCTATATTGTTTGTTTATGCATTGTCCATTTGAACATTGAAAACTGCTTATATAAGGAATTCAGAATATATATAATTTACTTTCGAAGAAAAATTAAATAGAACCTTGCTTCGTTGTTACATTTAAAATCTTATAGAAAATATTTGTGTATAATGTTTTGTTTTCCTTATTCGATAGATATTTTCAACTTACAGCAATTTTTTTCATCACTTTTATCCGAACAATCCTGAATTGCATTGCAAACGAATCTTAATGCTATTTTCTCACCATTTTCACAAGTAAAACTTCCTTCTGATTTGCATTCTAGTTCATCATTTCCACTTGGACAATCAAAATTTCCATCGCAAACGTAATATGCACTTATACAAAATCTTTCTGGTGAACATTGAAAATTATTCTCACCACACGATGTAACATTCTGTAAACTAAGACTTCTTCCCAGATAGTTCTCTTCAATCCATTTTTTCTCTATATATGTATATAATTTTGACCAAGTTGTTAATAACTATTGACTTACCTATTTTTTTTTCGCAGATAACTGAAAAGAGAAATTTAAATTTACAAGAATGACTTTCACAATAACCAATTGACCAAGCAAGACAGTCAGAATCAAGATGACATTTAATGGTATTTTGCATATTCTCTTTAAATCTATCAGTACAAGAATTTAATTTCCGGTCTCTGCAAGAAATTTATAATTTTCGTTATATATGTCTTTATACTATTTATATTATTAAAGAGGAAATAGGTACTTTTTATGTGGCGGTGCATTATAAAATTCAAATATTTCGAGTGGGACGCCATCGGATGAAACTTTAACTTTTCTTAATGAAGAGTCAATCCTTGTATCATGGCCTATTTTTTTTTAAATAAACATTTCTTAAAAATATAATATTCATAAATTCACGATAAATAAGTGACTAGCCTACTGCCATGATAGGAACTAGAAAAAAAAAGATTAACAGGAATTCAAGGTATTTCAGTTTAACAAAGTATATTTATACTACCCGAAAGCGACGACCTTTTCCAAAGAAGCGGCCTTTGGAAGAATATATTATGCAAGATTAATTGTTCATGAGATGTAGTTATACTACTAATTGACATATTTTGGGATTCACAATATGCCTTAAAATCATAATATGATTGAGGTGAGTTAAAATTCTTAACGATGTAACAACTCTCTTCAAAGTAAATACTCTTTTCAGGACATTGGAAACCTTTAAAATTTTGAATGAATTTTGAGTTTTTTTTTTTTTAATTTTCTCTAACTAAACAACCATAATCTTTATATTTTGAACATCTCACATCTAATAAAACCTCCAACTTGAATTCTTTATGAAATGGTGTAAAAATACAACGTTCAATGGTATGAGGATTGTTCATACAATTCATTTTTAGGGAATACTTCCTAGTCACCATAGAGGACTCATAAACTGACATACCGCTATAATATCCAAAATAACTACAAATTAACTTAAAAATAAAATTTGAATAAGTAGTTAAATGCTTTGTTTTGTAATATTCTAAAAACAATCATAATATTACCAGAACAGTTCGTTCATTCAATAAATCTGCTAGAACGTTCGTCCAAACAGATTTAATCTTAAATTGTAAATGGCCTCTAATGTAATTCGACACATTCATAGTATTACTCTTAGCAGTTGTTTCACCATCAGCTAAAATCCGAAAATTTCCACTTGCACTGTCTAATAGTTAATTGTTTATAACCTTATAGTATAGTTATAGTTTTTACCTAATGGAGAAGTTTCACATTGGATACTACAAAGAGTAAGAAATTGTTGTTTGGCTGATTGTTCTTTTAGTTTACAATTTCTTAAACTTGTATCAGTTTGAGTACAATCGAAATACATTCGTTTTGATTCTAGATCATAGAGATTGTTTACTAGTTGCTTAGCTTTAATGCATGTTGAAGTAAGTAAATAATAAGTTTGAGAAAATTCATTTAAAAGTTCACATAGAAAATTAGCTACATTCTTCCTTTTCAACTTGGATGAAAAATAGATTGGTATTGGACCATATTGAAAAGTTTGTAAATATGGTACAACTCTAAAAATCCTTCTACGATCTGTTACTGTATACATATCTGCTATTAAATCTTTCAAGTTGTTTTCAAGAGATATATCTACATAATAACGAATATGAATAATTACTCTAAAATTATTAATTAAATAAATACCTTCATAAGCTGAACTATGGCATTGGTAAATAGAGCAACTTTTAGTTGTAATATATATTCCATTGCCTTCAGAAAATACCATGTATTTGTTAATGGAAACGCTTCTGTTTTGTTGAGTTTTTAAAACTTTTGGACATACTTGGCTTTGTCTCTTTTCAGTACATAACCAGTAAAAATCATTTAAATAACGAACTGCTACTGCCTCTGTCGTATCAAATCTAAAAAAGGCTATAAATAAAATAAGACATTAGTTTTAACAGCTTGCGATTAAATACTTTTTTATAAAAACAAACTAGGTGAGGATTTCTTAAGACATCTTACACATATTATATTCCTCATAACTCGAGTTCTACTGCAAATATTTGGTCTCCTAATTAATATTTAAGAAGATATTTAAGTAACTAAATCAATAAGGATAATAATAAAATAACTACACGGTACATTTGAAATCCTTTCCTTCTCCTGTACATGACAATTTTGAAGATATTGTTACTGTAAAAAGTATGTAATTAACATTACTCAACTAATATTTATAATTATTGATTGAAATTCTTACAGGAAAAATATGGACAAGAGATCATTTGTTGATATAAATTATCATAACCTTTTCTTGTACAGAAAGTTTTTATCAGCAATGGTATATTTGAACCAATATGCTCTTTTTCTTCCATTGGATAATCAAAGAATATGACTTTACTATTGATGTTTAATGATATAGGTCCAAAATCGCTTACTCTATCTTTCTCATAAATACGAAAAAATTCCATAGGGTCGACTCCTACTTGAATTATTTTATCAATAGAAGAGCACGGCCTTATATTTTGCCTATTGGCAGTTTTTGTTTTATTAAATAATAAACAGCAGAGTAGTATTAAAGTGAGTAAATTATTTGACAAACTTTTAAAGTTTATCATTGTAAAGACTATTGCTTTTGTACTCCTTTTCTCCTATGATAATGTTTTTGACATTTTTACTCTTATAGCTTGTTTTTTAACAGATCATATTAATTTATTAATTAACAACTTGTTAAAATACATTTACTAATGTTTTTATTAATTATACATTGAAGAAATTTAAAGACTAATATAATGTTTTTGTTTATAAAATGAAACCTGATAGAAAATTCCAACTTTTCTATCATTAATAGATTTTATTTCTATATTTATGAGACAAAAATGATAATTATATACATTGTTTCAAGCACAAAGAATGAAAGAAAGAAAAGAGAAAGCGAAAGATATGTATCTTTATAGAGTTTATATATTTCAACGACGCTGACAATCTTCATGATTTGGGAACCATCTGCAAAAATTTACCTGATACACTTGAGGTCCAAAAAATCTTTTAGCCAGTCTTTTTGCTGTTGAACAGTTTAAATTTCTTGAATTTTCCTGACAGGTTGTAAAAGAAATCTTTGATTGTAGAATTAAGCATGTTGACTTGTCGTAGAGTATTTGACAAAGGGAATATTCTTTAGCTTCTTCAGGCTTTTTATCAAGCTAGTTTGTTTTAATAAAAAAAAATAAGAATAGAGATAACGGAAGAGAATATAAGTTTACATTTAAGCTATTTTTATCGATTGTTTTGATATATATATTAGTATACAGTATATATACTGTATACATTGTATATATTACCGTAAGATTAATTTCTTCGCAAGAACACAATGTGCAGAATACCAAATAAACTGTAATGAATATCTTATACATCATACTATTTAGGCTGTCTTCAACGACCTACTGTAACTAACCTAGTAAGGTTTTTATGTTTATATACTTGGATAGGATTTTCTCTAATTTGATACCACATATTTAATGCTTTTCACTTTGATAAATAGCTATTGTAAACTATGGGTTTAGGTTATTGTCTTACATTATAGGCTTTTTGTATCGATAGACATTACTGTATAATATAGACTTCTACGTCTTCTATATACACTTTTAATCTTGTTTATAACAATGAAATGAAAACAAAATGTTATAGTTTATTCATGAATAGATATATACTTTGTATATTGGCATAAGATAAAGTCAATATTCAGTAATTCTTGCAAATCCTTTTTAAACTGATCGTAATAGGATGGAAAATCTTTCCAATTATCATAATACTCAACAATCTCTCCTTCAACAAATAAATCTTGTAACTTTTTTGACGCTTCATCCTCCCTCTTACCGCATTTTCCATCAACAAGTAAATTTCTTGATCCACTCTTTAAAACTGATTGGCAGATGATATGCTTCATCATACTTTCGTCTATTTCTTCCCAGAAAAATTGTTCCTCTGTCCATTTTAGCCAGTAACTTTTAAAATTCGGAATGAGTCTATATGGTCTGTAAGTGGGCATTCGAAAGATTGCGAGATTACGATACTCTTTCCAAAGCTCTAATGGTCTAATAAATATTCTCATAGGATCTTTATCGTACATAATTAATGCTGTCATGGCCGTCAGTTGAATTTTTGAAAACTTTTCCATTGTGCAATCTACTTATCATGAATTAAAAAAGGGAAAAATATAATGTATATTGTGTTTAACAACTCTTATCTTTGTCTTTTCACTTCTGCCTAACTTACTTAATATCTATCTTTCTTTGGCCGTTTTTACGAAATTGGATGCTTTATTATACAAAAAACTATAACATTAGGCCCAATCTAAATCAATTACTATCTACTAATTGAAATTTTTTAATAGAACTTTGGTACTTTGTCTTCTTTTTAACCTACGCAAATACTCTCTTTATTAGAGCTATACGATTAAAAAGTTGTAAAACATCTCCTACAAATAGATTACGTAATTATTATTCGAAGGCAGAGCCATAATATAGGTGTCACATTTCCTTCCTTCATACTTATGCTATAACAAAAAGTTTCCGCATAAATGGTGCTTATTTGCATAACATTAGCCGTTGAAATATGTGACATTATACTAGGTGTCTAAAAGCCTAACATTAATTTTTTAAGACTTATTTTACTATATTTTTATTGATTTTTCATAGACAGCTTTTCTTTTTCAATTTGTAATATTTCTCAAAATGAATTATGCAATAAAATGTAATTATAAACGTCTGTTGAGGTTACAAAAAGGTTATTTACATGAAAGACAAAAGTCTTTCAAAAAAACCAAAAAAAGAAACAAAACAGAAATAACAATCTATTAGTCTGATAATTTTCTTTTTTAATATGGACTATGGTATCCATAACCCCCATTTGGGACATTGAAGTTATTCCTTTTTTGACCTTTATATCTTTTTGCAAAATCTGGCATATTATTCTCTTCAGAATTCTTAACACCATCAGTTGTTTGTCCTGTCAAGTTCACTTGAGAATTTGTGCGCAGATTATCTGTGAGGACTAACATAGCATCCTTCCATGCCTTACGAACAGCTGGCTGAACAAAAGAAAATAAAAAGAGAAGTACACCGTAAAAAGCATTTAGGAGGCAAAAGATAACATGTATATATATCTTAGAATTTCCTATAGCCAACAGCCCAATACTCCAAGTTATTCCTGATAGTAGGGTTAATGCGCTAGAATATAATGCAATTATCGTTGTTGTAATTTTCTTTTGGTTTTTTGTAGTAGCTTTTGTTTTCCTTGTTTCATACTTAAGTTTGATAAAACTTGGTACATAAACAAACAGAAGAAAAAGATTAATAATCAAGATAATTCCAAGAACGGGAACAAAACCATAAAAAAACACCGAATTTTGTATCCAGCAACTATTTAAAAAAAATGAAACTATAAAATAAGTCAAATAATTGGTAAAAAATTAAACGACTCACAGATCATCATCACCTAAAAGTAGGCTTCTATTTGTTATTGACATGGCTACAGTAGGAATTATAGGAACAGCTAGATATAAATTTCATACAATGTATAAGTAAACATACGGATGGAATGTTTTTTAAAAATGTAATTTACTCACTCCAGCTACAGAGAGTTACTAAAATGACTGTCTTTTTCTCCGATGTCCCAATAAAGTTTCTATTAAATGGATGAAGTAAATTTCGAATAACACAATATTGCAAAAAAGAATTAAAGAACATTGATAAGAATGCAACCAAAAATGCATAAAACAATATGGCTGAGGTTGCTGTACATAATATTTGATTATCTGTTCTTTTAATGCCAACCATAAACATTATATTAACGGCTATAAAGGCAATTGATATGTTACAGGAAGAGATTAATGACACCCTCGGTTTCCATTCTCTATAAAAAATATTTAATTGTAAGAAAATTAAAACGTATAAACAGTAATTGACTTACTTGACAAAACCAAATGATATAATTACTCCAAGGTATCCAGCAATTGATATTCCAAGACCAATCATTGATATAAAGGAAATAAATTCTGGAGTATCGTCCTCTCTATCAGGATCAAATAATAGAGCAAAATTTGTAAAATGATTACAAGTACAAAATACACGTCCATTTTGCTCTTTTTCAAATTGACAACCATCTGAGGACCAATTATCTTTTTTAAAGTTCCAAAAAACGCAATCGTATCCATTCTTAATTGTTTCATTATTTGGTTGAAATATTAAAGTAATGTTATTTTTAAGATTTACAACTGTTTGATTGCCAATAGATGCGCTTATTACTTTACTTTCCGTAATAGTTTCTTCGCTTCTTTCAAAGAATTTTGCATTGGCATAAATTGCAGCTATAACTCTCTTATTAGGATAAATTTTGAAAACGTCTGCAAAGTATATACCATAATTAATTAGTTCCAAGTCTGTAGGAACTGTAGTAAGAGAAGTATTCAAGGTTATATTTTTGATGTTTTTATCATATCTATTAATATTTTCGAAAGAAAACGTATTAAAATCTATATTCTTCCCGTTCAAAATAGTCAGGGCAATTTGTGATGTTTCTACATTTAAGAAAGTTTGATTTTCAGGTAGTATAGCTTTTTCGGAGAAGTAATCTATAGCTTCAACAAAATTTGTACTTGAATTTGATTTGCTTTGAGATTGAACAATCGATTTTAAAGGTGAAGCTAATACATTACTAACAATAGTTACTATATTCTCAAAAATTTCTTTTGTTGTTTCAATATCACTTTCTTTGACATTTTCAACAATTGTACTAACCAATGTAATATGATTTGATGTCAGATTTGAGGTTAAGGTAAGATCTACCGTCTGCTGTGTAACAGTATCGATATTATCTTCGGTAATCGCTGTTTTCGAGAGATTCTTTAACATAGTAGTTAGTACCGTACAATCTTCTGCTTCTGTCCAAATAACCTCTTCCCAACCATCATCCGAGCAATAACGAGACGCTTCAGGCACACCGTCAGTACAATTCTCCAAACTATTGACAGTTGCACCGCTTCTAATTTTTGGAAAAGTAGTATTCAAGGAAGTTTTAGGATTTTTAACACTTTCTTCGTTACAATATATAAAACAATCCGCCTCCTTTAGCCATGTCGGTGTGCTAAAGGTGCCCTTTGAACAATAACTTGTTCCTTGTGGAATGTTCGTTTTACACTTTTCATTGCTAGAAACATTTGTATTGCTTTTCGTTTCGGGAAAAGTAACGTCTATTCCAGTAATAGGATTTTTAATTACGCTGGTTGGACAATAAAAAAAGCAATCCTTTTCCGACGTCCACTGAAAAGATTGAAACGCTCCGTTTAGACAATCCGCAGCGCCAAAGAATAAACCCTTTTCGCATTTTTCTACGCTGTTTGTAGAATTCTTCTCAAGTGTTCTTGGAAATGTAACAGAAATTGAAGGATTTGATGGGTATGTAGAATTTAATTCCGAGCAGTAATCAAAACAAAGTGTATCGTCTTGCCATATAGGATCTTGCCATGTAGTACCAGAACAAACTCGTGTCCCTATTGAGCCTCCTTTTGAACACTTCTGAACACTATCGGCAGTGTTTCCAGTTTCTGTTTTAGGAAATGATACAATTTCCCAACTTATCGGGTGGTAAAGGAAAGATTCTTCACAGAATTCTACCACAACTGCTTTAAGAGTATCCGTAGCCAAAGAGAATGTCTTGATATCTCCTTGAGCCATAATAGCATTTTTGAATTTCTCTGATAAGCCCATAATATATTGCGGAAGTTGGTTGGAAGAAGTACTTCTTCTAATTCGAGATTGAGCGTCTAGATGCACATAAAAAGTTACAGTTACATTATTAGCCTCTTGTATTGGTTCTTCAATTTCCAATAATAATTTCGAATTTGAGAAAATTGTCTCATTTGCAATGATATTCCAAAAAAGATACTGTACTTCAGTGATACGTTTAGCCTGATTCTTTAAATTATAATCTGGTATGGATAATCGAATAACATACTTTTTGTTTGTAAAAGTCAATTGTAGAGGATTTGAGGCTATTTCAAATGTTGGAAATTTAATGATACACGTATAGTTTCCTTCTATTCTTCCAACTATTTTTCTAGTATTATCATCTGACTAATATTTAATTAATATAATATACTTATACAGTATAATTGATAACTTAAAATAAAACTGTTTCACTTACTATATTCAGCGTTGAATATTTTTTTTCATTCATAAGTCTCAAATTCCCTTCTCCTCGATAATAGAGATGCTGATCATTTCTAATCCAATATATAGTTTTACTGAGAACTTGAGAATAATAGTCAGGAATTTTACAAACAAGTCCAGGATCGAAGACAGTTGGATCTTTAACTTGTTCAACAACTGGAAGGTCAAATTTATCTGAAACAATTATAATGATAGATAATATTTTATGGATTAATATTTAAATTAATTTACCTTCACTCTCTGGATCTTTTTCGCAAACAAAAGGATACAATAAATCGCAACTACCACATTTTTCGCCATCATGTCCAATAATGCAGCAATCCATTGAATTTCCTTTCCACCAAAGATTTGGCAATTTGAAGTAAGAGCTGCAAGTTGGTCCATAAAATCCGTCATCGCATAAGAAACTTGGACACTTCCCAGTTTCAACATCGCATGAAGCATTATTTTTGCAATTACAAATCTTATCACAATACGGCGTGGAATATCTCCCTGTTGGACAGCTATTTAGCTCCCACAGTTTTTCAGTAGATTTTTCACAATACGATCCTGTTGTATTGAGTAAGCAATCGCATCCAACAAACTTTTCGTTCTTAAATAAGCACTTTCCCCTATTTAAACATTGGTTATTTAAACCACATCCTTTCATGTTCATTTCCAGTAGAGTAAGATTAGATGCTTCCCTTCTTCCTGTGGCATCAGAAGTTGAAAATGTGTTGAGTATTGCACCGTGTTTGTAGCATGTATCATTTGCAGTTTTAAAGCTTTTTGGTTCAGAGAAAAATTTTCTACACTTGTGATAATAAAATGAAAAGAACCATCCTTTTGAACAAAGAGGACTATCTGATAGTAGTTCATAATTAAACGTCGCTCTTCTTTCGCATACGGTTGTCAGTTTCTCTGAACAATTATTTGAATATATTTGATAGCGTCCGTCTGGGTCATTAAGAGCCACATTTCCATCAACAAATAGGCAAGTCAGTTGATTATCAAAATTTGGTATAGTGATATTTTTAAATATATCTGGTACGTCTAATACAGTAGAAAATCTTGTACGAAGTTTGCCATTCCTTCTTTTCATACTAATCCACATGTTCTTACCAACACCAAGATCAAACAATTTGTCGCTTAGTAGTTTCGCTTGGTCATTATGATCACCAGCCACTGATATAATCCATGAAAAAGATTTTTGGCATATTTCTTCAGCGACGGAAAAATTAGATTCTTGTTCAAGATTTAAACAATAATATCCGCTGTGATAACCTGAAAGTTCCCAGAATTCATGAGGACGACCTTGTGGCGGACAAGCTTGATAAATATGATTTACATCACATTTATTATCAATTTCTGAACATTGGCAAGTATATCCTGACCAATCCTACAAACTCGAGTTTTTAGAATTTGTAAAATATATAGCAATAAGCCTACCTCTATACACAAATTTCCTGGACGACACGATTTTTTTTGAATTGGGCAGATATTTGTTTTTGATATCTCTGGTTCACAATTCCAACGAATGTCCTTTTCCCAGTCACCTTTCCACTTCAATGTTGGCGACGCAGTGCACGAGCGAGACGCTCTGGGTTTTCCAGAAAGACAATTTTCCTCTGAAAATATGGTATCTCCGAAAGAGGCTGAAGGGAAGTGTATAGTAGTTCTATTATCAGCACTCTCAAAGATTGGTGGACACATATTCATTGGATAAACTTTGGTATCGCTTAAACTAACACTGAGGTTTTCAAGCAACAAAGTATAGTTTTTCATCGATTTTTGTATAATTTTGCGGGTTAAATAGAAGGCTCTTTGCAAACTAACATCACCAGTACTATTGTCATAAATGAATTTCATATAAGCTGCATAAAGTCCTGTATCCACAAGATAAAATTCATTTATAATTTCAGAATTTAAAGAAACTCCAGATAAATCCCTTATATCTTGAATCGCATTTTCAAAGGTAATATTAGTAATAGTAATTACATTTGACGTAGGTTTCGTAACACTATTATAGATTAAAGCAAGAATAATTGAAGTTGATTTTTGGTTGACACTTAAAGCGTTAGATTTTAAGTTAATGTATGGTAAATCAACCATGCATCTATATCGTCCCTTGTTGGTACCTATTTCATTTATAAAATATTCATGAGATGTCTGAAAAAGAAACGAAATTCAAATGAAATTATTACTATTTTCTTATAAAAACGTTTTAGAAAGAATGATTATAAAAAGAGGAACTTACATCGATTACGTAGAGATCATTGTATTTCAGCATGGCAAATTTATGATAAGATCCATCTACTTCCCAATAAATATCCCTATAAGCCAATTTATCTATTGCTTTTGTAATTCTACAACCAATTCCCAAGCTATTAGAACTTTTTACATCAGTCCTTTTTAATTGAATTTGAATAGAGAGAGTATCTATAAACAACATTTTACATTAATATCTTGTTTTTAAGTATCTATGATAAGAGATTAGTTGTTTTATACTGTATATATAAATTTATATATACATGTATATATATATATATAAATATATACCTAGTTGGGAATCTTTTTCGCAAAGGTATGTCTTTCTCTCGGTACAATTATATTTCTTCCAAATTTTAAACGGACTTAAATACCAATCTTCTGAGATTGTGTGACACTGTTTTATTTGCGTGGAACTTTTATCGGCAGTAAAGCCTATTGTATCCATATTTAATGAAATACCATTTGTGTAGACGAATCCTTCGTTGTTTGTACTCGTAACGCCAATCCATGCGTTTGGTACTTTAAAAGAAGCATCGCAAGTTAAACCATAAAAATTATCCTTGCATTTAAAATTAGGGCAGTATCCATTAGTATTATCACAAGGTTGATCATTGAAGCAGTGGCACTTGTATGGGCATGTATTTAAAGAATAAGTTCCGATAGGGCAAGAAGCATAGGTTGGTGGAATACCAGTTCCTACTGTATAGTTTTGGCATTGTTGTCCTGAGAAGCCACTTGCGCAAATACACCCTGGATTATCTATGGAATCGTTGAATGAGCATTTTCCTTCGTTTCGACATTGAGCATTCACTCCACATCCGATAGAGTTTAGAGCTATTATCGTCGCATTAAGAAGCGCAAAGTTCCCTATTGCAGAGATAGGCCAGGCGAGATGAGCTTTAAAATTAGTACATGCTTGTTTAGCTTGTTCAAATTCAACTTCATCTCTCATATACTTTATACATTTATTATTGACAAATGAATAAAACCATCCCGTGGGACAAATATTTAACTCTGTCGTTAAGTCGCTATTGTAATATTTTCTTTTTTCACAAGCGAAAATTTTTGAAGAGCTTTCGCAATCATCAAAGAGAATCGTTGGCTGATTATCAAATCTAAAATAAGGACAATCCGTAGTCTTGTTGTAGTCTGAAGGAAGTGTTATATAGTTGTCTTTGAATTTCTTTGGAAAAGAAGAATGAGTATATATTCTACTTTCATTTTGATACGTTAATATAATTATTCCAGCCCATAACTCTTTATAACCTTCGGTAAATATATCTAAAGTAGTGAAAAGAGCTGAATCGTTAACTCCTAATAGCCATCCTCCCTCTCTTTGACATTGTAACGAAGCATTTTGGTACGAAGTTGAAATATTAAAGATTTTTACACATGTTTCAAGCGTTTCGTTTAATTTGTAATTATTAGATTCTGTTGCATTTTCGACTTTATGATGCGTCCAGCCGATATCACATAACGGTTCCTGTATTGTAGGTTCTATACAATTTTCTTTTTGAAAGGGAGAACATTGGCAAAATACTTTTCCAGACTAAAATGTATATAAGAGCTAACATAATAAAAATAGCACATATATTTTAAAACTCACTAAAGGATTAACAAGACAGGCCTGACCGTCGTAGCAACTATCCTTTGAGCATTTTTCTGATGATAGAGTCCAAGGTAGGGAAAACAATATACAGAGAAGAATATTAAACATAGTTTGTTTTAGAATATAACAAATATCATAAGAGAGAGAAAGAAGGAGAACGTCTATATTGAATAAAGCCTTTTTTCAAATGAGAAAAATATTTCAAAATACTAGACCAAAGAATTTACTTCCCTGACGGAATATTTATTGTTATGTTAATAATTATAAGATCCTACAACGAATTTTCTTATGGTAAAAGAGGCGCATGTATTGGTTTTTGTGTCAATATTCTCTTACTAAAGATTACCTGCCTTTAAAATCTGGCCTTTTCCTTGTGTAATATTGCATTATATTGTAACAATAGATAATCAATGTAGATTTTTACCTTTGATTGTTGGTACATATATACAAGAGCTAAAAATAACAGGCTATTTACCTAACAACCGAATAATTTAAATAGAATTCATATTTTAATAAAATAGAATTTATTCATAATATGTATATACAAAGGTACTTAGGTCATTAAATACAAGTCATATATCATAAATATGTACGTATGCATACAAAAGGGATAAATAGATATTCTTATGCTATTGTCTTCTATAAATTTCTTTTGTGTATATTCACTTGTACTTTTGCGACTGATCTGTTAGCCTTTCCAAAATAAAGCCATCTGTCTTGCTAATTTTGCATTGCGCAAGTTTGTCTTTTTTGTTATTTATATTGTAGATTTACTGTTGATTTTGAAGCTCCACATCGAAATATGTATAATTTTATTTGAAAACCTGAAATATATAATTTATTGTACTATTACAGCTTACATCAACAGAAAACTGTCCAAATATAAATTGAGAATGAGAAATTTTGTCCTGATAACTTTTCAGAAGGAAGTATGGTTTTTCCCTTTTTCTAATCATAGACATTTCGTCAAAATTTATGGTCCGTTTTAAATTCAACAAGAAGCAATTTGTAGTATTCAAGCCATTCAGTAAGGATATTCTTCTCGTGAAACCGTATAAAACCGGATTGGTTAAATTACTCAGTGCTGACTAAGGATATAAGACATCTAACTGAATTGATGTGTCATGCTATCTCAAACGAATTCTGGAATCTAAAAGGCCGCAACAACAATAAAATGTATTATAAACTGTCCTTCACTGTCGCAATCATGTACGTTTGAAACGTTTTTACACGAAGAACTTTCAAAGAAGTATACTATTTAAGATACTTTGTTAAAGTTTAGAATATAATAAATATTATGAGAGATAGAAAGACGAAGAACGTTAATACTTAATTGAAATGTTCACTCAACATAGTTTGTTGTATGTATAATCACAATACTCTTCTCTTCTTCCCTAACCCATCTCTCCACTATTCTCCTAATTAATGACTGCCATTCTCTGTGCTTTTTTGCTTATCTTAATAATTTACTTCCATAAATGTTCTAGAACATTAAAAAGTTTCAATTTCAACATGTACGCAGGTACTACTATACAAAAGAATATCATGTGGCCACAAGAAAGCCTGCTTTAAATTTCCCAATATATCAAAACTTGAAAGACACAAATTTATATAAAATGTTTTATAAGAGACTCAGATTATACTGTATATCTATTAACTTTTGCGTTCGTCGGGCGTCTATTATTTATTGCCGTCTCTTATCGTTGATCTTTATTCGTAAAGAAAAACATTATTAATCATTTCTATTGAATTGAGTATATATAAAATGAATAGTGCTAATAGAGAATTGAAGATAAATAAACAGTATTAAAGTAAAAGAAATTACCCACTTTAAGAAATATAATGTCCATATCGATAAAATGAAAACTAAGAATATTTCTTATCTCTGATTCAAAATTTCTATAAGCTAAAAATAAGTTTATAGACCATTTCTCATGATCTTTTCAAAATATGAACATTTAATAAGTGCAATAACATTGATTACTAAGCTATAATTGTTATATTAATATATAATTGTTGCGAAAGAGGAAAATTCTAAATTGTTATAGAAAATAGTGGGAATCGGTAAAAATTAGATATCTTTACCTAACGAAAAGCATTTATAGTACTTGTCAATCAAAAATGTATTATTTCGTTCAGTGTTCAATAAACAGTTTTTCTATGTTTTCTACAATTTTAGAAAGGAGAGTAATACAATTCACAAATATTTTTGTATAAGGCTAATGTTGAATAGTTTATACGAGATTTATAAAATACCTTTTATTATACTTTATTGCTCTATGCTATTGAATAGTTACTTTACGACATGCACATTTTGGTAAGGTATCTATATACCAACATAATATTTTCCATAAAATTAAAATATCAGCTTTTCGTACATTAACTTCTATAAGGATATTCTTGATGCAAACAATGTAACCTGAAAAAGTAATGTTCCCCACACTGTTAGTCTCAACATAAATTGCAGGTTTTATTCACAAGTGTCCTCTCTCTAGCTCCAAATATGAAATTTAAGTTTCCAGTTGAAACTCTGTCTAGTCTAGTTTTTTTAAATAACTTTCCAATTCCCTTAAGATTGTTGAATTGCTTTTATGCTTACATTTATTTAACAAATTATATTACTTAAATAATAAGACCTACTTAACCCTCTCTTCTATCCTTCATCTGAGTAATTCCTCTTTTAGTTTCAGTGTTTTATCTTTTTCATCTCTTTTCTACTGTAATTTTATGAGTCTCTTTCTACGCAATCTATAATTTAACTTTGTCAACCAATCAAGAAGAACTGACATACAATAGAAGAAGAATACAAGAAATAAATATATAAAGTAATTTATTGTATATTAAAAAGAGTATATAGCATATGTATTTTATACTGATTATAAGATATAGCTAAAATGTATAACTATACAATTAAATAAGAAAAATATAGACTAGGCATATATTTCTGTAGTGTTTATAGAGTCACAGACACTGGTCTTCTTTTTTCTAAAAATATAATAGAAAAAGAATATGATATATATAAAAAATTAAAAAAAAATACTAAAAGAAGTTAAATCAGAGCTGAAAATGCTTCATTCTTAAAAAGATGTTTGATATAGGTTAATGGTTAGAATACTTCAACATATAAATTCTTGTTTGACTGCTAAATGATAAGCTGAAATACAACAGTTTTAGGATATTACACTTCATAGATAGTTTAACTGAGTTAGAAATTTAATTCTGAGGTTAATTTTTAGACAAATCTCTTATATTTCATTTCTTTAGATAAACAAAAACGATAAATTTGAGCAATCTAGAAACATTCGCAACATAAAATAAATTATGACATCAGAATAAGAGAAGACGATCTTCAATATTTAATATTCGTAATTTAAGTAATGAATCAATTATTCAAACATATATACACATACAAAAGAAGCAGAAACGACAATCATTAAATAATCCCTGAATTCAGTTTTAACGCCTAGACAACGTTGTCATGCAGTTGGTCTAGCAAATAAACTGTTTTGCATAAATATAAATCTGTACGTACTGTATAGGCATTATATACAGTATATACAGGTATATATGAGTACATATGTATCAATGACTTTCCCACACTGAGTTTTTAAAAATACCATTATTTTAATCAATTAAAATATTCAAGCATCATTCGAGTTCGAAGTTGTGTTTTCCTCTGAACTTTTCGATAAATCAAAGAAATTTTTATCAGCAGTCGGTGAAGTTTCCACTGAGATTTTTTTCGTTTTCTTCTCATTGCTGGAATTCGTTGTTGTTGTTGTTTCTTTACTATTTATACAACCACATAACTTTTTCCAGCCATCTCTTACTCTTTTTTCCCTTGTTATAAATAGCAAAAATAGGAAAAATCCTTGAAAAGCATTTAATATGCAAAATATTAATTGAAAAGCAAATTTAGCGTCTCTGATCGCAAGAAAGCCAAATATCCAAGTTGTTCCCATAACAAATACGAAGAAGATAAAAGCTCTTAAATGTAGGAAATGACGCTGTGCTTTAGTTTGAGTACTCCTTAGATTTCCAGGTCTTTTACAGAACGATGAAAAAGTCATAATTAGAATGATAAGGTTAATCATTATAATTATGGCAATGGGTAGGAGAAATCCATAGAAGAAAGGTGTTGTGTCAAGCCAACAGCTATTAAAAAAAAGAGAGAATGAAAACAAAAAGTATAAGTAAAATAATCAAAAATATAAGGTCCTTACAAATCATCAAAACCAAGAAACAGATTTCTATCAACAATTGATAAGACGATAATTGGTACGGCTGGTATACCTATTGATAAAACAAAGATATTTTTCAATCATTACTTATAAACGATCATATTTAATTTTTATCTTACCCCAACAGCATACTAATGATTTAAGCATAAAATTAGAAATGTAATTATCAAATACTTTAACAAAGTTAATATAAGTTATAACTCCTTCAGCTAACATCCAAAAGAAGGATGATAATAAGAAGTAGTATAAAAGAGCTGAAACTGCAATACAGCCATTACGGTTTTCAGTTTTTCTTATTCCAACTAAAAACACTATGTTAACAGCTATAAGTGCTAACGCCAAATTAAATAAGGCAATTTGAGAATTTCTTCTTTTTGTCCGTGTTCTTAAGTATCTATGAAAAAGGAATATATCTATTATAAGTGTATACAGCTTTTTCAATATAACGTACCTAATAACAAAGAAAGAGACGATAATAAAAGCCAATCCAGCTGTAGAAAGCGATAAACCAATGATTGAGATATATGAGAGAGCTTCGTGTCCGGGATCGCCAGTTCTTTCTACATCTAGTAGTACCGCAAAATTGGTGAAATGATCACATTGGCAAAAGACTCTTCCATTATATGTTCTATTATAGCTACATCCATCTGATAACCATTCGTCTCTCTCGAAATTCCAGTAGACACATCTAGGGTGACTGTTCATAGTTACTGTTGATAAATCGATGTCATCTGGTAGAAAAACGGAGCATATTGGAGGATCAATATCGTGTACTCTAAAATTTGAAATTGAAGCACTGATAATCTTTCCAGCTGGCTCTACGGACATATTCTTTTTTAAGAAGAACTTCTTATTTGAATAAACAGTTGTAACAACTCGAAATTTCCCTTCAAGTTTAAGACTTTCTTCAAAGAAAATACTTGCAACAGAATCACTCAACGAGATAGAGTGATTATTCCATTCGGCAACAATTGAATCATTACTTAGTAGACCATCACCTTTCATTCTTTTAACAACGTAACTATTGAAAGGTGCGTTACTACCTTCCCAAATATCTATTGAAATTCTTGGAGTAAACATTCGTACGCCTTTACGCTTATCAGGCATTACTGTTCTGTCTGCAATTGTTTCTAAAGATTGAACAAGAACTGTACTCGACTGCGTTATATCATTAGAATCCATTATCTCATTTTCAGAAACTTTAAGGATTTCATTGGAGATTTTTATTATATTTGATGTTGCCTTCATTGGAGGTTTTATCCTTGATGCTTTGATATTTTCAATTATCATTGAAATATAAGATATATCTAATGATTTCAATTCATTATTTCTAGCTATTATTTCCGTCTCTTGTGTGATATTTTCAACATTATCCTCAGTAATTAGCTTCCGTGAGATGTTTTTCAACATTTCAGTTGATTCTCTGTAAGTCTTTGAAGGATAACATTCGTCTTCAGGAGTCCATACAAAATTTACCCTTTTTGGATAACCATAATTCGACAATTCACAATCAGAAACAGCTAAGGGTTTTCCATTTAAGCATTTCCTCAAAGTATAAGACTTCTCGCCAACTTTTGCTGTTTTAAATTCAACTTCATAGCCATACTTGTTATGTTTAATTCTACTCTTTCTGCATACATTTTTTGTAAATAGAGACATAAATTCAATAGCCTTAACATATTGATAATTCTGAAATAATGTAAAAAATTCCTTATCTTCTACTTTCGCTTTTAAGAAATCTTCTAAAGTATCCAAAATATAATCTAAATTATATTTATACAAAGCCATATTCTGTTGAATATATATAGTATTTTCAACTATTACACTCCCAGATCTAACTTCTTTCAGATCAACCTCAATTGTTACAGAATCCTTAATAAAACTTAATAGGAAAGTACTTATTAAATTTCTAAGTTCAAGAGTAAAGGTAACACCTAGATCTGAAGCATATGAGATTGATGGTGAAGTATGGAACTTTACTATTGAGCCAACTCTGATCTCGTTTAGAGTAATTTGTATTGGTTTTGACGTCAACTGTTTCATTGGTAAATTTATTACACAGCTGTAAGATCCTTCTAAAGATGAATATGAAATTAATGGATCCTGTAAAAGAACGATTTATTTTCTTAGAATGAATATATTTAAAAAAATTCAAAGCTATTTACCCCATTCAGTACTTTTAGATTATCTAATAGTATAGTAGTATTAATTCTATTTTTAGGATTCGTAAATGAAAAATATCCATTATCCTTCCTCCAATAAACAGATTTAGATAATTTGGAAATATCTTTGGGTATAACACATTCAATTCCTAAATCTTTAATTGTTGAAATGCTTGTTCTTTTAATTTCAAGTTGTTCAAAGTTATCTATAAATTATTAATAAATGCTAATATATAAACTTTAAATAGTTTATATCGTACAAAACTTACCATAGTTTGGCTTTTTTTGACAAACAAAAGTATGCTTTTCATTACATTGTATGCTTTTCCAATCACCATTAATTGTAGTTTTAAAACAATTACCATTTTTTTTGTCTATTATCATATCATTTAAGATGCTTTTATCGATTTTTGCACCATTTGTAAATACCATTTCATTTTGAAGCAATCTAACTCCAATTAAAATTTCGATAGGTGTGTATTTGATATCGCATTTGGTGCCATACCAATCAACTTTACATTTTCCAGTAAGACATGTACCTGTTGAATCTTCGCAAGGACCTTCACATCTGCACACATAATTACAGCCCTTTCCATGCTGATTTTCAGTTGTACAGACATTCGGTGGTTGGCACTCTATTGGTCCCCAACATATTTCTTGAGTATCACATTTGGGTTGTGAAGTTAAACAGGTATATTGCTGTTTACAGCTTTTCTGATTGCATCTAATGCTTGTTCTTTCCATACCAGTCTTGTCATCTTTCATGTGGATTATTGAACATGATTTCTAATAATTAAAAAAGAAAATTTATTTGAACTAAGTGCATACCATTTTAAAACGTGTTACTTACACATCCACTTGCCAAATCAACTTTGTTCATACATTCCTGTAGATTTCCACTAACACTGCAAACAGGGCATTGTGTTGTTGTTTCCTCATTACAAACTAGTGAAGAACCTGGAATCTGCACCTCTCTTTGTTCGCATTTGTCTCCCAAAAATTTACTTTGGCACGCGCAATAGTAATCTTTTTTGTAAGGAGTTATTGGAACGCAAAGTCCATTATTCTTGCATGGATTAGTTTTACATGGATGATCTGTAGGAATAGCTAATTCACATTTATCTCCATAACGTCCAGCAGGACAAACACACGTGATGTCAAGGCCTTGTGACGGAATTAGTTTGCACTGTTTATATGATCCACATGAATAGTTAGGACAATCCTTGATTACTTTCGAGATTTCACAGTATTCACCTTCATAATTGCTAGTGCAATAGCATTTGAAGCCCAAAGTTTTTGATGGATCCGTTACACATGATCCATATTGACCACATGGACTAATCAAAGAGCAAATATCATTTGAACATTCAGACATGGCTATTCCGCTTCGACAAATACACACATACGGCAGGCTAAATCCTGTTGGCAATGGAATACAAATTCCACCATCACCACATGGATTTGAAGCGCAAACGTTTTTCACAAGAGAATTCTCACAAAATTTTCCAGTATAATCGATAGGACAGAGGCAATTACTAAATCCATCTTTTGTTAAAAAACAACTCCCTCCATTCTTACAAGGGCTGTATAGTCCACATCCTAGTTCCGTTTCTGTTAGAACACTGATTTCAGTCAGCATAATATTAAATTTAAGTGATTTTGGCCAAGAAATATGACTATCTTCAAGTTTACAAGCATTAGATGCATTCTGAAATGGGAGAGGTGTTGGTATATACTTTAAACATGCGTTAAAATCTTGTGAATAGTACCATCCTTCAGGACAGAATTTTGTTTTTTCAAGGATGGTAAATTCTGAAAGTGATTTTTCACATATGTAACTCTTTAAATGGCTGCAACTTCCAACGTCATATATGCTATTTAAAGAAGGCCTTTGTCCAAATTTGTTTACTTCCAAATAGCTACATGTTTTTATGGAATCAAAAGACTTAATATAATATCCATTAAAATCGTCTTCACCAGACTTTCCATAGAATTTAGGATATTCATACTTTGAGTATATAATTTCGTCATGATTTTCCATACCCAACCAAATTCTAGTATCCGATAAAAATATTGAAACATCAGTAAAAGCTGTCAGTAATTTTGTATGTGTATTCAAATATGTATTAGGTTCTTTGAAACTCGACGCCAATCCCATAAGCCATCCACCCGAGTCAATACAACTCGACGAAGCGTCTTTAAAACTTAATCGCTTTTCAAAATATTTTAAACACGTTTGTGTAGTACTGAGTTTCCATCCTTCATCGCAAAAAATGCCTCGAGAACTCCTATATTGACATATAGCCCCATAGAATGGAGGTGGACACTGGCATATAGTTTTTCCCTGAAATACATTGACAAAAAATAGCTTTCTCTTATCTAGAAATAATGTCAGTTTTCTTAACCTGCTTTATAATATTATATAATATGCATTTTCAATATGCCTAATGGGAAAAAGTCAGAAAAAAGTCTAGTATTGACATAATATAAAGAAATACTGTAAATGTAGGATAGAGAGTTTTTAAGAAATTTCATAATCGTATTACTAAAGATAATGATATTCTCTCTCTTTCCTCTTTTTATTTGTTTGAATATATTCATAGAGAAGAGATTAAATTACATACACAGCATAAATTTTAATGAAAATAGTACAGGTCAATAAATATAATGTCCTTAATAGGCAAAAATTTTATAGAGAGTTTGTTTGAGGTATATGTATACTAAATAAAAGTTGAAGTAGAATTATGATAATAAACGTTCAGTGGATAAAAAGAGAAGAATATGTTTATATCATTGTTTTCCAATAGGGTAAAGTAATAATACTATCTAAGTGAACAAATATTCACTCACCTCTATTTGAACACATAATCCTCCATTTTTACATTTGTTTTGTAAACAGTCAAGAGTAAAACAATAATTTAGAGTCAGTAGTAAGAATAATATCATTAAATTAGACATTTTCCAATGGTATCCTTCAGTAGTTAGAATAATTTAAAAATTACTCTTACGAGAGTGAAACCTTGTATTGACTGCTGACTAAAGTTGTCTACACCTAGCGCGAATATTAGGTATTTTCAATACACACAGGTGTGACTCATGAATGAACCCAACCAACTAATATTGTACAAAATTTGGTTAAAAAATTGTTATTAGGTAGACAGATAGTTTGACATTTTTAAATTAACAAAGTCCATTAATAGCATATGAAAGAAAAATAAGAGATATATAAAATAAATATTATTAATAATGTAGCGTCTGAATAAAGTAAAGGAATCCACCAAAATTTTATAAAATATTCAAAATAAAGAAATTATATTTATTATATTTTCTCTATATGGATTCTATTCTTACTAATTATTCATATCACGATCCAACCGTTTTACGATTCGCATGGCCTGGATTCAGACAATAATTTTCCTTTTTTGTTTAATTCTATAAAATTGCAATTAGTTTTTATTTTATATATTTTATATATTTTATTATTACTACAATATCTTAATTTCATTATTATTGCGTAATTTCTGTGATAAATCTTTTCCTCTTTTTCAAGATCCTGCTCTTCTTTATTAACAATCCTCTATTATTACGTATGTTAAGAATATGCACTAAAGCTTTATAATATTAAGAATTAGCAAGAAGGATACTATATTGTATGCTGAATCATCGTTTTACCGCATGTCTTTTCGACTTATTAGTAATTTTGTCATGGAAAGTTTTCAATAACCTCAATAAATTGTGTATTCAACAGAAAGAGCTTACTTTCGAAAGAACATTTGGCGATTGTAATACATAATTTACGATATACTTATGATTAATATAAACGTCTGTAGCATATTAGAGAGCTTATGTAGCAAATATAGCTTAAATGTTTACTATAGTTTCTATAATCTTTAACATATTCATTTTTTATCATCTTGTTCTTCTTGATATAAAAAAAAGGAAGAGAATACCACCTTGAAAGCTATTGAGTAGGCAAAATACTAATTGGAAGGTATATTTGGCATCTTTAACGGCAAACATTCCAAATATCCAAGTTAAACCAGTAACAAATGTAATAGCAAGAAATAGACGAAGCCTTTTTAATGCCCTTTCCCTTGATTGTTGCTTTATGAGTCTTCCATGATCACTTTTATATATATTAAGAAATGATATTATGAATATTATTAAATTGACTAATAATATTAAACTAATCGGTATCAGAAATCCAAAGTAGAATACTCCGCTATCCAGCCAACATCTAAAACAATGTTTAAATTAGTAAGCGAATGACCATAAATAGAAAAATTATGTAATACATTTTTTCGTATCCGATTAATAGATCCTTATTTACGATCGATACAACGATAACCGGAACTACGGGTAAAGCTGTGGCAGTATTAATATTAAAGTTAGTTGCTATTTTGTTAATTGTGGACATAAATTACTTACACCAACAGCAGATTACTGTTATTTTAACGAAATGTGAGATATGAGTATCAAACACTTGAATAAAGTTAATATAAGATAATACTCCTTCAACTAGCATCCATCCAAATGCAACTAAAAGAGAATAGTACAGTATTGCCGATACTATATAGCATTTTGTAATATTTTCTGTCTTGTCTATACCGAGTAAGAAGGTTGTATCCACAATAATTAAGGCGAGAGCTAAATTAGTTAAAGCTATTTGGCCTTGTTCAACCCTTTTCCAATCTTTTCTTCAAGTATTAAATAAAAGAGTTCATTAGTAAATATGTAAATTTAAATAGTAAATATAATAATAATAATTACGTAAATATGAGAAAACATATAATAATTAAGGATAAACCAACAATAGAAATCCATAGACCAACTGTTGTAACAATTGAAAAGGCTTCAAAATCTTCATTATCATCCCTTTCAATATCTAGTAATACAGCAAAATTGGTAAAATGATTACATTTGCAAAATATTCTGTTATTTTCCATTCTATCAAAATAACATCCATCCATTGACCAATCATGTAGATTATCTTCCCAATACACACATTTAATCTTTGATAAGTTTTTAATTGTAAGGTTATTATCGGGTAAAAATACAAGTGTAATAGGAGGATAAATGTCTATCATTCGCTCTGATGTAAAGGAGGCACTAATAATTTTAGTAATAGGTTTAATACTGGAATTCATCTGAAAGACATTTTCCTTAGAAATTATTTTAGTAATAAGACGTTCATCTTCATCATCACTGATGAGACTGCTTTCAAAATGTATAGCAGCAACAGAATTACTTAACTGACTTTCATTATCAAGCCAATTAAACTCAATTGAATTATTATTTAATGTTCCATTTTCATCCAAATCTTTTACGACGAAGCAATTGAAGTTAAAGTTTTTACTTTGTTTTATATCAATTGATATTTCATTTGTAAAGAATCTTTTGCTATCCTTATCTAACTTGATCGTTTTAGCTATTTCTTCAACATTATTAATAATTATTGGTAAACTAAATGACGTATTTTTCGTCTTAGTTATTGTATTTTCATCAATGTGTAATAGATTTTTTGTCGTTTGTAATAAATTTTCAAATGTGCTTTCGTCTTGTAATGTTTCCTCTTTCTGTGCATTACTTATTATATTATTTATATAATAAATATCTATCGATTTTAGAGTCCTTGATTTTGTTATGTTTTTCAATTCCTCAAATACTATGTTTACATTTTCTGACAAGTCTATTGACATATTCTTTAAGTCAATATTACTGTTTAAGGAATCTGTTTTTGGGTTACAATCTTCTACTGGTCTCCAAATAATATTATCATCCCATTTGGTTACAGTATTATTTATTAATAAACATTTTACCTTTCCAATATGTTTACCATTAAAGCATCTCTCTTTTGAACGTGATACTCTACCATATTTTACTCCTATAAAAGTTATAGCTCCATAATTTTTTGAAGAAACTACTTTTTTTTGACATTTTTCCCAGTATAACCTCAAACTTAATACTGGATATTCTCTATCCTCAAGACTGCGTCTTAGTTTAAGTTTTAAAGATGACTCATATTCTCCAGAAGGATACAGTTGCTCATTCTGCTGAGGGTATCTGCTGAACTTTTTCCTTCTACGAGAGATATTAATCATGTAAGAATATCTATTACTTTTCGAGTTCAATTTGGATATTTTTAATAGTTCTACAAAGGACGGTTCATATTTCCCAAAAGTAGTAACCGTATTTTGAATAATTTCAGTCAATTTTTTCTCTATACTGCTATTAACTATTTCCATATCAATTATTAAATGCATCTTATCAACCCTTAATCTTACTTTCACTGGTTTTGAAGATAGTTTTGCATTTGGTAAAACAATGAAACATTGATATTTCCCTTCCAATAGAAATATAGATTTCTACAAGGCAAAGATAGCATCGATTGTATCAATTATTAATACAAGACTTATTACCTTCTTGTTAGATATTTCTTTCAATATATCTTCCACTAATGGCCTAACGACATTTCTTTCTAAGTTCAATACTTTATTATTTCTTGTCCAAATAATTTCTTTTACAAATGCTCCATACTCCTTTGGATATCGGCATTCATAGCCAAAATTATTAGGCCCCATTATTCCAATTCGTTTAACGTAAACGTTAGATCTTTCTACGAAAGATTGCCGTTTAATAACGATATTTTTCTTTTCAATAAAATGTATAAGTTTTCCTACCGTATGATGGTAATTTTGAGCAAAAATAAGGTAGGCTCATATTTTGAAGATATGACCATCTACCATTACTATCTAGTAAAAATTGAAAAGTACAAATATAATAAACAGCTTTTTAACAAAAGTATTCAATTTTACCTTTCACTTCGCTATACATTAATTGTTTTGGAACAATAGTATCAGGTTTTGAAATAGTACTTATAAATGCTTTTGGGCAAGAATTTAAACAGGCGCCACTGTACGAATCACATGCACATTTACATTTTCTTTTGCAGCCAGGTGGATCATAACTATATTTACTGCAATAATCTGGTTTAATACAATGTTTTGTACGGCAACAAAATTCTTTTCTTGTACATCTACGATTTTTACATACGACAAATTTTTTACATCTTTCATTACTACACTTTAACATAATCGATTTAAATTGATAATTTTCCATTTTAACTATTGTTCTACAAGAAGCCTATGTAAAAAATTTTTTATTAATTATTGAGATAATTAAATTATTTTTCTTTCAATTAATTATAAACTTACGCAATTTTGACTTGTAGAAGCATATAAGAGGCAATCGTCTAAACCAATTGTAGATCTACAAACATGACATTCTAGTCTCTCCGTTTGTTGATGGCTTATAGTAATACACTTATAGTTATCTTTGCTTAAAGAATAACATAGTTCATTTTGTTTACAGGGTTTTCTTAAACATGGCTGATCGATTGGTTTAGAATTTGAGGTTAAAACTTGGTCAATGCAAATAATAGATGATCTTTGGTCTATTTGATTATCTATACATATTTTTGATCCTTCGCAGAGGGATGAAGAACATCTATACCAAGTGCTAAGGCATTCTTTTAATAAACAATCTCCTTTATGAAGAAAATTTGAGCAATCAGAATCGTTCATTGAATTATTACAAGCACACTTTATTCCTTTATAAGACCGTTTATCATCGCAATTACCTAAACTATCGCAACTTCTTAAATTCCCATTCAAAAGAAATGCTGATCTTAAAGTTTCATAATGCGACCGAGACTGATACTTAGCTAGCTGGGCTTTTGCTATTTTGCAGGTCTTTTCAGCTGATTTAAGTATTTTTGGCTGCGAAAAGTATTTTAGACATTCATTAAAGTACGGTGAATAAATCCATTTTTCTGGGCAAAAGTTAATATTTGAATAAACATGGCTGTCAAGTCCATAAGTTTTACAGATTAAATTTTTTTTCTTAAAACAAGGGGCCCTACTCTCGTCCTTATTCGAAAACGGTTGGTTTCTAGACTGTTTGAGATTGATAAAGCTACACTCGTGACTTTCATTTCTACGTACGACAGAAAATCTCAATTGACTGATGTTTTGGTTAAAATTAGTAGCAATCCGTGATGATATTTGATAAGAATCTTTAGGAACAATCCAAAAATCTTTTGGTACATTGAAAGATTGTCTGAAAAAGATTGAAATAGTATTTAAACTGCTCAACAATGGCCATCCTCCGCTATCTAAGCACATTTGTACTCCAGAATAATATTCAATAAAAGGAATTATTCTATAACAATAAGAATCTTTTTTCTTCCAGGATGGCATAGTCCATGGCTTTTCGCAACTGTATCTAAATAAAGAATCTTGACAATCATTTTGCGATGCAGTAAGACATTTGCATTCAAAACTAGAACTCTAAATAAGAATGAAATAATTAAGTTAAAAATTAATCATTCAATTCAAACAACAAATACTGTATATAAGTTAACTTACGTTATTTTTTATTGAATATGTAGAATTATCAAGGCATGTAAAATAATGTAATCTATCATTATTCCAGTCTACAGGAATGGTACTATAAATATTAATTAATAGTATAAGAATAGCAAATGTATTATCCATATTTAATGAAAAACTGATAGTTTTCTATACTACATTCGATTCAGAAATAACGAAAATGTTTCATACACTCCATCAACTATCAATTCAGTATAGTTATTAACAACAGCGATTATTTTTCTAACAAGCTTATTATCATATTAAGATGATTATATTCTTAATTATTACCTATAAGCATCATTCACAGAATTTCTGAATTTTATATTTGTATCAGTTATTCTCTAATTTGCTTTTAGCCTCTTCGGTTCGATGCTAGTTAAAGAAATGTGACTTATCTAAATGTTAGCTGTGTTTTCGGTCGACGTATATCTTATTTATAGATGTTGGCCATGCAATTTATCTAATTAATTACCTAAAAATGCAACTAGTTTGTTATTGTAATATCAGTTTTATCCGTAGCTCTGGTTATAGATATATCAGTTGCGCATAATGACCACTGTTATTGGAAGTAAAATATCTTAATAAACCAACTCACCATCTCTCTCCGTTTCTTTGTCTTACACTCGTTTAATCCCACATATTTTGAATGGGCCTATAACAAATCTATCATTACTCTAAAGGTTTATTAAAATAAAATAAAGTTTTTATAAGAAAGATCATGTACTCAAATTGTATTACTACTCAAAGTATATGCCTTGAAGTCTGAGTAATTTACACACATATGGAAAGAAATACTTAACAAGGCTATTAAAATATTTTTAAGGATACTTCATCAGATTGCATTGATATTGGTAGACAGATGTCTTATAGGATTAAAAAGAAATTAAAGTACTAGCTGATATCAATGCATTGTATCTATTTTAAATATATGTATAGCATATATGATTCTATTCTAATATAATCGTTATACTGTATATTATGTAATATTATCATAAATTGGTCCATCTTTGTAAGTAACGTTTTGATCTGCATGAATATCAGGATACACGTAATATATATTTTCAGTTGGGCCTTGATCTTTATCTGTAGTTTTGTTTCTTTTTCGAGGCAATGGATAATAGGTTTGATTATTGTGTGGACTAGATTTATCAAAAATTAAATCTTCATATCCTTCCTCCTCATCAATAGGTTCTGAACATTTAGTAGTCGTTATAGTCTGTGAAGAATCAGAATTATTATCTCTTTTCGATGTCTGATGTTTATTGTTGTGCATTGAAATCTCATTCTCATTAGAAACTGATGGCAAAGTATTCTCTCTGATAATATTCCTTTTGGAAATTGCACTTGATGTTTCCTTTCTTAATTTTTGAGGTATCAAGGAGGAGGCTAATTTCCTCCAACCATCCATAACTGATTTTTCCATGTATACATATAATAAAAATAGAAAAAAACCCTGAAATGTATTCATTAAACAAAAAAGTACTTGAAATGCCATCTTAGCGTCTTTGTGTCCAAGAAATCCGAATATCCAAGTTAAACCCATTAAAAATGTAAAGAACAAAAATGATCTTAACAAGAAGAATACTTTTGAAAATTTCTTCTGTTGATTAGCTTGTTGCGGTCTTTTACAGAGAGTTCGAAATGATAATACGAAAAAAACACAATTTATGAGTAAAATTAATCCAATTGGTAATAAAAATCCGAAATATAATAAATTTCCATTCAACCAACAGCTAATAATAATAATAATAAAAATAGACGCTTTTTTCTTTATATGTTAATTGTATAATTTTAATACTGTATATATTATACTTACATTTCTTTGTATCCTCTAAATGTATCTTTATCTATAGCACCAATGCAAATTATTGGAATTGAAGGAATAACTGAAAGAGAGAAACAAATTTTCAATGTTTATTAATACAAAAGATGATAGATTTTTAACTTACACCAGCAACAAAATATAACTTTCAATGCCCAATTTCTTGACTTCTTTTCAAATACCTTAACAAAGCGGATAAATGCTAAAATCCCCTCAGCAAGCATCCAAGCAAATGAGACAAGTAGGAAATAATACAGCAGGGCTGTTATAGCTATACAAACATTATTGTCCTCTGTCTTATTTATACCAAATAAGAATAATAGATTAACGATTATTAACGATATTGATAAATTAAAACGAAAGATTTCTGGTAGGGTTTTAGATTTCAAACTGAAAATTGTTTATAAATTAAAAGAAATAAAGATAAATGATATAATAAACTTACTTGAACATTACGAATGATAGTACAATGAAAAAAAGTCCACATGATGATAAAATCAATCCGACTTTTGTAATTATTGATAAGAAAACGGGGCTATCTATATGTTTATAGGTGTTAGTTAACACAGCGAAGTGTGTAAAATGATTACATTGACAGAATATTCTTCCGTTGTTAATCGTTTCGAAGAAACAACCTTCAGTTGACCAATCGCTAATTATCTTATCCCAAAATACACATTTCAATTGATCCTCTTTAGGAGTTTCATATTTACTGTATGGTTTGAAAACTGTTGTTATTGGAGGATCAAGATTTATTATCTTTACATTGGCAAGAGACGCTTTTATAACATTTCCAATGGGATAAACCGTATCATTATTTTGAAAAAACTTTGACGAAGCATAAATTGCCATAAAAAATCTACGACTTAAATTGGAAAATAGGTCACTATCGAAATAAACTCCACTGATAGAATTATTCAAAAATGAGGATTTATCTGTTTTGTCAATTGATATTGAATCATTATGAAAAAGATTATCTGCTGATGAGCCATTATGAAAAAATACATTGAACGAACTATTCTGAGTATCAGCTATCAACATTAAAATTCTAGGTGTGACAATTTTAAGTTGCTGTTTATCTATTTCAGCATTTTCCGCTAAAGATCCAATAGAATTAGTCATTATTGAGCTTGAATTTGCCGTCTTTTGAGCTTCATCAATTATTCTGAATGGAGTTTTTAACACTTCGTTAGCAATTTCCGTGATCTTTACAATCTGCTTAGGATTTAATTTAATTAGAGAAAGTGCAATATTTTCTAATATTAAAGAAGTATATATGTAATCTTGTTTATTCAAGTCAATCCTTTGAACTATATCCTTTGACTTATTAAGTAATTCATCTATATTACTTTTACTTATTTTCATCAATGATAGTTTCAGTAACGTATCAGTTTCAACAGAATTATTTGTTGAAGTAGGATAACAGTCTTGTTTTCTCCTGAAATCCAAATTCTCTTTACACGAATATTTATAGTTTTCTTTCGTACAATTACATGTACCTATTGGTTTGCCATCTAAACATAAGCGTGTTGTTGTAGACTGATGATTTACTTTTACCCTATTGAATTTTACTTTAAATCCTTCAGGATGTTCAGTAATGACTTCTTCGCATTCGCCTTTAAAAGAAAAACTTAGAATTTCGACAGGAGTAATTTGATTCGCATTATTAAAAAGAGAGTTTGTATCAATCATTTCATTCAAACGATTTCGTAGTTGCGATAATATAAATTCATCAGTAAGTATATAAGATCTTGATTTTTGGAAAACTTTTAATGTATTATAGATTATAACACTACCATTGAAAGTGTCCTCTAGCTTTGCTATGGTCAATACATCCGATGCCAGTTGAAATAACGATGTATTTTGGAAATAGCGATTCAGGTTGGCCGTAATAATCTTGCTTAGTTGTTGGGATAACTTGTTTAAAACTAACTTTGGTAACTTTAAATATAATTCAAGATTTAAATATGTGAAGCTAACTGATACTGGTTCTGACTGAATGGAGAATGGTCCATAGTTTGCTATGCAGGTGTATTGGCCTTCAACAATAAGTTCATCGACAATATCCAACTTTAATATTCAAATATTAGAAAAGAAACATAGATAATTATTCAAAGTTTGTATATATTACAAAATTTAAATTATTTACCTCATTTCTTTCTGTCATCTCTGTAATCATTTGATTTATCGATACTCTAGTTTCATCCGGTTCGAATCTATGATAGCCATGCAAAGTCTTCCAGTATACCCCTTTAAGAAATTCCTTTCCTTCAAAGGGAACTTCACATTCAAGACCCATGTCATCTCTCCTTTTCATATAAGATTTCTTAATTTTTACTTTTAGATCTTTGTATTTGGAAATATAGAAAAAGAACGTTTATGACATCAATTAATGAAATTTAGCAATTTACCATATTTCGGTTCCATTTCACAGATGTAAGTCAAATTTTCAGAGCAACTATTTCCCTTCCACGTACCGCTACTACTTGTACTTAAGCAAGGACCTTGCCCCTTTGTTTCAATTGTGAACGATTCAGGATTTGTTAATCCACCGGCATCCAAACTTTCGTCATTAGCTTTTATCCCAATCCAAATGTTAGATGGCTCATAAAAAATATCGCATTTTTCGCCATACCATCCGTCTTGACAACCATTGGCCGTGCAATTCTTATCCGTTGGTCCACAGAACTGTCTATCTAACTTGGGCTTAGAGGCAAGACATATAGGATTCGCAGAGCATTCACACTTGGAAATATTTTTTTCTGATGTAAATTTGCATCTTATACCATACTTGCACTGACTATTGATAGTTGCGCATTTACGCTTAGTTTCTTCTATCAACGATATATGATAAAGAAGCAGATTGTATATTTTCGATGTTGGACGAGTCAAATTTGATGCTTGTTCATGACATTTTCTCTCTGCCTCGTTAAAAGTAACTGTTTGGAGTGAATACATAAAACATTTTCTATACCAGTGAGAATAGTACCATCCCTTTGGACAAAATGTCACATTTATATGCAAGTCTAAGTCATCTATTGTCATTTGAGGCTTTTCACAAACAAACGATAGAGTTTCCTTACAATAGCCTGCTGCAAGAGTGAATGAACTACTAAGAGAATTTAATGTTGAGCAAATTTTAACATTATCGTAATTTGCTAGAGTTTGATCGTTGTCACTGATCTTTCCATAATAAATTGGATATTCAGAGAGAGAATATATCGAGGATTGTATCTTTTCAAATCCGTTCCAAATCTCGAAGTTTGAAGGTATAGCTACTTTATTTTCGAATATGGTCGATACATCTTTTGAGAAAGATAAATAATTTTTCAAACTGAACATCCAACCGCCTGTCTTTTCACAACGTCTTTTAGCATCTTCAAAGGTATTACCAAATATCCAATTATCTGTAAATGAATCATTTTGGATATCATAGAATAATATAGTAATTACAAGAGCAATACTTGGATCTAATAGAAGACAGTATTTCTTTCCTGTGTTTGAGTTTGTTATGGGATATTGAAAAGTTTCACAGGTTGGGAAAGTCTGCTCAAAAATTTCACAAGATTTCCCAGTAAATGTCGGGGGACACTGACATATTCTCTCCTTAGTCTATTGTTAATTTATTTATATTGAGAAAAGCTGTCTATCTTTTATATTTTTTTCTTACATACCTTAGTCATAACGCATGTGCCTCCATTCAAGCAACTACGATCGTCACATGAATCTTTTAAAGTTGATAACTTTTTAGCAGAAGTATAAACTCTTAAAAATAATAGAAATATGTACAGATATCTTGTTAGAATCATCCTTATTTAATTATAAGTAGACGTCGATTAAACTATGAAAATGAAAAAAATAAAGATATTTTTTATTTTTTTCTATCAAAATTTACTTCTTGTTTCAGCATTTTTTCAATGCTGATCACGTGATGTTACGAGATGTGTCTATTTTTATCTTTTCAACATATAAATGTAAATAATATTTTTAGAATAATAATAAAATATATGCAAATAAACTGTGTAGTACATAAGTGTGTATTAATATACTCATTATACGATGTGCTGTGAAAAACAGTAAGAAAGTGTTTCCTTTCCAAAAATAGTTCAAACAAAGGAAAAAAGAAAAACTAAAAACTTCGAAGAATAAAAATTTTTTAGGCCTTAATCTTCTAACTATATATTACTTTTTTTTAATATTCTCTACGTCTTTTCTTTGTTTTCCTCGTCTCCTTCTTGTCTTCTTCTTCTTCTCCTTCTTCTTCTACTTCTTCTCCGTCTTATGCTTCTTCATCTCTTGTTACTTTTCTTCTTTCTCTTTTTTCCTTCTTTGTTATATCTTCATTTCATAGTTTTTTTAACAGTGAAAAGAAAAAATCTCTCATAGGAAGAAAATAATGACTAAAATTAAAAGTGAAAAGATAAAAAACCAACAAGAAACTGATTATAAAAAATAAGTTTATAATGATTTCTATCCTCTAGTTATTTTTCCTTAATTGTCTTTAATTTTCTGTTCAAGTAAAATTCTTATAGCTGAAAAATAATGAAAAGAAGAAACTATTCAATTCTTCTTCATAAAGTTCATAAAAGTACAAAAAAAAAACAAAAAAAAAATACAATGTACGGTGCATGGAAGAAAATAGTGAAAGATGCTATCCTGATATTTCGGATATTTCATTCTCTTTCTCAAAAGCCATATAATCAGACACATTATCGTCTTCTGACTTTTTGTCATTGATGATTAAATTATCTATTGATGTTTTGCTCGTTTTTTGGTTCAAGCTAGGTTTTTTTAGTTGTGTCCTTGGTAAACAGCCACATAGTTTCATCCAATTTTCACGTATTTTTCTCTCCATTAGAATATACAATAAAAATAGAAAGAAACCTTGGAACGCATTTAAAATGCAAAATATAAGTTGGAAAGTAAATTTAGCATCTTTTATTGCAAGGAAGCCAAATATCCAAGTAACCCCCATTATGAAAGAGAATAGAAGAAAGGCTCTTAATAAGAAGTAGTACTTCGAAGATTTGTTCTTGTTTATTCCATTAGCAGCTTCTGGTCTTTTGCATAGATTTTTCAAGGTTAATGTCAAAAAGATTAAATTAATTAGGATTATTAATCCAACGGGTAAAACAAATCCGTAATAAAATGGGGTTTCACTTAACCAACACCTATTTAGTTGTAAAATTTCTTTCAATATTATTCAGTTAGCCAAGCAATATACTTACAAGTCGTCAAACCCAAGAAATAGACTTTTATCAATTACTGCTAAAACAGTAATCGGAATGCCAGGTAATACTATTTAGGAAGAGGGTAAGAAATAAAATTAATGCTCTATCTAGCAGAGTAAGAACTTAATATGAGAAATAAATACTTACGCCAACAACATATAGCTGCAACTATGAGAAAATTTGGTGTATAATTATCAAATATTCTTACAAAGTTAATAAAAGCTAAGACTCCTTCGGCCAACATCCATAGGAAAGATGTTAGAAGAAAATAATATAAAAGTCCAGATATTGCTATACAAGCAGTGTCGTTTTCAGTTCTTTTTATACCAACAAGGAAAATAATATTGACAGCAATTAACGATAATGATAAATTAAATCTTAAAATTTGAGGCTTATTCTTCGAAAAAGATCTGCAACAGCAATTAATTAGTATGTTAATTAATTAAGTGGCCATGTTTTTATTACCTGAAAACAATAAAAGAAACAATAATAAAACCCAAACCAGCTATTGATAATGATATGCCAATAATAGATATATATGAAAGTGCTTCATCATCAGACGCACCATTCCGTTCAATGTCCATAAGGACAGCAAAATTGGTAAAATGATCACATTTACAGAATATTCTACCGTTTATTGTTTGATCAAAATAGCAACCATCACCAGACCAATTTTCAACCTTCTCGTCCCAAAAAACACATTTGAGCCTATCCTCTTGTAATTTATCTATCTTATTATCAGGTTGAAAAACAGTTGATATAGGAGGATCTAAATTCCTTAATTTCTTGTCTGTTATAGAAGCACTAATAACTTTACCAATGGGAATCTGTGTAGCATTTCTCCAAAATAGTTTTGTATTTGAGAATACAGATGTCACTATTCGAATCTCATCTGAAAAGTTTAAACTGCTTTCAAAAAATATTCCAGCCGCTGTATCGTTTAGTAGACGATAATCTGGTAAATTATCCATAATAAACGATTCATTTCGTAATAGATGATCGTCAGTCATGTTCTTAATGAGGAAACTGTTGAAAGGAACTTGTCTTCCTTGCCAAACTTCAACAGAAATTCTTGGCGTAAATATTTTTGCTTTAGTCGATCCCCTCCAATTATGACAAACTTTTTCAATAGCTTTAATTACTTTTGAGCTCGATTTCGTTGTCATTTGAGCTTTCATAATCTGTTCAGCAGGGGCTTTTAATAATTCATTAGCAATCTCAACAACATCAGTTATAGATTGCTTTTCAACACCTCTTTTTGTTGTTTGTAAATTTTCCAATATTTCACCAACATATGAAATATCAGTTGAAGATAAATTCTGATTTTTAATGATTGTCTTAGTCATATGAGTAATTTGTCCAGAATCCGATTGATTAGTCAAACTTTGCGACATTTTAGACACCTTCGATAATTGCAGTGTAATGTTTAGCTGTTCAGGGTAACAATCTCTTTTAGATTTCCATTTAATATTCTTAAAAGTAGGATATTCTGAGTCTATTTTTAAACATATTGCAGTTCCTAATGGACTTCCATCAGCACACTGAGCTGTTGTTTTTGAAAATGTACCAATTTTAGCTTCAGAGAATTTTGCACTGTAGTCTAAAGTTGAATTCTGTATAACGATTTCTTGACATTCATCACTTTCAGCCAATCTCATTAACGTAACTTTATCAGTATTTTCCAATAAATTAAATGAATAAATATTGTCAATAAATTTATTAAATCCATACTTTAATGTTTCTTTAATAAATGTTAAATTTTTATTAAATTCATCATCGAAAAAGTTGACGTAAATCTCATTTTCGATTATTGTTGATTGGTCAACTCTAAATTTCTTTAGATCGATATTAATGTTAAATGATTGATCTATAAATGGAAAATATTCATTATTCTTTAAGAGGTATTTTAATTTTTCTGTAATTCTTTCTCCTAAGCTAAAAGCTTCGAATTGATCCAAAATTCTTTCTATCTTTAAGATTGAAGTTATTTTGATGTCTTCAAATTCGATCCGAATTGGTCTTGAATATATTTCGAAATATTGATAGTTTACAATGCATACGTAAAATCCTTCTAGCGAAGAATAACGAAAATGGGAATCCTGTATTTTTATGTTTTACGTATGTGAAAATAGAATAAATTATTAATACTGTATCAACTTTAATATCCTTTTAAATTGTTAACTTACGTAATTTTTTGATTGAGTAATAATGTCCTCAACATCGATTCTATCCGCATTGTTTCTAAATCGATAAAGTTGATTATCTTTCTTCCAGAAGACTGAAGCCTTTAGTGATAAATCTTCAAAAGAGCATTCAATTCCAAAATCACTTGTTGTCGGTTTCCTGTATCTTTTAATCTGAATTTCCGGATTAATATCTACAAAAAAATTCAATGCATTAAACACTTTATATCAAACGGAAACATTCAAGTTAAATATTAAAAGTAAACTAACTATAGTTGGGTTTTTTTTCGCAAACGACTGAGAGTTTCTTGTGACATTCAGTCTGTTCCCACTTCCCTCTAAAGTCTGAATTATAGCATAGTTTTAATTGTTTCTCTGTATCTTTAATCCATGGTGTTGAATAAGATCTCTCTGTCGTTTTAGACATTTGTTGAGGTGTATATAGCCAAAATTTTATTTCTCTATGTAATATGTCACAAGAGCGTCCGTAAAAATCCTTTTTACATTCTGGCGTTTCACATTCACCGGTTAAATCACCGCAAGATGTTTTACAATGGCAATGTTTCCGACAGAATCCACTATACGTATTAGGTGAACATTTCATCATTAAATTACAACTTCGACTCGAACAACACATCTTAATTGTTTCGCATTTCGAATCTATGCAATTAATATAATATTCACATTTCTCCCGACTGCATTTAAGTTTATTTATGATAGCTTTTGATCCATTAAGACTTATTTCGCTAACACAAGAAACCTATATTCAAGGGAATAAAGTAGTTATATATCCTTTATAAACTGTTGTATACTTACGCAATTATTCGCGTATCTGATTGATGAATTGCAAAGTTTTGTTGTTCTGCATACGGGACAAGTTAAAGAAGATTTCTGCGGAACCATTGGACTTTTTGTAGAGTATTTTGAAGGGAGACTACCGTATACTTCGCTTAAAGGAGGTAAACCAGTACCGAAAGTGATGCTGCAATCAACTCCTCCGTATCCTTCATGACATTGACATTGATAGGTACCTCCTGGAAGTTCTAAGCAAATGCCATTTGGTTTGCATAAAGATGTATTTAGGCATGCACGTTTAGGACAAGGGCCTCCGAATATGCCGCTTGCACATTTACAAATATAGATTGGAGAAATACCCTTTATAAGCCTTATACATTCTCCGTTACTACCACATGGATTAGAAGAGCATGAATCGTATTCAAGAAGTAATTCGCAGTACTTCCCATAAAATCCTAAAGGACATTTGCAAAGTCTGCGATAGTTTTTAATTTCGCATATTCCTCCATTTCTACAAGGACTATTTAGACCACAACCAACAGAAGTCTGTTTAATAAGTATCACTCGATGTAGGATCTTACTGTTGTAAACAGAATTGGAAATGGGAATGTGGCCACCCATACGTGAACACAAACTAGCTCCATTTGAATAACTATAATTAACTTCGAAAGGTAAAAAGCATCTATTGAGATCTGGTGAATAGGTCCAATTATATTGACATAGTCTTGAACTCACATCAACTTTTAATTCAATTTTTAAAGGTTTTTGGCAGATGTACTGTTTTTTATTATAGCAATTATCTGTGTAATATTGGTTTGATTCATATTTTCCAGTGATAAATTTGCCACTGATATATGGACAAATATTATTTAAATCAAATGAGGAAAGTACAAAGGTATTGTTAAATTTATCGCCAATAGTCCCATAATACGTTGGGAATGTTGTCTTTCTATAGATGTATTTATTTGACAGCTCAAAGTTTATCCAAAAAGTTTTACTTTCTATATAAGGTATTGACGATAATCTTTGATTTAAGTTTTCAAGATATATTTCATTTTTATCTATTCCTAGTAGCCATCCTCCTTGATTTTTGCATTCTGTCACTGCTTGAAAGAATGTTAACGGGTATGAATTATAGCTTATGCAACTTTCAAATCCAATATCCTCAAAAAGATTCCAGCCAGCCTCACATTCTTGAATTTCCTCGAAGGGAAATTCACAATATCTCCCTTTGGATGACGGAGGACATTGACAAATACTTTCGTTATTCTATAAGATTAAAGAAGATATTAAGGATTCAAAATAAGTAGTATATGTTATTTAAATACTTTATTCATTTTATATCATTAATTAGTAGATTTAACAGCAGTTTTGCAATACAGTTTACATAAAAATATAAACGTACTCTAGTTTAGCCAACAGGCGAGAGGCCAGAGCACAATCGAGTATAAAAGAAGAATTGAAACAAACCTGACGTATACAAATTCCTCCATTAAAACAATAACTAAGTCCGCATTTTTCAGGAGAAAATCCAGAAAAACTTATTGTTATCCCACACAAAACACTTAAAATCAAGTATATCATTGGCTTTTTGTGGGAAACTAGCCACGATATATCGTTTGAAAGAACTGCTCCAAAGATATAATATTAACTTGTTCAATATTCCTATGAGCACGTGAACTAGCCCCCCTTGAGCTTAAAAATAGTTCAATTCTGCAATGAATGATTCATTATAGTCTTCGTTCATTCAGTCTACAATTTATTTTTTTATATGTCTTTCAAGTAGTCGTTGTCTTTAGTTTGGTATTTTGCGTTATATAAATAAATAAATAAGCAATTAATTAGATAATATTTATCTATATTTATGCAGAAATCTATAATTGCTATCTATATGGAAAAAGGTTATATTGCATATATACAACATATATTTCGAATTTGTTTATTTAATGATAAATTCTTCAACTCCTTCTACTATTATACAATATTCAAATCTTGATAAAAGCAACTCTATTGGGCGTCTTCAAATAGGCGAATCACCGATATTCAATAATTCTTTGAAATCATACTTAAGCGTATTAGTCAGCTGATATTTTTTAGGAGCTTTAGTCCTACCCTTTTACTATATTAGATTATATAATTAAAATTATTAATAGACACTCTATTTATTAACAAACTATACAAATTTTTTTTTTGTAAGTTTTACAAGCCTAAAGAATTTTTTATTAAAAGTTTATTTTATAAGAATTTAAGTGCACTATACTTTAATAATATAAACAGACTAGACATTGGGAAATGCCAACAGAAAGAAAATGTAATGACTCATTGTTTATCCTATCACCAAGAAAATTAAAATGCATAATATGTATTTAAGAATTAAAACTTGTTTTTATAGAAAGGAAATATATATTATATAGAAAATGGGGGTAGAGAGAGAGAGAGAGAGGGGAAAGATAGATAGATAGATAGAGAGATAGAGAGATAAAGGAAATAGATAGCTATAAGAAATATTAAATTCTTTTCCATCAAATAGCCATTTACAAATAAAATCTATAGAAAAGAAAATTCTTTTAAGAATTTGAATGAAAAGGTCTCTAACAAGCCCTTACGTCTATCTTTCTATAAATGCTGTTTATATCTGACGTAGGGAATTTTGTATAGCTATATAATTTAGCCATTTTTTTCCCAACGTATTCAACTTTTTCTGCGCTTTTTGTATTGTACTTTGACCCGTGAAGAGTATTTTTTCTCTGTTCAATATACACGAAACAAACTAGCATTTGTTCAATTTTGCTGCTTTTAAAAATACTATATAGCAATATAACTCAATAGCGTTGGGTGATAGAAATATAACTCATCCGCTAAATATACAACATGTTAGATATAGGTTATTTAAATATAATATATACCAGCTAGTTTTGATTATATAAACTCAGTGTACCTCGTAGCTCTATTCGAAAACATCAGCACAACACTTGCAACTAACGCCATCTAGGGGAGAACAAATAATTATGATAGAACGTTTCTTTCTTATTATTCAATACTGTTGTTTAAAAAGTGCTTACCTTCTAAGTGACAAATAAAGTTATTAAGCTTATCTACGTTTGGCATTAATTAAACACAAATTTTAATTAATCAACTTGCAGCTTTTGTGCTTATTTTGTTGCTTTAACGCTGCTATTACGTCATATTCTTTGAGATAATCCAAACTTTTGTTAACTTGAGATTAAACAATGACATTTCCGTGTATATTTATTCTATATTGTATAAACGTCGTAATGTGTAAACGTGAGAAAAGCCACATGCATTAGACTCCAGAGCAGCACCTTCAAATAGAAGCAATAAATATCTGTGATAGTCACTTTAATGCCTTTTTTAATTCACATTTATCCTCTCATCTCCTCCTTTTTCTTCTTTTTCCCCATATTTACTACACTTGATAGGTTACACTCATTAAATTCGCTCTTGATATTGAAATATATAATATCATATTTTTGTATACAGTAACTCTTAACGCTAAGGAAGTAAATTACATTATTTTCTTTTTTTGAGATTTTTTTTCTATCTTTCGATCGTATTTAATAAGAAATATCTTCAAATTATAGTACATGATCAATGGATATCTCTTATCTTTATATGACATTTTTCATTCAAAATTCCTTCCATTTAACTAATGACTCTTCTTTATTCGTTTGCCTTGGGATATCTCATTTTCAAATTTAAAATAGTTGTAAATACCTGTGTATGTAGAAAGAAATTCGCTTCCTTAACCTAAGTTGAAAGGATCACGTGACAAGGAATTTTTTCTAAAGTGTAAAATTAGCTAATCGCATAGTTGCGTATTATGTTAGAAATACCTTCCATTGTTTCATTACCTAAGTTTGATAGCGCTCTAAATATTTGAACATTTTTGACATTTTTAAAGAAAGTTTAACGTCTATTATAAGTTTGGATAATAATAAAATATAGATGGCATTACTGTATTAAAACAAAAGCAATCACTGTTCTCCTATAATAATATAATAGAAAGAACATACTATGACTAGCTTAGTGGAATGAATGCCATTTTGCCTTATCTACGTAGTAAAATTACTTTCTTTATTCTAAGGCTTATGTTTAATATGGCAAAGAGCTTATTAAAAGAATCTGCTCTTATTTGTGTTTGTTATTTTTGTCTGCTAGATTTAATACTGAATTATAACATTAATTACCAATTTATAGCTACTGCGTTGTAATATCCTTAATTATCAATAAAATTGTATTTTATTCCCAGATATTCTAAACAAAATAGTATATAACATCGTAATAAAAATTTACTAGAATATAAATAGAAGGTTAGAAACAGTCACTGAAAAGGATAGATAGAGAAAATAACTAAATAATATCGTAAGAATAAAATACGTCTAATACATTTGTTGAGAAAAACAAAGAGCATGTCATTAGCGAATATGAGAAAGCTTTGCTTTAAAAAAAAATAGAGAGAGAAAAAAAAAAAGAGTATTAGAAAGAAAAAGAAAATGATTGATTTTCTTTCTACTATTCTAATACTTTGTTAATTTGTAAATTTAAGGTATACATTCTCTGTTGTGTATAGGCTAGGCATAAGAAAATTGCTAAGGGTTGCAGAAATTATAATAAGATTATTGAATATATTGAAAATGCAATCCTTCTTTTTCGTTAACGCCAGAATATTATAATCTTTCGACTATGAATATCAGCAAAAGTGTTAAATTTTGATTAATATACTCTTTTTTGAGTTTTTTATTAAATGAATGAGAATTTACTTTATATTCATATTGTTAAACGATATAAATGAATATTTTCGTGTAATCTAATTACTTGGACTTAAGAAAGTAAAATGGCTGTTGAGTCTTTGCATGTTGGAGACTTTATTTGCTTGTATTCAGAAGATTCTCACGGATTTGTATATTCGTATCTTTCAAGTTCTATTCATACGGATATTGCCGTTAAATCAGGACAGGATAGACAAAATCCTGTCGCCGTTGATCCAGCGTCTGTTACGTTCGAAATATGTGTTGTGAATCGATATAAATTTGACAAGAAGTTTAGGAAGGCAAAATATGAGTCCATCTCGAATGAAAAACTTGCTCAATTACAACTGGCAGCTGAAGCTGAATCGGATGATAACGAAAATGAGAAAAAGAGACAATTTGGTAGAAAAGTCCTTTATGGACAAACGATACAACTAAGACACTTGTTTACTCAAAAGTTCATACATAGTAGTACAGAAACAACGGCTACAACAAAATCTGGAAGTATGAAAGTATTTCTATCAGAGTATAATGCTAAAAATGCTCAATTTAAAATCATGCCAAGATATAAAGTAAAAGCTGAAGGCGATATTGTGCAAGTTGAAGATCAAATTGTTTTCGAGTCTGTAAAAACGCCTGGACAATATCTTCATGTTAGCAAGTCTAAATTACCATCAAGATCAGTTTATAAAGATAGTTTAGAATTGAACTTATCAGTTAAACAATCTGGATTTAGACTCTTAAGACGTTATAAGCCTTCAAAAGAAATGACAAATTTTTTAAAGTCTGGTCATTTCGTGAGATTTTTTCATAAAGAAATAGAAGCATACCTATGTGCATCAGGACTACTAACGGGAGAAATAGCAGATGACGGTTGTATTAGATTTATATATTACGATGCTTTTGAACGCTTAAAACTTATTATTTTTTACTAGTTCACCTAAGGATTAGACCTGTAGATCAAAATATACCAAAAACATTATTTCCATCAACGTCGGCAATAACATATTGGCAGGTTGAATTATTATCAAGTAATCTAGATGGATCAGAAGTCAAATGGCATCAGCAATGCCGTTTAAAACATGTCTGTACAAGACTCTATCTACTGGTGAATCATGAAAGTGTCTCTTTAACTAAAGACGCCAATAATCCTAACACTGTATTCAAATTACATCCAGTTATTCAAGTACGTATACTTTACTTATTTGTTTATAGTACATAAAACTACTAATACTAATATAAAGAATCATTATTTAAACGAATAACTGATAATCTTAAGCAATCAGAGGAATGTGCTGAAACTAGCACCTTTTTGTAAAAACGAAATAAAAGGAGAGTTTAATTTTAGAGAGAAAGACACTACGAAAAGCTCTGATTGTTAATACATATATATATATATATATATATATATATATATATATATACATAAATATAAATATATATATAGTAAAGCTTATTGTTAGCTGATTCAATAATCTGACAGCGTTTTCAAAAGTCCATTCAGTTCATACGTATTCTACTTTCAATTTAGGAACATGATAACATTGAATATGAGACTTATTGCCGAATTGAGCATGTAGTTAGCGGGTATTGGCTACACGCCAGTTTGGGTATGAAAACTTATTTATATTTTAAGATGATATTGAATAATTAACATAAAAAAATTGTTAATATAGATGACTTTGTCGATTCTAAAACTTCAAAGGTTATTGGTTATGGTGAAAATTCAATGGATAGTTTAAAATGGACAACTGCATGTTTAAAAACAATCGGAGCAATTAAAGAAATGCAATACGACGACGCTTTCACGTTACAGAAAGTTGAGAATATCGATTGTAGAAATTTCTATTACGCTGCTGGTATTGTACCAGTCTTGTTAAAGTTAATTGAAATGGTTAATTAGTTTTCATAAATTAACTAAAATATATTAAAATAACTATTCTACTGTATTTAAATAGAAAACATCCGGTTTGTTTATAACGGAAAGTGAATGCAATGAGATTGTATCGGCAATAAATGAATTAGAAGATTTTTTAATTGTCAACTCGGAACCCGATAAGAATAGACAAAAACTGATGAGGAATTTAATGATTGTTGAATTAGTTGTTCAAATTCTACAATTTCCCAATAGAGGAAACAAAGATTCTGTTTTTATGACAAACATATGTGTTGAATGCTATAATCTTTTATATACCTATTTAATGGGCAATAGTAGAAAGAATGAACTATATATAGCAAAATACATACACTTTTTTAAAACTCAAATCTCAGTTGGGGGAGAAGTTGGTAAGATATTTTTCTTAGTGTTTACTATGTCCTTTTCTATATTGATTTGATTTTTATAGTATATGATTATTTTGTTTCTTTTAAGGATTAAGCGCTACTCAGATGGTTATGGAGCTAATAAGAGACAATAGAAAGATAGTTGATAGAATAAATAAGGAACATATCGATGAATTTGTTGATTTACTTAAAGTGAAAAAGAATTATCATTATTTAGATTTGTTAAGTGTACTATGCGTTTGTGATGGAGTATCTATTCCTGAAAATCAGTCGTATATTGCTCAGAAGTGGTTAAAGGATGGTGACAGGAGTTGTGTCTATTTAACGGAACTAGGTGAAAAGATAGGAAAAACTCCAAAGGTTGTCTACGTAGCAACAAAAAAGCATAATTGGAAACCCCTCCAGGAGTTTATGGAAACAGCTGGCAAAGATGAAACATTATTTTTGGAACATCAGCTTGATCTTTTCGAAAATCTTTGTCATGGAAGAAACCCTATCCCAATTAATATTATAGCTAACGACTTATGCTACCTGACTTGGGAAGAGGCTTATCTCTGTCTAAGTGATGAAATGCTACCTGATCAATTAAGAGCTCAGTACTGTAATTTAATAATAAGTTTATTTATTGACATTGACAAAAATTCAGCGGTCATGGAGAGAATTAATTTAACTTTCTCCTATGATGAATTAGATGAAGATGAAGTTTTGAATCATGATGATCTGCCTACTAGTGGAACAGAACACTTTAAAGAACTACATGTCTGGCTTTCAAAATTTTTTGATGATAACAAAGACATGACTGCCTCTGATATCGGTCATAATGTTCTTATTGAACAGGTTCTGCGATTAGTGCACTACCTTATAAGCCTTGGATTTTATAGATATAGAGACGATATTCGAGCATTGCTTCCCCCATTTTTTAATCTTTTAGATGGTAGAAACGATAAGCCATACAAATCCAAAGATAAAATATCGAGCGAAGTAATGAAACATTACCGAACTATTGACAGATACAAACAAAGTCGCGAAGGAAAAGCAATCGTTGACGCAAAAGTTCAAGCCATAAGAGTCCTAGATCTTGTATTTAATTACCGTTTCGAATCAAAATTAAAGGTAAAATATTATAGTAGAGTATATACTGTAAATACAAAATGTTTACAATCATTTCACAAAACCATTAGAGATTCATAAGAGAATTCAAATTGATCTACGAAGAATCAAATAAACCTGATTGTTCACCTACTTTAGGCCAGTTACTCACAAGAGAGTTTAAACCAAGTCCAAGGTAATTTATATAGATAATAACCATAAAAAGAAACAAATCTCTCTAATATATACTTTTTCAGTTTATCATCAACAGCAATGAAGAGACTTAAGGAAATGTCAGCAAAATCTGGCTTATTCGCAGGACTTAATATCGACTTTATAGATATATTCAAAGATTTATCATTATATGAATACGATACTATGGTTACAGGATCAATGAGTCTTATAAATAGATTTTTTACGAGTAACGAAAACTTATTTCAAAGAGCTATTCAAGCTCAAATCCTAATAAACGACGAATCGTCAAGGGTTCAAAAAGAGATACATAAATTACTACCAATTATGAACCGATTAACCACTATTAAAATGTCTTCCGAGCAAATTGAACAAATGATTGAAATTCTTGATGAATTTAGAAAATTTTGTTCACTTGAAAACGAACCGGAAGAACCTCATCCAATGAATCAGGCTATATTATACAATCATAGTATCATTTCAAGTTGCTTTGCCATATTTTCTCTACCATTAGATTTCGATTTGAAAGATCAGTATTCTGGAATGAGACGAGTTTTAGCTCATACCTTCCTTTTATTAAAGCATTTAACAAGATCGAATAAAACTGTACAGGAAAGGCTATTTAATAGATTAGATATATTATTAACAGTCGAAGGAGCAGAGCCTGAACTTGGTGAGGCACTAGTAGAGGTGTTTACGGGAAATAAAGATACTTGTATGAATGTTCTCCCTCAACATATTCAAAAGTTAATGCATCTTGTTGCTAAGCATAAATCGAAAGCACCTCAATTTTTGGACGTACTTAATGCATTGGTAAAAGTTGAAGAATTAGATTTACCTCTGAAACGCAATCAAGCGTACGTAATGAAATATTTCATGCAATTCAGAACAGATATTGCATTTGTTATTGATCAACCTGTTGAAAAACGTAATAACCTATTAAAATCTACAAATGAGGAAGCAGACTATCTAGCATCTCTTGTTGATCTATTGGCAACTTGTGCAGAAGGAGAAAATCAGTCTATTGAAACTCAATGCCAAACTATCTTTACTATAAATGAACTATTAGATGTACTAAATAAAACAGACATAGATAATCATCTAAAAAGACCATATTTAAGATTCCTTTTATGGGTTTATCTTAATACAGCTGGAGGAGGAATAGATTCGGCACCCAACGAAATTAATCATAACAAGTAATCTAATCTTTATATTTGTATTCTGTAAACACTAGTTACTTTTAATTCATTATATTTAGGAACATGTGGACGTTTATAGAACAATTATCGAAACACTTTCAAACAACTGCAAAATACGCCGAGGATAACCCAGAAGCTGTAATACATTTACTAAAGAAAGCTCCAACTAATTCGTAAGTAGGCTAAATTCTATATACCCTTTATATCTTATCCAATATAATAACATACATTTATTTCACTGAATGACTATTCTTTTCGTTAAAAAAACAACGTTGCAAAAAATAACAACTCGACTAAAGTTTATTTGTAATATAAGCCTACATATTATTATTTTTTATCTTACAAATTGCTCATCTTTAGCGTTGAACACTCGGAAAAAGAACATGGAGGAGATATTTCTCATCACAGTACTCTACACTTTCTATTTGACGCGGCCCTACCTTTCCTGCAAGTTTTCTTTAGCATTCACTATCAAATAGATAAAGAAAACTATTCAAATGAAGAAACTATTGTTCAAACTCTAGGCGAGTCTTTAATGTACTTTACTAGAAAAACAGTTGATCTAATATCGAATCCAACGCATATGAATCATCTTGTTTATTGTATGAGGTCTGTTTTAAGTCAACTTTCCAATATACCTTCCGCTGTTATGGAAGAATTTAAAGAAATATTTGCAAAAAGTGGTAATGTTCAATGCCTAAAATCCGAAAGTAGGAAGCAATATGACGAAGATTACCAACACGAAGAAGAGATAAACACCCTTTTAAATACATTTTCAAAAAATTTTGCAATAATATATGGCGGAGAGAACACCGTGCGAGCTCAAACGGGTTATCCGTCCGACGAATATTACTTTGACCCCGAAGGTGACGAGATACTACCTCTAGGTCAAGAATTTCAAGATCACCTTAGTGTTTTCATAGACGAAAAGGAGAAAGTAATTGATAAACGCTACGCTCTAGCAAGAAAGCTTGTCCAGCAGTTAGAGTAAGAACAATTTCCTTAGATTAATAAGATTTACAGCGATATTTGAATAATTCGATTTAAAAAAATATATTATTAATATGTTCTTCGCAGGATATCATCTACAACTCATCACGTGAATGAAAGAGATATTGTTATTCAAGAAAAATTGGATGTAAAATGTATTAAACTAATTAGGGGTTTAATTCACAACGAAATAGTTAAACTACCTCCAGATTGGTTAAATACGCCTAAATTACATACAAAAGCATTAAAAATGATTGAAGATGTCCAAAATTCATTAAACTCTTATAATGCAATACTTCCCGTTCTTTCCCATTTGGCAAAGAATAATTCAGAAATTATAAGAGAAGTTTTAGCCTTTCAGGCAACAATGTTATTCGGTGGTAATGAAAGGGTTCAACACAGTTTAATAGATTACTTCCTGGGGACTAGAGAAGAAAAATTCTTCCAGGCAATTAAGAATCGAATGCAGTATTCCAGTATTGCAATAAAGGAAAAGAGATCTCTAATGGCCCAGCATCAAGAAAAGATCAGAATTAATGTCGATCAAGCCAAAGCTCTTAAAAAGGCCATGCAACAGGGTAAAGCAATGGAATTACAAGGGCCAATGGGTAATGGTATTGTGGGATCTGGAAAATCACAAGCCAGGATAATGTTAGGTTCTAGAGCCTTAGGATCAAGAGCAAAATTAGGTTCTAGAGCTTTGGGATCCAGGATGAATCTGGCCTCTTCAAGATTAAACATTTCTCCTAGCCCCTATTCCTATAGTAAGAATTTGGGACGAAGTAATGGTAAGATTATTAATATTAAATCAACGTCAAACGGTAGTATTTTGGGAAATAATAAAGATTTAGAAAACACTAAAATATCCTTTGAGAATAATTCGAGGAGTTCATCAGTCAAAAAGAATCAAGTTGTGCCCATTAAAACTTCGAATGAGATGACTGATGAGGAATTAGAGGCTATGGTTAAAGAATCCCTAGGTGACGTTGGAGATATGGAATATAAGGATGATGGTTATATAAACCTAGTATTAAAACTGTTAGGTTTAATGTGTGACGGTCAGAATACTACTCTTCAAGATTATCTAAGAGAACAACCTGATAACATCAAATCTGTCAATCTTATATCAGAAACAGCTAGATTTCTAAGTCTCTTATATTCTTCGATCGACTCTCACAGTATAGGCCTAGTAACAGAACTACTTGGTACTCTCGTTGAATTTACATCCGGAAATGCGACGAATCAAACAGTTGTATTCGATAATAAAATAATAGATTACATAAATTTCATTCTTCGTGGAGCCCAATTTCAAACATGCGATGATGAGAGCATAAGGGGATTGAAAATGGCGGTCATAAATTTATTAGTATCTTTAGTTGAAGAACGAAATAGTGGAGGTCATGGAGTTGCTTATGATGTTGCCGAAGCAATAGACTTTGACAGTATATTTCTAATATGTATCGAATGCTATCAGAGAAGGAAAGAAGAACAAGTTCTCGATTTAGGCTTTAAGTATTTCCATTTCTTATTGAAAGTATGCGAAATAGAAGAGAAAACTTATAAATACAAACCAGAGAATGAAGAGATATGGAAATTTTACAATTCAGTGACGTTAAGCATTGAAATATTAAAAGGTCTGTACAATTGATCAAACCATAGTTTTTAAAAGAAACCATTTAAAAATATCTAACTTATTCTTCTTTTAATGCAGATAATCAACTGCAAAAGGTATACTTCAGAGTAAAAGATAGAAGTGTTCTTCGAGATGATGTTAAGGAAAAATTTAAATACGAGGTTGACCGTTCATCTCCCAGTAATAAATTAAGAGATTTTATGGAGTGGAGCAAAGATATCATTAGAGATATTAAATATACAAGAAAAGTGCTTAGTAATCCATTTTCTCGTTTCTTTGTAAAGTTTTGGTATCCATTTAATATGTTAATGATCTTTATATCACTAATCATCTTTATAACAATAATGATAACTTGGAAAGCCCCCCAGAGTGGTTCAACGATTAAACCTGATTATCGTTATGATTTTACTCCAATCATAATTTACATTTTTGGCGGACTTCATAATGCTGTTACTTTGTGCGTGACTATTTCGTATTTTATTACAAACTCACCAAAATTACCCAATATCGGTAAATTTATAAGAAAATATAAGTCATCAGATAAAGAAGATATAGAGGAGGAAGAAGAGGAGGTAGAGGGAAACCTTCGTGTTAACTTTTTGTCATTTGAAACTCTCTGGTATATCGGTCTTTTCATATTTTCTATTTTAGGAACAATATTCTGGGGATATTTTTTCTCATTTCATTTGTTGCACGTTGCTCAATTCAACCAAATGTTAAAAAGGGCTATAAAAGCGGTTACTCTGAATGGCTATTCAATGCTTTGGGTATTCTTATTCGGATTAGTTTTCATATATATATACGCCCTTATATCTTTTGCTGCCTTTAGAGACTTATATCCAGGAAAGAATGGTCTATTTTGCAGTACTATGTACGAGTGTGCTATAACAGTTTTGCATCACGGCTTCATTACTGGAGCTTACGAATATCTACAAATTCCTGAAGATAAAAACTTTACATATTATATATATAAAGTATTATTCGATCTGACCTTTTGGCTAATTATTACAACTATCGGTTTGAATATTATCTTTGGTATTATAGTTGACACATTCTCTGAATTGAGAGATAATAAATGGCAAGTTGAAAATGATATGAGATCATCGTGTTTTATTTGTTCAAAGGCAAGTTACGACTTTGAACATCACGGAGGGGTATGTAAAAAAATTGCTTATATTTGCATATATTAAATTATACGCTTATTCATCTCTTTGCATTATTAGGGATTTGAGGAACATGTGAAAAAGGAGCATAACCTTTGGGCTTATTTATTCTTCTTTATACATTTAGATGAAACAAGATGGAACGATTATACATCAATTGAATTGCACGTTCACAAGAGTGTAAGTTGATTTTTTGTAATTCGACTATTTGCAGTTTAATCTAATTCTAAAAGATATCTTCTGTATGAGCTCTTTTTTTACAGTTGGAGAGGGAAACATACGATTTTTTTCCATTGAACAGAGCCTTATCGCTTCGGTTGGACGAAGACTCGAATGAAATGAGAATGGAAAGTATGGCGGAACAGATTTTTTACATTGCTAGTAAATTAAAAGAAGAAGAGGCTGAGAAGATGAAGGCAATGGAACGGAAACGAGACTTAGAATGGGAACAGCAACATAAGAGTAATAAAAGAGTATAGGTTGACATTTCAGTTTTTTCTATCTTAAAACTCTTAAAATATTTAACAAAAATATTGGTGCATACTTGAAATGTCACTCTTTAAGTTTGCTATTAACGAAGATATTGTCCTCCAAATAGTTTAAAATAACTGTCGAGGACGTTAGATGGCGCTGATAATTTAGTGACAAAGATATTTCTACAGACTAATGCAATAAGACTTGTACAATACTCTCAATCAAGTAATGGAGCGAACTTTGCATGCTTTACATTCTAAATTATAAGTATACGTGTATATTAATATATGTGATATGTGGACATTTTTTATGAATTTAACCCTTTTATATCTTGAATATTCGTATCTTAAACAAAAAGTTTGCTCAAATTTCTTTAATTTATTGATATTTATAATAAAGTAAATTATTTGTAGATTCTACAACGTTTTCATATATACAGTATATATATATGTATATATATATTAATAAAAATTAATCTTTGCCTTGATGGGTTGTCTGTAAGTCTAATTAATAAAAAAGGAAAATATTTCTTTTTACCATCATTCAATTAACAACAGCCCATTGCATATCGTATAATCGACACTCAGTCTCTTTTCTAGGCCTATATTTAATAAACTGATCCTCACTCTTCGAGTTAGACTACCAAAAGATCTATTTAAAAATATTGGATAAGGATTATTTTTTGTTTTAAGGATATAAAACTATTTAAAAGAACTTAAAAATTCAGTCTAAGTGTTAATTAGCCTTTATTTTCACCCTGTAAAATCTAATTAGTCGAATCGAATTGGTGCATTTACCCGACGATTTTGTCCACTTTTTCTATTTATCTAAAAAAACATAAAAGTACCTTGGTAAAATTTTTAACGATAGCAATGGAATAGCTAGAATAAAGAGATATTATAAAGATATTAATGATTAATTCATTTGTCTTTATTCAATTTGCCAATGGACGTTGTATTCTTGTATTATAGAGCTTAAAAGCGATAAAGCTCCTATTTTTTATAGATAATAGTATACATTATATCTTACACTGTATATTTGTATGGACATTTATACAATATAACACTAAATTAAGTCTTTATATTTCCATTACTGTAATAAATTTTAATTAAACTATTTACGGTTAAACCCTCTCATGCTATAGAATCAAAAGACTTTAGTATTGTGTTGATTCTCATATGGTATAAGTTTTGGCGTCCAGGGGCAAAATACAAACGCCATCTAGCAAACGATATTTTCTTTATCGATAGATGACAAAAAAAATTTATCCAAATATTCATCGACGCCTCTTTTCATTTCATCACAATTCTTTTTTAACTTTTTTTTCTATTTTCATTCTCATTTATCTTCTTGAATAATCATTACCCAGAGGTGCCGATTGGTATTTTTAAATTAAAAAAAGCCTCTATTGTCACTCCTTCCTCTTCTCTCATTATTACAACCCTCTCTTCTCCTAAACCTCTCACTCTTAGTTTTTTTTTTTATCTCTCTCTTGCTCTCTTATTCGTTCTCTCTCTCTCTCTCTCTCTCTCTTCCTCTTTTTCTTATCTAATTGTGTCTTTTTTTTCCAAAAAAACGGCTCATACATCATTTTTTTTTAAATTTTTAACGGTTATTGTCACTATTATAAATTTGGAATATTGCTGGCTTATATGAAAGCAAGCTGAATATATTTCATAATCTAGACCAAAAGGACACGTAGCAACAGCTTTCCTGGTAATAGGCCTAATAATATAGATTTTTTTTTTTTTTAACCTTCAAAGACGTCACCAATTTAGTCTAAGGGTATATAAATAGTATAATAGCCGCAGCTTTTGACCTAATATCTATAAAGAAAATGACATTTTTTCCTATCAATAGCGATTGCTGAGAAAATCAATTGTATTAAATTTTATTACGTTATTATTCTATATCATATTGTATGTACGTATGTTGCAGAAAGTATATAAATATAGTACTTTTTTATGTTATAATATATGTATATAACTACGATTAAGCGCTTTTTTTTATTGATATTAAAATACAAAGCTGGGACAAGAAAAAACTTGTATATAAGAAAAAGCATGCCCATACCTTGATGCATAGGTTAATAAAGTGTTACAAGAGCACAAGTAGCGATGCAGAATGTATTTTAATGCAAGTTTTCGAAAAGTTCTTTTCTCTTTAAGTTTTTTTTTTTCTTAAAAAAATTTCCAGAAAAAAAATCAGACTAAAGTAATTTATTCCACTTCATCATTTGACTTTTTTTTACTCTTTCTTCTCTTCTTCTTATTCTCTTTTCCCCTCCTCCTGCTCCTCCTTCTTCTTTCTTATTCCCTCTCTCTCTCTGTTGTTTCCATACCTCCTTTTTGTTTCCGTCCTTCCTTCCTTCCTTCCTTTTTTTCCTCATTTTTACCCTTCCAATTTCTGTCTTCCACCCTTTTCCCAATTAATATAATTGTTCTATAATTGTTGAAGAAACGAAATATATTTGTTTACTTGCGATAGAATACGTAAAAAGGATTTTGTATTTCTGCATAAAACTGATTCTTGTATATATTCATCAAATATTTTATTTTCTTAGACCTTCGCACATTTTAATAAACGAACTTAAGATTGAATTATGCCGAGAATGAAAATGTTTTTTCAGAAATATTTCCTCTTCTTCTATTGTCTTTCCTGGAAAAATTTCCCAAACCAAAGATAAAACTGATTGAACCAATAGAAAATTGAGCAAAAAGTGCATCCATATAAGAAAGAAACGTGAGCAACTGAAAAGCCAAAAATAGTTTATTCCCAAGACTGTCGGCTCCTTTGAAATTTTGTTTTTTATGTTAGTAAATCCATTGAGAGTAGTTTATAAAACTTTAATGAAGATGCTTATTGGAGTATTTTGCAGATTGAAAAAAAAAACTTTCCCGTAGCAAACTACCATCCAGGGAAACTGTAATAAGTTATTCCCCAATTTTCTAACTACGAAAAACATTTTCGCTTTCCTAAATTGATATTCTTTTCACCTCTATTTGTCTTTCAAGACATTTATTGAGGAAAATTATATCAGTCCTAAAAGGTTGCTAACGCCATCTACTTGGGGATTTTTTAATTATAAATACTAACGTGAGAAAGTTTTCCCAGGAGTTGTCTTTTTTTTATATTTTCTATCAATCAGGTAGCAGAACCCAAAAGTTGAAAAAAGAGAAATGGATAGGGAATGATAGAATCAGAAAGAAAGTGGAAGAAATAAAATGAATCGTAATTAAATAATTTTGAAAATAAAAAATTTTTTAGTTGTCATAGCAATCGAAGAGAAAAACTATCGAAAAAGAGATATTTTCAATACTTCTGTTGTTTTCTTAAATTGTTTTTTCCTCTTTAGATTTGCGGAACAACCGCCGGAGGGAAGTTAGCAAAATCTAACACATTACAGGAACTAGACCTGGCAGCAATATCCTTAGTAATTTGTTCAACAGCCGCTAATTTAGTAATAGCATCATGGTTCTTACCCAAAGCACCTATTAATAATCTGCCATCCTCTGTTAAACCCGCTCTAAGCGTATACCTTTCAATAGGTTCGCTTAAGTCGTAATCTTTAGAAAACTTTGACTTGGATTGTAGCTCTTTTGTTTTTTCTTCGTGTTTCGCTCTTACCATTATCCTATCGGATTTTAATATTTGAACAGCGATTTCCTTTGGTTTAAAGCACTTTCCAATTTCTATTAGTAATGACATTCTTCTTTCTCCATTTTGTCCAGAAAAAGTAGGAATGTTTGGCTTCAGCAAGTGAGATGGAGTCTGGGGACTAGAATTTGTTGGAGAACTAGGAGGCGATGATCTACACCTAGATATTGTACTAGGTGAATGATGAAATTTCTTGATATTTAACGATCTAGGAGGCATCGGAGCTTCAATAATTAACACCCCATCAGATGTTAAGAAAGACCTAAGTTTAGAAATATCAACGTCCCTCGGCTTTTCTATCTTCCTCACGAAACTACTCCGCTCCCTGTAGTCAACCGTAATCGCATTATAATTAACTTTTCATTGTAATACTATTAAGGAAACAAAATAGAATAATCTAATTATTCATAATTCCTTAATCATCTCAATTTTCATGCATTTTTAAAAATTTTATGAGAGATAAATTAGTAAGGAGACAAACAAAAGATAATAAGTATTTGCAAACAAATGGTTGAAAAGAAAAGAAAAGAAGAAAGGATGTTTTAATCTATAAGGAAAAAAAATCAATTTATATTTTCATCCTTTGTAAATATTTTATCATAAACTGGTAAATACAAGAATATGATGAAACAGTTGTATAATTGAATGAAGAATTGAATGGTACCATGAAGAAAATATGGAAAATAAATAAAGAAACACGAACAAAGAGCGAGGGGCGGAGAGATAGAGAGACAGAGAGAGTGAGAGAGTGAGAAAGAGAAAAGGGGGAAGGGGGAGGGAGAGACCCAATTGTAGAAAAAAAACAAATAAGTAAAATTTACGACTGCAAATTTTATTTGTCTGAGTATTATCGTAAATAACATAAGAAAAGTATTAAGAGGAAAGAAATAAGGAAAAAGAAAGATAATGATATTATTCTTATGTGAGGAAGGAATTAATTTTCAAGGTAATCGGAAATTAATTAAAAATTAAATATAAAGCAATTTATAATAAGAAAAATAGCGAAATTCTTCTTTTTACTTACTGTGGATATGTATCATCTTCTTTGGTGGCTCTTACAACTATTCGATCTCCATCAACATTGATATTTATTGTATCCTTATCATAATCCTCCATATCAAATCTCAGTTTAAAAAATCTTCCCCCACTAGGATATTCCAAGAAGAGTGTTTTCATTCTCTTAACATCAAGAACATCTGTACTTCCTCTTCTCTTTAGAACTAATGGTTCGTTAATTTCTTCCAATGAAGGCCATTTTCTATCCTCCGGATAGAGCTTCAAAAATTCATCTCTCATTCTACCTACTTCCATTTCCCATTTGAGCTTTTTCCTTAATACCTCCTCTTCCATTTTCTTTTGAAGTCCCCGAATTCTCTCTTTTTGAATATCTTGAAATGTTTGACTGTCTCGCCTCACTTCCACAGTTAACCCTGGCGTGACGTCTATTGCATCTTCCGTCATTTGGGCCATGTTTAGGCCTGTAAAAAAAGTAGAATCGTTATTCCAAACATAGTCATAAATTTCTCTATACTATAATTCTCCTATAATCTTAAAAAAATACTAAAGTCTGTTGACTCTCATGACTAGATGGCATTTGTATTGCAAAATTTACATAATCTCATAGTATTGCTAAGAAAAACCAGACGGGGGGGGAAAATGGATAATAATATTAAATCTATAAAATTCCCGTAATCTTTCCGATTATCTAAGTTTCATTCCCTTTCTTCCTTAATCCTTAATTTATTTATAATAAAGAATACCAAAAAAAAAAACACACAAAGACCGTCTCCATGTCTCATTTTCCCTAACAAACTACTAAGTCAACAGTTTCATTGTTTAAGCTTGCTACGAAAAGTATAATGTAGTTCCCAAATTATTCCCAAGAGTGTATTCTGTCGTTTTAGCTTGCAAAACAAAATCTATCCTATTAAATAGGTTAAAAATAAACTTTATCAACTTATTCTAAACCCCGTTTGAAAGCTATATACAATATAAACATATAATATATACTGTATGTATAAATAGAAGCTGTACAATACATATATATGAAATTATGATTTCTTCTCTTCTTAAACAGATGCTATTTCAGGATCTATTCATAAAAATTAAAAAACATAATCATATGCAACAGAAAATAATTATTTTTCTTTAAAAAGAAAATAAATATTCATTTGTGGATTAAATTTTTTTTATTTCAGATTTTTGTAACAGATGTAAACTAATTTGTTATTTTGACAAAGTAGGCCTGATCATGGGCATTGAACTCGTAAATCTTCTTATGGGGCAATCTAACGAAAATCTCTCTATTCAGTATTTCATTATTTAGCTTCATCCCTTTTCGAAGGATTTTTTTTTATGAATATACAAATACATCTTAATTAGTATAATAGCATTTATATATATATATATATATATATATATATATATATACATATTGCATGTAAACTGATAACATAATTTGTTATTGTTCTGTATAATATTAATTAGGATTTATTTTCATTTGTGCGTTATTAGTATTCACAGACTCACAGATTCGACCTTTAAAATCGTTTAGTATTTGCTTTCGTAATAAACAACTGAAGAAACTTCTCCTAAAACACAAGAGATAGATCAAAGCATGACAAACTGAATATTAAAGAGTATGATACTTGGCACCATAACAGAATTTAACAAGAAGAAATGAAAAGAGTTGGAAAGATTAAGAGATAGAGTTAGAGAAATAAAATTACAGATAAAAAAAAGGAAAAGTCCTTTAACTAAATAAGGTCAACGCTGACGTTTTTTTTAATAAAAATAAACTGAACTCTTGGTAAGACCTTGTTAAAAGTAGAACGGCAACTGATGGTGATTTGCCAACAGATTGGTCAACCAAACACCAGGCTTCTGTTGGAGCCACGAGACAATCTATAAAAAAAATATGGCTATGGCTGCATATATCCCTTGTCGCTGAGTGAGTTCAGGCGTTAAGCAAAATGCAATTAAAAGCGGATGAAATTGACAGAGAATCACATAAATTGCACCATTAAACAATGGAGAAATTTAACATTTATTGATAGTTCTCACTAAAAGCTTTACTGAAATACAAATTACTATGTCGTCAATCAATAAAAAACCTTATGATCCCAATTACATAGTAAAATAATAATATATTAATAGAATAGAATAGCATATTAAATTCTCCACCAAATTATGTACTGGTCTATAAATAGATGTTTCTCTCAACTACGAAACAAGATGAATACGCATTTGGATGTAATGGTTTTATGCAGTATCATTCTATGATGTTTGTAGAAGGCATATTATTAATAAAGAATGACTCTGAGATTAATTTGTACACGCTTAAAAGAATTCCTGAATAAGTCAGAAGCTCGAAGCGTAACTGATTATCTAATGATTCATCGGAAACAATACGGTTACGGTTTATTAAACTCTATTTTATGTTAACCTATATACATATAATAATTAGCTGTCTATATTCGGTCTTCAGTTTCTTAATTATTCTACATCTAAGATATTTCCATAAGGATATTGTAACTAGGAGGTTGAGAGGGAGAGACAGACAGAGAGACAGACAGAGAGACAGACAGACAGACAAATACAGAGTCACAGTCAGAGGCAACGAGAGAGAGATAGATAGATAGATAGATAGATACAAAAAAGCACATACGCAGAACAAAAGAGACACAGAGAGACAGAGAGGGAAGGAGTAATGGAGGAAAGAAGTCGAGAGACATAAAAGAGAGAGAGAAAGAGACAGTGAGAAAGATTGGCTAAAAAGAAAAAAGTAAAAGAAAACGAAAGTGTTTTACATAATGGCATTAAGAAAATATGCTAAGAAAAACTAAAACAAGAATATAAAGAGAAGCTGGTTTTAGTACTCCATATGAAAGCGATAGAATAGAAAGAGGCGAAAGCTTAACAATGAAAAATGATAGTAGCCTTAACGGTTAACCCCATAAAAGAACTTTATCTTTGCATAATAAAATAACATCAATCAAAGTAAGTCAAAAAGAAGAAAAATTAACAATGTAGCAAATAAATATCTATTTATAGGCCTAATTAATAAGAATTATTTTCCTTGTATACAAATTTTTGGATAGAGAAAAGATTATAATGATAGATTATCCGTAAGTAACTTAATTATCAATTTATTTAGTATTCTAATAAGTCTTATTGAATGCTAAAAATAAAACTAATTTCAATATAAGATGTCAATACTGCATTTGTAGTAAATATTCATAAAAATAACAAATAAAATAATAAAAATAATAGAAATTCTCTACATGAACCAAAAGCATTAACACCATATGTTTTGGGCTTAATTAAAATCCTATAACTTGTTGTGCAGTTAATTTGTGGCTTATACAAGAATATACACGTACTGTTCTTTAATATAAATGTATATAGTAATAAACAAGTTTATGTTCAGGTTAAAGAGATTCAGACATCAGATCAAAGTGAAAAAGTAATACGTAGAATGCGTAAGACACAAGATAACTTTTGGTAAAAGTTTTATAACATTTTGACAGTCTCTTTCGGCTTGCCCTTTTTAAATTCATATTAACATGTATAGAACGAAAAGACGCGATTGGCATACATTAATATATAATAAAGGCATAGAAAACGTGTAAAGGAAACAAATGAAAGTGGACAGCGGCCATTTTTACGACTATATTCGGTTCCCATGCGCAATTAAGCGCGAGTGCCCCGCTCGTTCCTTTGATAGAATACGCATTTATTTTCTAACCTAATTACTATCAGTCATGAATAATTTAAAAGTAAAAATTTTCCCCTCAAAAATAAGATATAAAAAATAAAGAGAACAAAAAAAAAATAACACCAAACTCAGCTAAAAAACTTGAAATAAAAAGATGAAAAAAGAAAGGTATGGAAAATTGAATGGATAAAAGAAAAACAAGAAGAAATTTCGTTCAAAGCAAACTTTTTGTTTTATTCAAAAATTTTCTTTCTGTTCTTTTTCTATTCTAAAAAATTACAACATAAATAAAGAACTTGATTGTATATTCTTGCAACCTTTCTTTTTTTTTCTTTTTTTTTTCCAATTTAACTAATTCATGAAGAATCAACAAGTTGATTTCGTAAATGATATATAGATGCTCCTATATTCTTTATATGTAAGGATACATACATAGAAATATATACTTATATTCTATTCTATATTGACTTTAAGTAGACAATTCGTATATATACAGTAAATATATATATATATATATATATAGAGTATACCATAAAATTGGAAAACTAATTCTTTAAGAAAGCTTACCTGCAAATGAGCATATCAAATTTTAAAAAAGAATAAAATAGACTTGCTGTATATTCAAATAAAAAGAGCGTTTTTTTTTCGTTTCCTTTTTTAAATTACTTTATTTTTTTATTAATTGTCTAATTTATTAAATATAATTTTTTTTTGAAAGTGTAATACATGCCTCATCTGCAACGCCGGCAGGTTTTCTATCGATTGATTTCTTTTATGTATTTCGAATGTTTATGCTGGCGACCTCTACTCTGCAATGTCTGCAAACCACTGCAACGCTTAGGCCTACTTAAACGAATTTTAAAATTCTTCTCCCGGAGTAGGCCTATAATATAATCTTTTTCCCTTTTCTATACTGAAACCTATGTCGGTTATAGTAGTTTAAGGAAAGAAGTGCTGGTAAAATTTCCTCAACGGGACTAATCTAACGCATCTCCAGCTTTAAGCTTTGGGGACTTTGGGAATCTTCCTCGCTTTTTTATGGATTGTATAAAAAGTGACAAACTTTTATGTAACTATCATTAAACATACACAACAAAATATCTTTGCATTCGCTTCTAATATTTATAATTTAAACTTCGAATTGTGAGTTTGTCAATATAGGTATTCAACATTTTTCATTGAATAATGAAAGGTTTTTTAACTTAATATATTCCAAATTATATATATATATATATACTGTATCTATATATTGTTTTTTAAATATACAGGACGTAAAATAAAAATTTATTCCCAATTTTTCTCAACTTCTGACGCAAATATAAACTCAGATATACTAAAAAAAGAAAATACTATAAAAAAAGTAAAGGAGTAACGTTACTTTTTTGTCTCCTTTCCGTCCAGACAGAATAAATTGAAGAAATAGTTCCATTATTTGTCATACAAACATTTTTCACGTTTCCTGCTCACTCTAAAGATAGCTCTTAAAGAGAACGTTCTGAACTGTACAAAACTTTTTTTAGAATAACAAGAAAGACAGAGATAGTGAGACAGACAGAGTGAGACAGTGAGACAGGCAGCAGGCAGAGAGGAGAGGATGGAGAGAGAAATTTTTAAGATAATCTCTAGATGGCGTGATGCCTCTATATTTCAGAATATTTATATTTTATAATGTTTTATATCTAAATATTTATATACTTTTAGGTATTTTATAACTTTTATCTGTAATATAGATAGTTTTATAAATAGCCAGTAGTCACATACAGTATATAGACAGTATCTATATTATATTATATATTGGAAGAATTACTATGATGTTAAATATATACAGTAAAACAACATATGAATGTAAAATATTTATTAATATTTTACCTGAAAGTACGCTAATTATAGTTTTTAATGCAAGTACTGAATATCTGAGTAATAGCATTGAGATGAAGATAACTAAGATTCCTTATTTGTTTAATTAATTCTATAACAAGAATTTTAAAATAGGAAATTTTCTTTTTCTTTTTAAAACAAACAAAGAGCTTTTTTTATAAGAATAATGTTTATTAAAAGCTACAAAAGTCGACTTCTTGATAAAGTAAACTTAAGAAAATTGGTTACGTAAAAAGAGATTTCTTGGTATTTTATTCTAAAAGTGAAAGTCATTTTGTAACTTAACCTTTAATATAATTTTAAGAGTCCATCAGTTAGTCGTGATACGGCAAATTATTCCACTCTTCTTCTCTTACTTAAAAAGGGACGTAAATAACTCTTCGCTGATAGTTCAGTCTTTTTTGTTTAATGATGAAGGACTTTGGGGTAAAAATCTTTGTCTTACTGTTACTCTTAGCTGCAAAAGGAGTCTATTTACAAGATCATAAAGGTAAAAAGTGATAAATTTATGACTTTTCTTAGTTCTTTTCCATTTCTATCTATATAACAATTCATTTCATCTTTATCGATAGTAATAACAAAACAAGACCAACACCATACAAGAACAGCCCGGCGCAGTTTTCTACATGGAAGAAGATATCAGAATTACGTATGTACCCAATGTCTATTGTATAGAAAATTTTATTGTTATTCCGGAATTCTTTGGGATTGCTTAAAACTTTTTAAGGACAACTAATAGATGTGTTGCATAATTTTTAATCAAGTATTAAATGTCATATATCTTTATAGTCTTATCTAATCAATGTTAATTCTTTTGTCGAGAATAAAATGCATTGTATTAAGTCAATATCATCTTATAAAACTTAATAAATTCTATTAACTATATGGTTAGTAAGGTATACATTTTTAAAAACCTTTATTACGTTTAAACCTAATAATACGCTTTATTATTAAATATTTTCAATAGTTTTTATTATGGTGGAGGGTATTATGTAATAATAAAAGAATTTTGTTTATTAATAACTTAAATAAGCTATTGCGTAATATAATTTAGTATTACTCTATTTAACAATAACTTTTCTATTAAATTTTATAGTTCTACTGTAAAATTACGTTTAAACTGCTATATTTTCGTATAATACTTTTATTTTATAGATAGTTTCGTACTTGTAGAAAAAAAATATTTGCCCTAAACAAATAATATCATAGTATATACAAATAAACATTTATATTTATGCCACTATATTAGATTTTAATTGAGAAAGACTTTTTATAATCTTTCACTTTATAAATATTCATGAATATAAAACTTTTTTATTCTTTCCTTATGAATATTGATAGGAAAATATTAATGAGCTGTCATTCTGTTGTCAGTGCTAAACAGATTTAAAACCAAGAAGTAAGACTTTTATACAAACGTATAAATATTCAAATTAAGATAATTTTTATTATTCTATCCAATTAACATACATTGTTTACAAATCCTGGTAATACTTAATAAGCAAGTAGTGGATATCGAAGACAGAAAGCCAGAGGTCCTTGGAACATGCATTTCATCGCCTTAGTTATCTTAGTAAACATCATTTCAATCGGTAAGTGATTTCATAAAATTTCTCCCTTTTGTATTTACTTTCTCTCCAAGGCAACTACTCAAATATTTTAAGTCTATGAAAGAGAAACTAAACAAATCTATTCCTAATTATAAAAAGAAATGAAATAACTTTAATTTTCTTACAGATCTAACTTGGCAAATGGCCGTAATAAAGCCAGAAGTCGATCTGGATTGGGACGGTTATTATCAACCAAATAACGCTATTTTTCCTAATCTCAAATCTCGTAATTCCGTCGGAAAAAGATCAAAATTCATGACTTACTGTAAATTCTGTATGTCTCAGCCATTTTTTTGCGGAGAATTGTTAATGAAATGTTTGAGTTATAATAATTAATTTTTATAAAAAAAATAATAAGTAAAATGGACGTAAAAGTGACAAAACAAAGCTTCAAAAATCAACCAGAAGTTTAACAGAACTAAAGGATATAAATAAATATATAATATAAAAAATTTATCTCTATAGGCTTATTGCATATATATGTAAATGTAAAACCTTTCAAGACATTTGCCAATCTATCTTCAATTTTAAATTATTCTAATGTCCATGTCTTTTATTTAATTTTCTTACAAAAAAAGAGTTCTCTCTTTTTTTCTTTCTCTCTCGCTCTCTCTCTCTTTCTCTTTCTCTTTCTCTTTCTCTTTCTCTTTCTCTTTCTACTAGTTAATTATCTATTAGATTATATAAATAAAAAAAATAGTCTTAGTATTAAATCATTTCACTTTAAATTACATAGAATAACTATTATATCCCCATTTATTTCAATCATATAAGAAAATTTAATTGCATCCTTTAAACGTTGACTTTATTCAGTTAAATTAAAAAAGTTGTGATTTTGTTTTATATATTATGGAAAGGATTAGTGAACGATACAACTAACATGCTAAACTTCCATCTATAGGAATTACCTTGTTCTATGCATTTGAAAGCGCGAAAAGCAATCTGTTGGAATCAGAAAAAATTCTACTTGTAAAACGAATCGTCAATCGATTTCTTGGTCAAAAAAAAGTAGTTAAAGATATATCTTCTCTGCAAGAATATTTAATACCTTCAACTGATTTTGTAATTCCAACTAATTTTTATTTAATGTAACTTAACGTTCAAAAGATGAGAAACTGGATTAATATTTTATTTATAAAATAGAAAACTTTGAATAAGTTCTATTCTTATACAGTATATAGATGTCATATAGTTTTCCAAAGAAACAGCTGATCTTCTTATACTTTTATACAAACATTCTTGTCATGTTTTAGATATAGTTTGTAAAAATGGAATTGTATATTCAAATTTTTATCTTTTCCTTATTAATTATTACTTTCCTTTGTCCATTAGCTTATTTTGTTGAGCATTTGCAACATACGAAAAGTCTTTTAAACGATTTCCCAAAAGTGTAAATTATTTTAAAAATCTTTCTTTATTATCAAGTTATACAAAGACAATAGTTTTTTCGTTTGCCTCTATAAAAGTAAAAGATGGCAGTGCAGATAGTGGCTGTTTTGTCGAATGTTCTGCCATCTAGTGACTATTAATTCTTAGGATTCGTATATAGTTGCGTTTTTAATTCTTATAAGATTATAGAGAAATTAGATTCACTGCCGAAAAAAGGAACACACAATTTCGTACCTAATTACTCAATATAATAGCTACATTTTTTTTAAAAAATCTATAAATACACCGGAAAGCGTTAAAAGTACTAAGAGAAAAAAGTACAGACAGCGAGTGAGTGAGAGACAATTAGAAAAAAAGGGAGAGAAAGCGAGAGAGAGAGAGAGAGAGAAAGGAAGAGGAAGAGAAAAAAGACTGAGAATGAATTAGGGTGTGAGATATTTGATATTGTTGGATAAATGATGAAGGGAAAAAGAATTGAAGAGAGTGTGCGAAAGGGATTAATTGATAAAAACGACATCGCCTTTTGACAATAGAATATATGTATAGATAGTTTTATTTTAGAAAAGATTCGTACTTAAAGAACACTCTAACAGAGAGCATAAAAGTCGTTTTCAGAGTTTATTACACACGTCTCTTTCATTCTTGTCGACTGTATTCATATTTTCATCGCTTAGACTTAACGTAGAATACGATAATCATCAAATGTTATTGAATAATTAAACCACTTAGGACATATTACTATAACAATATGTTACTTAACTCTCTTCAGCTTTAATGAAGATGGCTTTCTCCTTCCAAAGAGCCCCATAAATTCCCAGTAAATATTTCTTGAACTTAACATATATATAAAAAAATTGATACTATAATTTACATATAAAGCCATAAATACAATAGTCTGTAATAAAAAGTAGGGCCCATAGCTCAACTTAGGTTTTATATTCTCCACCAGAGCTTGAGGCATTGTCAAAATAAGCCAAAGCATAGAAGTAAGCATAAGGCCTATGGTGATACGTCGTTTCTGATTAGAGTCCTTTTTGGAATATCTATTTCTGGATCCTTCAACATTGAAAGTTTTTCTGCTTCTTATAAGTCCAATAATGATGAAAGTATTCAATATTAGCACAAAAAGGAAAGGTAATACAACGGCCATAATAATGTTTACAACTGGAAAGTAAGCATAAAATTTCCTACCAACAAACTGAGTTGCGCAATTTCCTCTAAAATTTATATGATAAAATAGAAACCAAACAATGTTTACTGAACAGATGCTGAATATTAATAGGATAACAGCAACTGTCATTTTCCTTGAACTACATAAATGCTTTACTCGAAGAGGAAACCAGACGCAAACACATCTTTCAATTGAAAATAGAACAACAAGCCAATTGGATAAATGTGAACTACAATAGAATAAATATTTCGTTAATTTGCAAGAAATTGCAGAAGATCTAGAAAAATCATAATTAAAAACAACAAACAACCAATTTTTGAATTCAGAAACCCACAGAACAGTTGTATCAGAAATAGCAAGAGTAGTTAAAATTAAAGAAACACTTATACAAGCCTTAATAGACTTTCTCCTAGTTATAATAACAACCATAATATTTCCACAAGTTCCTATTATCAACGAAAATGGAAAAAAATAGATTATAATGACATTTCCAGTATCGACATAAGCAGAATTGTAAGTCTCATTTTCGCCCATATTCCTCTTCTATTTTCCAATTTCAATTTAAGCTTGAATTATTTTTAATAAATAAATAAATTAGAAATTGAGAAGGATTTCCAAAAGAAATGAAATTTTTAAACAAATATTACTTTTAAATGTGTTATCTCATAACGGAGAAATATTTATTGCAAGTTTCTCTTTTTCTTTCTCTCTCTCTCTCTCTCTCTCTCTCTCTCTCTCTCTCTCTCTCTCTCTCTCTCTCTCTCTCTGCTCTCTCGTTCTGTCTCTGTCTATTTATCGCTTAAAAATTATTCTGTCGCCGTCTTTTCTATACCATTACCAGTTTTAAATTATTGATTATATAAAAGGATATCTGGATAATAGTAATCTTTGTCTAAGAGTTTCCCCAAAATACATTTTATTTCTTATTTACAAAAAAAACTGTCATAGAATACTTTACTTACTATGGATAATGAAAGGCTCGAATTGTATTAACGAAAAAAAATCTACTACTTTGCATATGTTTTTATACATATGTGCATTTTTTTCCGTTTTTCCTCTTCCTAAAAATCATATATCATTGCGATAATTATTTTCTATTGAATTTCACTTTGTTTTAAGTATGTTACCTTTAAACTATTGTCTTAAACCCTCTAATTTGACTTTTGTATTTAAAATGTCAATATTTAAAAGTTGACTTCAAATAAAGATAAAGAAAATGTAACAAATTCTATTCACTGTTCTTTCCCTTTCCCTTCTCTTTTCTATTAACTAACTTAACATTCAAAATTTCTATTTGTTTTAATAAAGTATTTCGTAATAAATTCAAAACTAGAAAGTTACCTTTTTTTAGTTTTTTGCAGTTTAGAGTCTTTTTAAGCAGATTTTGGGTTATCCCATTATTAGTAGTCTTTTTTTTGAGGTAATAAAAATGAAAAATTCACTATTTGATCTTCTTCCTCTTCTTCTTCTGCTTCTTCTACCTCTAATTTTTCTTCTTTTTTTCCCCTCTCCCCTTCCCCGTTGTCTCTTATATCTTTTCTTCTTTTTTTCTATTAGCACTTTTATAAGATTTTATGATTTTATCCTATCTTTTTTCAACTTGATGTAAAATTCACAGACATAAGATGGTTGATTAATTTCCTTTCAATATAGAGAGATAGTATTTAATGACCTCCACTGTGTTTTCTAAAACGAATCGGCACTAAGCCTTTTAAAAACAGCAAAAGAGTCTTTTCTAGTTCGCTTTAGTCTTACTAAAACGCTGCAGTTGCAACAAATGATGAGGTAGCTAATCCGATGTCTCTCATATAATTTATGCTCCATACTCACACTGTACTAATTAGCTTACTTAGTTAATTACCTCATAGTCAGTCACATTAGCTTATAAAGTGAATTTTAGTTAATTTAATTTATTACTCTTAAAAAATCACAAATCTTCACCTAGACTCTTTTTATATTATTGTATCTTAGTTGCATAATGCATGTGAAGTGAATGACTATTATTTTTATTATTATAATTATCAAGATTAGGCATACTTAATTAAATGCTATCTATTATCGCTCTTGTTCTACGTAACTGCACATTTTCTCTGTATTTTTTGGCAATATATAGAATAATTGTAGTTTACTATTATTCCATATTTTTATTTTTTTACGATTTTAATTGTCATTTTATTTTTAAGTAAGATAAATTTTATATACTAGGTTTTTTTACTACCTTACGCCGCAAGGGGACAGTGGTCTAGGGGTATGATTCTCGTTTAGGGATGTTCTAGTCTACGAGAGGTCCCGGGTTCGAATCCCGGCTGTCCCCGTTGATATTTTTTTTTTTTAATGCTCTATTTTTTTTATATTTATTAATTGTCTATTAATTAGCAAAGTAATATAATTAATAAAATTAAGATATTTTAATGATTTTAAAGTAAAATTCCTAATACCATATTCTAACAGAGAAAAAGTGTTTTATTCCTTTTCTCAGAGTCAATAGTAAAAGAAAATTGGAGTCCTAAAATAAGTAGCTGTTCGCTTTAATTATCTTTAGAAGACTATGTATAATAACATTCTCAAATTGGGTCCCAAGTTCTCTATATTTACATTAAGCCTATACTGTAAATTTTTTTTATTAGATAGGGAAAGAATGAAAGGTGGTGTATATTTTTTAAAATGTGATTGAAGGAATAGGATGAATTTACGAAGGAGAAATGATAAAAGAAAATCAAAGAGATGTACTATTCAAAATCAGTATAAACTTTTATTTGTAAATAAAGATTTGTAAAAAAGTCTTTTTAAGGAATATTTGAAAATTGAGAGGGTAAAAAATGGGAGAATGAAAAAAGCCTTTGTAATATGAAGGCAAAATCTTTTCTGATGAGAGCAAATTTAAGTCTCTCGGATCTGATAGTTAGGCCCGTAACTGTCACTCAAGAGGAAATGGTTTAATAATTAGAGAGGAGCTTTATCTAGAAGAAAGACTTTTCTAGAATTCTGGCAATAGTAAAAAGCAAAAATTAAGGTCAAGATTATTCAAACATCCTCTCTAATTATTTCATACCATAAGACCTTATGTATATAAGAAGGAGGTTATATTCCATTTTAGAATGAAAAATTGATTCCCAGAACAAAATAACTTTTCTTTCATTTAAAAATAGAGGAAACTTAATCCTACATAAAATGATAATATACTATACATTAGTGTACATATTATAACGCAAGTATAAAATTGAAATATCATCCAGTATATGTGAAAAAAGAAACAAAAAGAATAATCAAACGAAACCTTTGCCCTAAGTAACGCTTTCTTTTATGATTTGTCTTATTATTTTTCTAAATGCATGATTAAAGAGCTTTTTATTTTATTTATTACAAAGATTTAGCGACATTACTGATGACATTTGATCAAAAATTAATGATAGTAAAAATATTATATAATTTTTATCGGTCGCCAATAGATGTCGTTAGCTATATACAACAATATTTAAGATATATCTTATAAAAAAGTATTAAAATTTTTAATCATCAAAATTCTCTTCCTTATCTTCTTCGTCTTCTAAGTTTTCAACTTTTTCTTCTTCCATAACAATTAAATCATCGTAAGATTGTTTCTGTTAAATGTACAAATGATTAAAAGAGTAGTAAATGGAGACAAAAACAAGAATGAAATATTATTAATATGCTTACAAAACTGGAAAATACTTTTTCACTCTTCTTTCTAGCTTCAGCAGGATCTTTAATAAAAAGTAAATCTTTTTGAAGTTTCTCGATTTTTCTTTTCATCATTTTTCTCTCCTTTTCCAATTTGGCTAACTCTTTTTCGGTTTCTTTAGATATATTCATAAATTTCTCTTTATTTATCCTACTCTTTTCAACAGTTTCATTAATAACTTGTTTATATGTCATTTTATTTTCTGGTTCTTCAATTATTTGTATTCTCTGCATTCTCCTTGGAACTCTAGGTGGCTCCTTTTCAGCTAGCAGTTTCATGTTAAGAAAATGCTCAACTAACGGCGATCGTCCTTTTAAGTCGAAGAGAACTTTTTCCACTTTTGACCCTCTTCCGATAACATGACTTTTGTCAACTTTTTTTCTTCTATTTGATGGCCTCATTATGTTAATTTTGGATTTATTTCTCACGAGAGTAGTATTTTGACTATCTTCCAGCTCTTTATCTCCTAAATTCTCTACAACTTTTAAAAATTCATCAAACCCTAAATGAACGTCTAAAGGTCGATTATTTAGAGCTATATCCATAGTCAGTCTTTCTAATTCACCTTCATCAGATGTTGCTCTATGTTCTGAAGGTAATTTTAAACGATTGAAGTTCCAAACTTTCCATGAGCCAACAGGTGGTTTTGTTCCAGTTATCCACTCATATACAAACCCGCAAATATCTTCTTTAAAGCTGTTATCGAACATTTGTCCAGATTCTGGAAAGGCCTCTTGAAAAGAAACAAATACACTCTGTGCCAAACAACTTGGATAAATCATAAAAACTTTATCAGCCAAGTCTGGATGAATACTCAACAAGAGAGTGACGAAACTGTCGGACATTCTATCAAAAAGTTTATCCCTTTCGCTGATGCGAGTAGGTTCGAAAAAATGAATAAATAGCCACCAAACAGAATCTTGTAGTAAGGCAATTGACGCTTCAGATTGAAAAATTTTCTTCCAAAACTTTCGAAGTCCAGTGTTGACTTCATTGGCTTTCGAAACGTGATGAAGAACGTGAGGAGCTTCAACATTAGATGGCAATGAAGTTAAATCACCTTCTTTAAAGCCTATCGTCAGAAGAGAGTTAATTAGAGTGACCGAAATAGATTACTTAAAAGTATTAGCAATTCCCAACCTGGAAAGGTGCAGTATTTCACGTTTCCTTTCTGGCTCTCTTTCATTGAATCTTCTAATGTCTAAAAAATTAAATAACACCCATGTATTTATCTTGTTATTATATTATTATACTATTTTTATGTTAACTCACTTTAGATCTATTTGAATATTTATTAGCATCCATAATTTGACTATCTGACAATTCTGTTAAAAACGCATCCTTGTAACTCTCTTCTTGACTATCGAATTCTTCTTTTTCTTAAAAAGCAAATAGAAGAAAAAATGTAGATGAAATATTTGTTTCTATTAGTTCCGGTTCCTGGATAGAAATCATTACTTACCATATAGATTCTTTTCTTTAGATTCTTCGATGCTTGGAAACTGATAATTAAACATTTTCTCCCCAAAATATAGAATTGTTTTGGATAATCCATTTACTCTTTCTTGAAGAACGTCAAATACATTTTCAATATCGGCTATATATTTTAAAAAATGTCATAGTTATATTAAATGTATTCGTTTAGTACATCAAAGTATAATCTACTGACGCGTTGAATCTTCTATATTCTCTTGCAAGTCAGTTTTACTTCCTAAACAATTTTTGTCAGTAAGAATATCCAATGGGTTTTCAGAAGTTAATTTCTGAGGCCATTCTTCAAGATTTTCCATGCGTAAGAAATCTTCCATTGTTTTTGGCACTGGTGGTAAGTCTTTGTCATCAGTCTCATCATAATATTCGCCATCTTTCTCATCATACCCATAATCATAACCATTAGCCATAGGATAATTAATACTAGAAGTATAATCCAGTGGTTCTGTCATTTTTATTAGTTGTGTTGAATCTTTCAATTAATTTTCCACGGTATCAACAGGAATGGCTTTTGTGTTTACAAATATAATATACTAAAGGTTATAACTAATCAACTTATTATAAAAGCATCATTAACTAGTTTAATAATTTAATATTTTCTGTTTATAGAAACAAGCCAGAAGGTTATTTGTTCTAAACTCAGATGTCTCTTTTAGTAAGGCATAGTTGCTATGGTTTAGTTATTGCGCATATTAACGCCATCTGAATGACTATACGTAATTGTTTGATCTGACAGCGATGTTTAATCTAATATATGCCTTTCATTTTAAACGTATAAAATGTTATTAACTGTTATAATAAAGTTTAGCTCTCTGAAAATATTCTATAAATAGTTGGAATTGTTTTAAAATTTGAACAAAAACTTTTTATATAACAGTTTTCATGACTGCAATAATAAACAGGAAGTCGGTATATTTTTGTCACGTGACAGCATAAAATTGAACATGGCGGTTTTCGACGAATCTTCAAATTGTAAATTTTACATGGATTCCTTAAATAAGGTTACAAACCATACTATCAAACTAAACCAATAATAGTAAAAAAAATTAAGCTGTCAGTGAAGCAATCAATAAGTCAATGTGTAATTTTATTCTAAAGTAAATTATATTTTTTTTCAAATTTCTGTTAACAGTTAAAGTAGGCCTATAGATAAGAGAAATAAAACTATTGCTATAATGATCTTTTTTCCAGAAGAGTACATTCTACGTTTATCGGAAAGATGAACTATTAGGAATTTTCAGAGGAAGTTCTGTAAATAAGATGCAAATTGTCATCAAGTTGACAAAAGAACAAATATCGGTAACTTTCAAGCTGTCTTTTAAAATGGATACTGTGTTAATAGAGTTTAACATTTGATATTTTAGCTAAATAGGTCAGAAATAAGAAAAGATGAGGAAATTAACTACACTCTAAAGAATTATTGTGACCTATCTAATTTAAATAATATTCATATTGGATCTATACTTATGGCATTAATTCAACGATATAAAGATAATAGAATCTATACGAAATGTGGTAGAACATTATTTGCTTTAAATCCTATGAAGACAATTAAGAGTTTATACAACAATGAGAAAATGATTGAATATTTAAAAGGTTTAGCACACGAGCCTCATATTTATCAAATAGCTGAGGAGACTTTTCAAAATGATGCAAAAGTGAATAGCATCGTTGTAACTGGAGAAAGTGGGTCTGGAAAAACGGAAAATGTGAAGCATTTAATAAATTATTTTGCATCAAGAAATGGGCATTTGAACGAAAAAGCCATAGAAAGGCGTTTAATCGAATCGAATGCTCTACTTGAAGCTATGGGAAACGCTAAAACGAATTTAAACACAAACTCCTCAAGATTTGTCAAATTGATTAGGATTTACTTTGATTCGTAAGAGTTTTTGTTTGCTTATCTTTACTAGAATCTCTTATCTTACAAAGAAATATAATTACTCATAGGAAAAAGACAATGGTCGGAGCTAATATAGACGCTGTTTTACTTGAAAAAATGAGAGTTCATTCATTGGAATTATCTAATTTTCACATCTTTTATCAAGTAATTCCTTCGTTGTTCCTTTATTTTTTGTGACCTTTTATACTAATATGTAACCCTTTAGCTCTTAGGTTTGCCTAAATCTGAATTGACTAAATATCTTGGAAAATATGGCATTAATGAAAATGAAGGCCAATCAAATTTGAACAAAACTATAAATTCGTTAAGACAAACAAATTTTGAACAACACGAAATTGATGGCTTAATGCAATTAATAGCATCGCTTATTCTTCTAAAGAGAATTGATTTTGAAAAGGAAGAAGATTGTGCAATTGCTCAACCAATCTTCAAAAGAGGAAATATCAACGAGGCTTTAAATCTTATTGAAAATGCTCTTCTATTAGACTATACGGAAATTTTAAGAGCAATATCGACCCGACAGCTACGAGCTGGAACGAGGAGAAAGAGCGTTTTCGTTGTTCAATACTCAGCCGGAGAAGCAAAAGAACGATTGAATAGTTTCATAGAATTTCTGTATTGTAGGTTAGTATTACATACCGAGGATTTTTCTGTGCTACCTAGCAACAAATCTGTATTTAACTCTGTAATATTGTGTTGCTATGAAATAGAGCACAGAAAAAGCGTTGATTATTTTTCGCTTCCCAAAAGTTTATTAATTATATATTGTTTTCAGAACTTTTTCATTTATTGTAAAAAAAATAAACCAAGATTTATCACCGTCTATAGAGACTATTAAGACAATTCAAATTCTTGATATATTTGGTTTTGAATCAATGGAAGTAAATTCACTAGAACAGCTATCAATCAATTTTGCCAACGAAAAACTTCAAGACCATTATTTAACTGTATGCGTAATAGATAAACAAAAAAAATTTGTTGAGGAGGGTCTGGACGTTGAGAGAAATAACCTTTGGAAACATGTGTCAAAAACTTCAGATGAAATTTCAGAATTATTATTTTCAGCTTTAAATGACGTATGTTATTAGTTAGATGCTTAATTAATTCTATTAAAATTCTAGTAAAATATTTCATCTATACAGCCAGTTGTAATGAAAAATAACTTTGCGAAGAAGGCAGTTATGGATAGCTTATGTTTAAATTGTCAACAATCTAAATTAATTAAACCGAAACCTCATACGTCTACATTTGTTATTAGCCATTACGCGAAAAATGTTGAATATTCAATAATTGGTATGGTGGAAAAGAATTCGGCCGCGGATATAAGAACTTGGACAAGTTTAATATCAAATAGCGAGAGTTCATTTATAAGGAATCTAATTGATAATAATAATGTAGATGATAAAAAATTTACAACTAATAGACGTCGACATACATTATTAACCGAACATAGAGTATATTAATTTGATTTGAGAGAAGGAATTTTTATATCTTATGCTCTCTTTCTCCAAACATTTAGGTATCGGTTGAAAATCTGATAAAACTACTTGAAAAAACAGAAGAACGCTTCGTAAGATGTTTTAAACCATCTAATATAACTGCACAAAATCACCAAAATGGCGTTGAAATAAATGGATGTTATTTGTATCAGCAACTTAAGAATAGTGGTATAGTACAGGAGGTATATTTAACCCAGAAAGATTATCCATACTTGTAAGTATAAGTAAAATAAATTCTAAAATATTAAAATGAATATTATTAAACCTCAAATATATACAATTGATAAAAAATGATACATTTTCAGCCATAAGTATGATTTATTACATAGAAATTATCGTCTTCCTACTCAAAATGTCGATAATGATAAAGAACTGAGAGATGCTATTGAAAAATTTCTAGAATCTCTTAATATACCTGAATTTGAAAAGAGTATAAAATTTGGCAAAACTGGAATATTTATGAATGATTTGGCAAATAATTCAATTGAAAATTATTATTTAAATATTAAGAGAAAAAATGTTATTACAATTACAAAATATTGGAAAAGTTATATTTTAAGAAAGAAACTAAAAACAATCGTTGAAAGGAATAGAGCTGCGTTAAAAATACAGAAATTTATTAGGAGGAGAAGCTTGCAGAAAAATACAGCTGTAATGGAAGTAATACATAATAATTCTCTTCCTAACGGACAAGGAACAACGTCGAATGGCAATGAAAATAAAAAATTTATAGGATTTTTTTCTTATGGTAACCCATTAATAAGGTTTAGAACAAGTGAACTAAACTATAATCTTTATGAATCATCAATTCATTCAACTTGCAAAAGATACGGTAGTTATAAATTAAATCAACATAGTTTAGATGATGAAATCGATTAGTTCCTAGTAATTGACCGGTTAGTAATACTGTCGAGTTTCAAGTCTACTTCTCCTTTTCTTTTACACTAATAATTAACCAAGCATTTATTCGTATGTTCCTTTTGTTGTAAAAATAGTATTAATGCACACATTCCAATCTATTAGCTTTTTTTAGTTCAATAATGAAATCATTGACTTCTTATTCTTTTATAAAATATATTTTTTATTGCTAAATATTCTATTTGTATTTTCATGCGGCTTATCAATATAGTTCAGGCCTGTAGGTTTATCTTTACAATGTAAGATTATAGTGAAGACTTCGATTTTATTAGTCATAACTTGAATGAGTAACTAAGTTATAGGCAAGAAGAATTATTTAATCTTCAGCTTTCCAGAAACGATCATTAAGCTAACTGTCAGTAAAATAAGAACATAGGAAGTTTGCAAAGTATTTTATTTTATATTCATATTAAGCAAAACACTCAGTTGAGAAAATAGAAACAGGTACAAGCTGATTATGGATATGATGAAGGAGTATTTTTGGGCAGAATCGTTCTGGTTGCCACCTAATATCAAATGGAAAGATTTTGAAAAGTACCCACATATTGATTTACCAAAAGCATGGCACATATTTCTTATAATACCTTTTGGTATTTGCATATTTATGACTAGATTGGTTTTTGAAAGGTGAGCGATATATAGATTGCTTTACTATACATACTATATTTTGTTACAATAGTTGTATTTATGATAAATATTTAAAGCAATCCTAAACGATTTTGCACTATTCATAAGTAGCGTTTAGTAGTGGTTGAATAACTTTCACGTCTAGTAAGTTAACATTAATATTTAACAATATATATAATATTAAAGTATAATCTTTTACTTGACAATATTTTAATAAAGGCCTAATTTTTTACGAAGTAATATATTTTGTCATTAGAAGAAACTTATGCTTAGGCTTTATATATATTAATTAAAAGATGAATATAGTATATCAATGAGTCATATATTTGGAGGACAATGATAACTAAAATTTTACAATCATTTTGTTAATATTGATATCGTTAATTATTTGCTGAACACTCACTGTTTATTTAAGTAAATTATTCACTTACTGTAATACATTAAAATTTGAACTATATTTAGACGTCCACGGCGGTTAGATGAACCTTATCAATCCACATTAAGTTGATTTGATAAAATGCATGTATTGGCGGTTAGTGCAAATAAAGTGCAAATGTAAAAGGCGACAAAAAGGACTACACCCCGTTAATTTTTCATACTTTTAGCGGAGATATATTGCCATTATTACTATTAGTATCGTTTATTACTTTTATTAGTATTATATACTTTTATTATTACAATCTATTCTCTATTAATTCATCTAACTACATGCTTTTAACTTTCTGTTAAGACGCTTCTTGAATATTATTTACTTTACACTACAAGTCCTTTACTTGAACAAAACTCTCCATCTTTTGATCAAAAGGTTAAACTTTCGATAGCAGTATCGGAAACAGTCTTGTCACTTATCGATAATACAATATAGCAGTAATAAAAATGATAAATTTTGATAACAGATGTATTGCTACTCCAATTGGAAGATTATACAAGTTAAAAGAAAAGGCACCACCACCACCCCCAAAAAATCAAGTTCTGGAGGCTGCATTCAAACTGAGAAAGTCTTTACCGAAGGAAGATCGCCTAAACGTAATTTTTCTTCCCTTTGATAGATAAATACCTATATAAGTTAGTTTTGCCGTAGGAGTTGTCAAAGAGGACTGATCTAACTACAAGACAAATAGAAAGATGGTGGAGAAGGAAAAGAGTATCGCTTAATCCAAGTCTTATGCAAAAATTTAGAGAGACCAGGTAGAATTTATTATTTTAATTAAAAACTTAGAAAACTCTTCTTTATTTTTTAATAAGGAAATTATTATCATAAGAATATACTATCTAACATACATATTTAAATTTAGATTGTCTTAAATCTAGTTTCTAATGAGTCTAGAAAATATGTATGGATTGTTTAGTAACTATGTTATCTTTAATACTAGAAATTGTTTGAATGAAAGCCTAAAAATAGCGATATTTAACCAAACTAGTTAGAATAAAGACGAGATTCACTATTCTAATATGTGAAAAATGTTTATTAACTGCCAACAGTAGGTGAGGTCAAGGATAGGAGAAATGTCACGATTAATAAAGAACAGAATATCCCAGTTTTTTACTGTCAGGGTTTTTTACGCCATGATTGCATAATATTTTTATGGCGTGATCACCTGATATTTATATGGCGTGATCGCTTGTATATGCAACAGAGGGCACTGTTTGATATAAACTATATGAAATATACAAATTAAGAAATGCTTGAATGTATGATAACATACAAATAATATGTCATTTTCTTTTATTTTAGCTGGAGGTTTACTTTCTACTTTATTGCTTTCTGGTATGGAATTTGGATACTCTGGGATGTAAGTAAAATTTATATAAAATCTTAATAGAAAATAACCAAACTGAAAACGAATTATTCTGAACCTCGTTCAAATTTTATAACCAGCTTTATAAGAAATTTATCTCTTATCACACTTAGAGTCATGATAGAGAACAACAACAACATTTGTAATCTTATCCCTATAAATTATACATTTCCTCAGTGTTCTATTTAGTAACTTGAATTGGTATACATTCCTTAGACCTCTCTCATGTTATCTCTTATTCTTTACCCTAAAAACCTTTCAATTTCTTCTATTTCAGTTTGTATTGATATTATTTTATTTATGGCTAATTTCTCCCTTTATTCTAAATTTATTTTATACCGGAAATTATTGATTTGAGCTTACAAACTTGTAACTCAATATTTTAGATAAATACCTGAATAGCAAATAAATTAACTAAAAGCAGTTTTCAAATCATAATTTTTATATAGATGATCGTACGAATTTTTTTTAGCACACTTCTAGTAATGACCTCTATATGATATTTTTTGAAATAATTTTTAAGGATTTATATTTCCTTATGAAACATTGATATGTTTATTAGAAAGATTCTAATAGTATCGTTGTAATATTCATTATCTTTGTTTCTCTCTCACACGTGTTTATTGAAAGTTTTGTAAACAATTGTAATACTGTATCGATTTGTTTCAAGTTTCTTCTACAAAGGACATATTAATGCTAGTTTGTAGTAGCATCATTTTTCTATTCAATAATGCCTAAAGGCTGGTTACCTTTTCTCAATTATGTTTTCAAAAGCAGGCTTGTGGACTTTGATGTAGCACATACTCTTGTCACAAGGATTGAAAGATAAGTTGTTGTAGTAAAAAATCAAGTTCCTCTTGGAAAAGAATAATATCTACAGTCTTGATATCAAACCCATATTTTCTCTTCATGTACTTTTTTTGACTATATAATCTATTTTCCTTATGTAGACACTATTTATTACTTTAGCCTAATCACTTTATAGTCAAATATACAGAATACTGTACTTTTACTTATATATATATATATATATATATACATTTTTACTTTCATTACAGAAAGAATATTTTGTCGATGCTCGGAAATGTTGGGAAGGTTTTCCATATCAGGTTTCTATTTACAATTTAACCAGAATCTAAAAATTATCTTAATTATTATTTTCATATTTTTATAGCACGTTGATAAATATGTTTGGTGGTATTACGAGCTAGAAATCTCCTTCTATCTGTCTTTGGTTATGTCTTCCTTTATGGATGTTAAAAGAAAAGTAAATTTAAAAAAAAATATTTCTCCATTTGTCATTTAACAATCAATCTTCTCTCATTATAGGATTTCATGGAGATGTTAAGTCACCATATGGCAACAATAGCTCTTTTGGTTCTTAGTTTTGTTAGTAACTTTGTAAGAATTGGTGCGTTAATACTTGTCGTACACGATACTGTTGACTGGTGGATGGAGGTAAATATTAATTAAATATTATCACGTAATGCGCATATTAATACTCTTAAGACATTCATGAATATTATTTATTTAAATATAGGGTGCTAAGCTTGCTAAATATACCGGATATTCAAAATTAACAGATGCTCTTTTTATCATATTTACGATCATTTGGGCAATAACAAGATTATTCATCTATCCGTTCTAGTAAATATCCAAATTTATTTAATGTTTTTAATGAAAAAAACTAATTTTTATCAAAATATTTATAATTAATTTAGCATATTGTATTCGGTCTACTTCGATGTTATAGACATAGTTGGTGGCTTCCCTATGCACAAGATCTTTAGTATACTTTTGACATTTCTTCAAGTAATTATTCTTTGTTTAATTTCTTTAGAACTATATTAAAATGTGTTAATTTTTAAATCAGGTTCTTCATATTTACTGGTTCTATTTAATTTGTAAAATGATTTACAAATACATTATAACTGGTTCGGTAAGTTTTTTTAATATTTAATAAATGATTGCATAATAATTATGTCGTGATTCAAAACTGTTTTCAATTATTCATAGGTTGAAAAGGATGAAAGAAGTGAATCAGAAGTTGAAAGCTCAGAAAATGAACAAAAGAATAATAATTCTCTCAGTAATGGGAAGAAGACGTAAATTTTCCTTGATATTTACTACTATCTTCCCCTTATAAGCTAGTAATGGTGAGAGCTGAAAAGTTATACATAACTTTTGTATGTTGTATAACTGGAATGACGCCCCCCATTCGAATTAATCTACATTTTTCATAAATTTAAGTAAGTTTACGACCTTTTATACAAATTAAAGATTATTTTTTAAGCAATTATTACAAGACCAAGTCTAACTCTTACAAATGATATGTCACATATTTAATTCTTGTATTCCTTGTATCTTGCCAATATGATTCTCATTTTACCAAATAGTATACCAAAATATAGTACAATTGTATCTTTAAGAAACTATTTACGAATGAAAAACAAGAAAGATTTTAACTTTATTTAACTGAAAATAGTTTAAATTAAAGAAAAGATTGTTTCTTATTTTTTTTCTTGTGAATATTTCTGTTTTTTATTAGATATTGTACTTTATTATGTAATATTTAAAAGAAAACATAAACAAACTAATGCAATTCTCAAATGTAATAAACTGCTTTGAAAAATAATACTAAAATATATATTAGAGTGAAATTTTATATAGTTTAGTATTCTATCGGTCGATTAGGCAGAATTATCTAACCTGAATAGACTATAAACCTTTAAAGGACGTCATGTCCCTGTAAAAAATTGTGATTCAACATAGCTAAGGAAATCTTATTTTGACGGACGCTCATTTGACGAGAAATTATAGTTGCATTAGCAACATAGTCAACAAACTCAGCATTGCGTTAATTTGTATATATAGTGTATATGAGCTATATATAGATATATAAATTACAAGAGTTTGCTTTAGACTGATTCCTCGCTTCATGCTGCAAGAGTAGTAAAAGCTACTTAGGTGTTGACTGAGATACCAGTCTAAACGAAATGCATTTCACCTATCTCTACTAAGTGATTCAGAAATGGAAAAATTTTCGGAGTGGTTTTGGACGGACTCCTTTTGGCTGCCTCCCAATATAACTTGGAAAGATTTCGAACAACATAAAGATACACGATTGCCAAATGCTTGGGAAGCCTTATTACCTATTCCTTTTGCGTTTCTACTACTTTTTGTTAGGTTGTGTTTTGAGAGGTGAGCGATAATCTATTACTTCTTTAATGTTACTGGAAATTACTACCATAAGTCTCGATGACTGAAATTTGCAGATTTACAGTTATATTTTAAAGTATAATCTATTGTTTAATTCGTTATTTCCCTAAAAAATCAAAGAACTAGGCGGATTATTTTGCCATAATATATGTAAGAACCTATATAGGTTAATTAATAACTAGGACTGCTTTCAGGGGTTAGTCACCATCAACGGTAAAATAAAATAATTTAAAAACGGTTACAGACGTTTTACATGAATAAAATATAGTAACTCACGTGGGCTTAATGCTAAAGTACTTGAATGCCTAACTTAATTGACAATTTTCTAAAGTTACTAATATGACAATAGTTAATAGAAAAGGCGTTCAATCCGCAATCATTAGTCAAATAACTAATACGGTCATTCATATGGGATAAAAAAAAAAAAAACCCATTGAAAAGAACACAGTAATTTTTACGATAAGAAGTTTACGCCTATTGAATCAATGCAAATATAACATAAGAATATCATTGTTACCTTGATTTTTACGCTTTAATATTTACAATGGAAAAGCATTGCTTACTTTTATAGTTATTCCATTATAGTAATAAATAATATTTTTGTATATGAACATATTAATTACCTAAACTAGACGCTATAGATATAAATGGAAATAATAAATTTGTTACTTTTTTCATTTAATAAAGTTCATTTAGTTTTTATTAAAATTAATATGGTTTGCCATCTGTCTATATAAAATTTTTTTTTAATATTATAAAAATATATATAACTATATAAATAAATTAATACTTTGAACTTTTTTATTGCTGTTATCTTCTCTTTTTTTAATAGATTTTTTGCTTCCCCAATTGGAAAATATTATAAGCTAAAAGAAAAACCAGCTAAAGCTCCTCAACCTATTGAAGCTTTGGAGCAGGCTTTTAAGAAACGCAAAGCGATTCCTCAAGGACCTGCTTTAGAGGTTGGTAATAATAACTTACTATAAAGTGAATTATATATTTACTAATGAAATGATAGGACCTCGCAAAAAAAACCGATATGAGCACAAGACAAGTCGAGAGATGGTTTAGAAGAAAGAGGGTATCGTGTAATCCAAGTGTCATGCAAAAGTTTAAGGAAACCAGGCTAGAATTTATATTATTATTATTATTATTATCGGCGTTATAAGAAAAACCTTTTAACTGGATGTTCAAAATAACCTATACTTTTAATAACTAAGTTAATTAGTGTATAATATATAAATATCTTGCTTTGTTTTATATCGTAATTTTCTTTACAAAGAAACAAAGGATCTATTTTAGCAAAGTTTATTGATTTATTTAGTTTATTATGGGTAAAAATATTTGATCTCGGTATAATTCTATAGAAAAAAATATATTATAAACAAGACATTTGTTCTTTAACCAAGAATTTAAAAATAGTACACCTTTTTATACTGTATATTGGAAAACTTTTTAATATAAGTTACTTATAACTTTCAATCCTTAGTAGATAATTTTTGTAGATACTAATAGTTAAAGGAAATCTATTTATCACTAGTGTATTGATTTACTTATATAGTTGATTAGTAAGCTGGTCTAATGCTATATGTGAATCGTAGGATACTCTAGTTTTATATTTAGACTATATAATTCAGGGTCACGAAAATTTTTAGTACAGATCATAAAGATAAATGTGAAAAGGAAAGATTAATCGTACGATTTTTTTCTATACTTATAAAATTTCTGTATAACATACGAGTAAACAAGGCTTCTATGGGAAAGAAATAACAATGTAAGTTAATTCATTGTAAAAACAATACATTTATAAACAACTCTAGAGTTAATCAACATTATTATAAGTTATCACTGAATCGGTTGCTAATTGCAAATGTAGCAAAGAGCTAATTTGATGCGGTTTTAACAGCTGGAGATTTGCTTTCTACAAAGGTATCTTTTGGTATGCTATCTGGGCATTATGGGATGTTCGTATTATAATAATACATATTTTTTGACGCATTAATTTAACGTTTTAATATTATTTCATATAAAGAAACCATATTTTAGTGATACAAGACACTGTTGGATTGGTTTCCCGTATCAGGTACTCATTCCTATGTATTCTACCCTTATGTGCATGCATTGAATCAAGATATATCATTTTCAGTGTTTATTAACACCTTCTATCTTTATAGCCAATTGATCAATCGATATGGTGGTACTATCAAATAGAAATTGCATTCTACTGGTCTTTGATAATGTCATCTTTTATGGATGTAAAAAGAAAGGTTACTATCTTTTAATTTTTAAACACACTAATGATATGAATTGTTTTTCACGAAAATAACGTGTTTTTCACTTTATTATAAATAGGACTTTTATGAAATGTTTAGCCATCATATATCGACGATAATTCTAACTGTTTTTACATTCATGACAAATTTTATTCGATTTGGGGCTTTGGTCATGGTAATTCATGACGCTGTCGACTGGTGGATGGAGGTAACGACTTGAAATGACACTATCAGCATGTAAATTTATACTCAATTCCTACTTTTTCATTACAAAAAAAAACAGGGAGCCAAATTGGCGAAATATTTAGGATATTCAAAGCTAACAGATTTCTTGTTTGTTTGCTTTACAATTGTTTGGGCCATAACTCGATTGTTCATTTATCCATATTAGTAAGTAAATATAAAATATTCCCTCCTCTGAAGAGGTGAATTGTCATAGTTTTTAATCTATTTTTCCCTTTACAGTTTACTCTACGCAGCTTACTTTGAAATTATTTCATATGTTGGATATTTTCCAATGCACACTATCTACTGCTCTTTATTAACCCTTCTGCAGGTAACAGAATGAATTTATAATAACTATTTATTGTCAGGGGGAATATATACTTATATACTTCTCTTTCGTGCCATAATTTATAAATTATCAATGATATTAATTGCTGTTGAATATGAATGAATGACAAAGAACTTTTGTTTTTCTTCCAAAACAGATTCTACATGTATATTGGTTTTTTCTCATTTGTAAAATGGTGTATAAATATATCATCACTGGAACTGTAAGTTTAATTTTCACATATTTAAATATCCAAACGATTTTAATTGTGGTTTCCTGCTCCTTTTAGGTGGAGAAAGACGAAAGAAGCGAATCTGAAGTAGAGAGTTCTGATTGTGAAAAAAAAAATAACAATAAAAAGAATGGAAAACTTTAATTTCATTGTTTTCCCTACCTTTCCCTTTAGAGGGACCAAACACATTGCAGAACTCATAGAGAAGCCATTGTAGAATATTGCTTTTTAGCTTATGTTTAATGATAGAAATGGCATATTAATCCTTTTCGCAATTTGTATCTGACAAACTTTCTAAGTCTTAGTTTAATGAAATATTTCATATCGTGCCTGTTCGTATATCTTGAACATTTGAGGAAATCAAATTCAGTTTTGTGATGAAAATGTAAAGTTTTAATTAATTTAACGTTTCAATGCAATTTTTGATTTTTATGTAATAAAAGAAATTTCATTAATATATATTCTCATGAAATAATTATAATAGATATTATACTACTTAATATGCAAGCATTAATTATTAAGACCTGCTCTAGGTAGGATTCCAAAGTAGCTGCTTGCATTTATTTAACTATTTGTATCCTTATAAAAGGACCATATTCTTTGATAATTTATTATATTTTTTATCTTATCTTATTGTATTTTCTTATCTTTTCGTTATCAGAATAAAATCTTTTTGAAGTTATTTTATTACGCTTTTGAATTTGGCGCCAAAAGTAAAATGACTGGTCTCCTGTTCACAGATCGCCAGCTATGTTATTGTGATGAACGCTTAAATATCTAGGCAGCGTATTAACTTTTTAAATTCTGTAATAAGACAAGATTATAATCACAATAAAAATTTTCTATGAATTTGATGAAAATTGACTCTGATCTCCACTTTCTCTATGACTTCGAGGTAATTTTGATATCAAATATCAACTGTTTAATTAAACAACATTCTGTATGCTTTATTATCGCTCAAACGTTCATGTATAAGCACGTTTCTGTTTGCTAGTCCGTTCAACTCTCAAGAGTTTCCCCGCTCGTTTTATATGCCAACACCAGACCTAAATCTTCCAAAATGTCTACGTGATTCTGCCATAGGTTCACAAAGAAAATTTCCATCAGATGCTATGCAAGAACCTCTTGAGTCATCCAGTAGATTCTTATCAGACTGGCCCATAATAGATCAAGAAAAGGTAATGAATAGCTCCATTTAAAGTATTCGTCAAAATAATACAACTAATTGAATCCACTTAGTATGATAAAAAATTAACTGAGAGCTGGTCCTCACCAACTGTAGATGCAAAGTGAGTAAATGAAATACTAAATATATTACACATAAATCAACTAGTGCTTTCTGCCTTGCAGAAAGCCTCAGAGAGCAAAGGAAAATTACACTAAAAGATCTACAAGAATCCCTAAAAGAGTTGACAACTATTTCAAAAGGCGAGAAGATGTTAAACGTTATAATTCAAAATCTTACGATGGTAAAGATTCTACAACCTCAATAGAAAATGATATCGATTCTTATAAAGAAAATAACAGTGCAGATTCCTCTACAGTTGCCAAGTAACTATTATTTTCGGACAAACGTATGATTATTTCTCTTTCTTTCTCTTATAGATATTTAGAAAGATTTCGTACAGAAGAGCCAAAGAGTAGGGAGGAACGTAGTAAGCCAAACGAAAAAGATTTCTGGTGGTTAAAAGATAATCAAAAATCTTTCAAAACACTTGATGATTTAAGAGAAGAAAGAAAGAACTTAGAGGAAGAAGTGAGCAATTAATAGTCACTTAAGTTATTAAGATTACATACAGTATACAGTATAGTATACAGTATTATAATGTATATACATATATATCTAATATATGTATAAATTCTTTCTTGTAGTTACTTAGACAAAGTATTGAGTCGAATAATCCTTGGAGAGACAGAACCTTTTTAGAATTGCAAGCCAAAGCTGATAAATTAATAGAAAAGTAATTAATTAAATTCTTTATTTTACGATTTGATTAACTATTTTCTTTATTAAAAATAAAAGAAGCTCCAGTTTAGCATCTGATAACGAATGCATTGCTCTCGTATCAACGGATGGCTTAAAATCTCACGACTCATCAGATTTATCATCGCATTTAACAAGCGTTTCACAGAAGCTACCAAACCGCCCACAATATTCTCAATCGAAAATTCAATTAGATAAATCAGATCTCATCGCCAAAAGCAACGATATTCTTGCGGAATGGAGAGCAAAACGAAAATATCAACCGCAGCAACCAAAACCCAGGGAAAACATAGACGAAACTGTTTGTAACATTGAATTTTGTCTATTTTTTTTACCTTAATTACGGTTGCACTTTCATTACTGTACAGGATATTAAAAGCTTGGAAGACAAGGTTGCAGATATGAGAAAAGAATTAAAATCGTTTACATTCCGAGTGTCTGGCAAACAAATATCCCCTTCTTTACAAAGATTCAATAGAAACACTTCCCTGCTTTTACAACCACCATCCTCTTCTAGCTTTTGCCATTGTAGTGCGTCTCATGTCGCGGAGAGTAAAGACAATACACCGGAAGTTGGTTTGACGATACCAGCTGACAAAATAACAACACCAATTCTACAAACATTATCCACAAGTTGTCAAACTAATTTTAACAAGTTTGAAGTAGAAAAGGAGGAAAAAGGAGAAATTGCTGACAAACAGGAAATTGTACTATGCTCTACTGGTTGTCAAACAAATGGTGAAAAAAAAATGGTTGATACAGAAACAGACGTTCAATTAAGCTTAGAAATTGAGGAGAATGAAACTCTAACAAACACTCCAGACGGTCAGATTAAAGAAAGGGTCGAAGATACAATCAGTCACGTTATAGAAAAATCTATTTACGGCTTAGAACAGGAAGTACCGGAAAGAGATTTTGTTGAGGCTGTTGAAAACGAAGAAGACAATTTGAAAGAAGAGCAGAATGGTTTAGAATTTGAAAAAGTTCTCGATTCTATTCTAGAATCAGATGAGGAAGAATTTGCAGACGATGTAATATTAGCAAAATTAAGGGAACAACGACAGCATTGCCTAAATAGATGGAAAAATTATTGCACACTATTGAATAGTGAATCATAGTAATAGTATTAATAAAACATTGCTTTTAAATTAAAAAATACATTTTACGTTAACGTTATAAAGTTTTACTGTCATAAAGATGTAAGAGACGTTCCTCAGCTACTCATTTATATATTTATCATTCTCGTCAACTAAATCATTTATAACTCGATTACGTTCGTCCAAAATCTGTTTTTTATACTGAAAATAAAATAGTAAACTAAATATTTTACATAAACAGAAACTCCTTCTAATTATTGCTCTTCCTTTAAGTATTTTTGATAATTTCTTATCTCTCTTTATCTTTCTCTCGTAATTACGTAATTTCCTTTTATATAATACATCAATATTATTGAAAATTTCATTACTTTCATTATATTTAAGAGATAATTTCTCTTTTAATTTTTTTAAATTTTCTATTCTAGATAGTTCGTTATTGGTTAATGTTGAATCTATTGGTGTATGAACGCCGAAGAATAATACTCCTAATAGAATAATCAATCCGCAGAATACGATAGTACCGAAAAGTACTAGATATATTGAATAAGTAGATTTTGATCCCAACGAAGCGTCCGTAACAAATGATATTGTTCTAGGCTTTAGTTCATTTTCTATTAGATTTCCAATAGCTTTACAGCTATTTACTTTGAAATTAAAAGAAATTAGGCTATCATTAATATTCATTAATTGATAGAATTCTGTATTATTTGTATTTGTCTTGTAACAAACGCAATTAGAAATTCCTAAAATATCTCTTGCATTCTATTGGAGAATAATATGAATAAGATAAGATAAATTAGTTAATTAATATAATTGATATTAACTTTTGTTCCATATTTCATTAACCTATAACGGAATACATCGATTAACCATTGTTTATCGTTAATACAACCATGAAGTTTGGGAATAATTAACGAACCATTTAGAGAAATTAAAACATTTTTTAATTCTTTAGGATTATCCCTTAAAGGATTAGTAAGGATAATTTTACTCTTAACTATAAGATTATTGATAATTCTTAAGTTATTACTAGTAAACAATTGAATATTCCATATCGTTATCGACTTTTTAATTGAATCGATAAAAAGGTTACCAGTCGTACCGCAACCTTTTGAAACAGTATCAAAAATATACGTATTTTGAGAATATCTAAATAGGCATTTATTGTTGAAATTATACAAGTAAACATTGGTAAATTTGCAGTTTTTACATATAATATCTCTTCTATTAGTACATCCCATAATTCTGAGTGTTTCAATACGATATCTTTTATGGAGGACAACAATTAAATCTCTTTTAATATCATTCGGTAATCTCATAAAATAATTACAAGTTATTAATAAATCTTTGATATAACTATTAATCTTCAACAAATTAATAAGATTATTACTGTAATCCTCTAATGGAAATTCGGATAGAGAGCAGATAATTTGTTTTTCGTTTTCTTTATTAATAAAACATTTAAATCTATCAGCTTCAAATACTTTTAATGATTTTTTACATTCTTTCATTCTACCATTTTCTATATAAATACAACTCTTTATATTTAAAGAAGTATTAAATAATTTAAATAATTTATCTAATCTATTATTCCAATTGATGGCGTAAAACGTTGTTAATTTACTTATATTTAAGCTTTTCAGGTCGAGATTATCTAAACAAACTTTGCGTAGAATATGGAATGATTGTATTATATCTAATCCATCTATTATATCTTTATACTTTATATAATTCAATTTTGATTCTATCCATAAACTTTTTACTTTTATTTTTAAACTATTATTCTTATTTTTCAACATTATAGGCCTATACTGCTTTTTAAAACTTATAGAGATTGTAGATACTGTATAATTCTAGTTGTAGGACACGATGATAAATTAGTATGATGGATAAATGAAAGAAAAATGTAAAATACTTGTGTGAAAAGTGGTAATGAAGAGTCAATTAGACTAATTTCATTAATCTTTGAAGTAATTTTAATTAATATCCTTTCGTTACAATTAATAATCTTCAAAAACGATAAATTCTCATTTATTGTATAATTTGAATAATTATCTCGAACAGTTTTCGCGCAGGTAAGAAACATTGATGATACTAATGATAAATTTCTATTAAGGTCATTTAACTCTAAATAGCCTGGTAGATAATCATTAGTACAGTAGAGGAATGTATCAATACTAGCACTAGGATTGCAGCGAATACCAGAACATAAAGAATAGTTAATTAAATTAAAGAAACAAATGCTGTAATAATAATCATAGATTTTCATTATTTATTTTGAAATTTGAATTTTTTATATACGATAGAAAAATTTTATAGTACAGTTTATATACCGCAAAAGAAATATTATTGCATATGAATAGTTTATATATAAATATATACTGCATTGCATGCTGTTTTCTCTTAAAATCTCTCTGCACCACTTGGAGAATAGGGAGAGAATGTCATTTTAAATAAATCTTGATTTTTCACCAAATTGATTTCTATATAGTAATTTTGTTTCTTTAGCTATAATTTATAATAAACTAATAAGAAATACTAATAGTACTTTATAAAGGATGATATTTAAATGTAATAAGTAATACTATTGTATAAATACTTGGATATTTCCTTTTCAATTGGATTTGTCGGTTTATTTTCTTGATTTTATTTGAACTTTTTCTTTGTATAATCAATTCTCCATTCTTTTCTTTAACCTTTATTGTTTGGTTTATAGAGTTATCTTTCTCATTATCTCTATAAAATATCTAATATTTGTAATATTGTTATATAAAATATTCGTACGAAAATATTAAAATTAATATTCCTTCTCTATCCAGCAGTAATTACAGTTTAATATTTGCAGATAAAACAGTAATTTCCTTTCTATCTTTCTATAATTTAGAGGAATATGTTTATATTTTTTGAGAGCCATACGACTAGATTTTTAGGTGTTTTTTTTTCTTTGTTGTTTACTTTGAATCAATATTTCCTCCATAATTTATAGTATATACATCACAAGTATTTACTTCAGACATTGTAGGTGGTTTTTATGTTATATATATATATTATGTGTAATGAGAGAGATGCTGTTATAGTTATCACAAGCAAATATTTATTTATTTTTTGAATTCATTACATGAAATTGCACAATAAAGAAAAAACAAAAAATAAGAGCTTGTTGGCCTATGACATTTATGAATTGATGCATATATTTATATAAATATATAAACAAAGACATATATATATATATATACAGTATATATATATACATGTTTCGTATATTACTCGATAAAAAAGTGGCAACAATCCTTTTTATGCAGAATTTTGACAATTTTTTGTGAAATTTCTTATAAGGTTAATTATGTTTTTGAAAAAATACTAAATGTAGAACATTTTCTCATTCAGGTAACTCTTGCATAAGTCTAGTTATCGTTATTTGTTAATTGAAATATATTATTTATATTTTAATTTTTAAAAAATTATTTTGGGGGAAAAAATCCATGTTTTGTTTTTTTTTTGATTTTTTTTTTGTTGAAAGATAACGTAATCTACAAAACAAGAAAATTATACAAAACTGTATATTTATAATTATTGTAAATAAGTTTCCAAATGAGATTTGTAAGTGTCATTTAAATGTTAAACAAGTTTGTAAAACTAATTTTTTTTAAATATATAGGAAAAGGAGAAAAACTGTTTAAAATAATAAAAAAGAACAAAGTAAAACGAGAAAAGGAAAAAATTTTAAATAAAACGAAAGGGTCGGTTCTCTATAAAGCAGCCTAAATAGCTTGTTTTTCTTCATAAAAATTTACTGTAGTATTGTTTTTTATTTTTTTTGATTATTTTCAGTTACTTGAATTTAATTCTACACAGGAAGAAGCACCATGTTCCAAAAAGATTAAGAGAATGGAATGAGAGAAAAAAACTCTGGGTTAAAAGACATGTTATCCTAACAAACCCCGAATTTTTTCCTCATTGTAACTAATATTCATGTTTGTTCGATAGTCTCTTTTCTTAATAAAAGTAAACAATAAAGATTATATTCTTAAACTCGGTTACCACCCTTATTTATACGGTCTATGGGAATCTCATTAACGCGCTTCTTTCTCCTACCCTGAGCAGGTCCACCAGCTGAACTCTGAGCTTGTTGATAGGCGGGTGGAGGACCTTGCGGATGACGGTTATGTCTTCTTCTGAAAGTCAAGGTTTGTTTCAAAGTAACAGCTGCTTTTAATTTAGGATTAGAGCTGGGTGTGTGGACAGCACAAAGCTTTATAAACAATCCCATACAAATGATGAGTCCTATACCCATCAAGAGAACAGCCCACCAATTTTTTACTATCCAATCTCTTATTGTTGCAATAGTCTCCTCACTAAACAGCAGTTTCTTTAGTCGTGAGAGCGGACCTTCGGCATCCACACTACGGCACTTTTGAAAGACATCACAATACCCTTTGTAATCGTCGCAGGGTGCTCCTGATCTAAGTTTAATGGCCAATTTATCGTCTTTAGATATACTTTTAAGCAATTCATAAAATTCTAAATTCTCCTGTTTTTTCAATACTGATTGTTCAGAATTTGAGCTAACGCAAGGTGAATTCCTATCCTTTCTACATGCCACATAACATAAATCGCCAAAATCGTAATCTCTCGAAGGTTGTGACGGTTTCTTTAAAAAGCATTGAGTCCAATTAATCTTTTGACAAACAGATCCCGTGCATAAACCACTTATGCAAACTTGCGTGAAATCATTACAAAGAGTATGATCAGCTGAAAATATAAAAATTATTTTAATAAGATATATAACTAAACAATGACTAAATTTCGTTCAAAAATTCTTTTTTTTTGTCTTTGTCAGACTTTTAAAACTGGCAATATTTCATTACTAAACTATGCTTATTTCCTTCATTAATTCAAGAATAAATCTGTTTATCTTCGTTGACTATTCAAAATGTAAATTAATTACATTACTATTTTCGGTGTCTTAGTTATCGGATATTCATTAAATCGATAAAGGAAAGCGAGAAAAATTACCTTTAGGACTTTGATCTGGACATTTTTCAGTTTTTCCGTTACATTTAGCCTCAAAAGCACACTCAGTTGCTGCTGCACATTGCACGTCACTCACAAATGTACAGTCTTCTTTACAACAAGGACCTGCAGTCGGACTACAGTCCTTATTATCCCTCAATTTACACCATTGTTCCACTTTGGAACTACTTTCCCTGGCATGACAACATTTATCTTTGCAGTCATTCGCATAACCACAATCGCATTGTTCATTATTGCCTTTAACACCCTTTTCTACTATTTTATTACCACAGAAACCTGCGACTGGGCTGGTAAAACAGTTTTCTTTACTGTTACCATTGAAGACTGCGTTTAAAACACTCCCTATGTACTTAAGGCTACATTCAGAGAATTTATTATTGTTGCTCGCTGTTCCGTCAGTTGCCGAGGCATACATAATAAAGTTTCCCCCTGTAAGTAGTGAAAAGAAAACAAATAAATATATATTTATAAAAGGTTTTAAATGTATCTGTTAAAGTCGCATTTTATTGTAAAATGCTTCTAATATAAACAAAATACGTTTAAGCCTAGTTTGGCTGAAATAAATATATATTTTTTTCTACTCTTCAATGTAATAACAAACTATCCATTTAACAATGGTACGTAGAGCAACTGATTTACAGTTGTTTACAATAAATATACGACTATTGAAAATTATTAAATCGAACAAGAAATTTTAACGTTATTTTGGCTGATGCACTACTGAATAATAATACAAAGAAAAGTAAATATATTACCTCCTTGACCGCTATCCGAAGGAATACATACTCCAGAGTCGTGCTGTGATCCAAAATTGTGACCAATTTCATGAGCGAAAGTTAACACTGAGACTTTCTGGGGGACAAAGCGTCCGTAGTTGATAAGAGTAACAATGCCCGTATTAAGAGATTTTTTCGTCTTTTTCCCTTTACCATCTTCATAATCCCTATATCTTTCACATATTCCCCCTGCCTGATTATTCGGACTAGCCACCCAAGCTAGACCCAAAGTACCACCGTTAAAATCTCTATTAGAGAAAACGAAAGCCAAGCAGAAGTCATCATGATTCTGCAAGCTCGCATAGTTCAAGTAGTTATTGACGTCTATGTTTTTCTTACACATCCAATCGTCAACATCTCCTGGTGTACAGGCAGTAACAATTTTTGCTCTTCGTACGCTAAAAGATATACCCGCGTATACCACGCCATTGGTATCCACAAATTGTGAGTTATTATAAATCGATATAAGATTTGTCACATGAATATGAAACATTCCCATAATTTCTTCTTCCGCATTTGATCCGAATAATTCTTTATATTTCTCGTAAAGCTCAATGTCAGCTCGTAGATACCTTATATCGAAAGCATATATTATATAACAAATTATCTGTGACTATTTTATCCCTATCCCTACCCAATCTATGATTGATATTTACTTAATATAGCATATAGAGACAATGTGAAAGAGATAGTTTGGTAATAATTTGCGTTTCTACTAAATATTAAATAAGAAATAATTGTGTAAGATAACTATTTTCATTAAATTTAGTATTTTTGCTATGGAAATAAGGTAATATTTACAGTGTGCAAGTATTAGACCCATCAGGTATTGATCTCTTCTGTCGATTAGCATGCCAGCTATACGGATTCGCTTGTCTGGTTGATCTCTTTGTACGTTCTGCTGCTGAATTCTGAATACTCTCCATCCATTGTCGACTTTCGTCATTTCCACACCGTAATCCAGCACTCCTTTTGAATCGTTTCATATTTACATGTTTATCCTTATACAAAATGCTATGAAATGATTTTTTCTCGTTAGGAAAAAATTTAGCGGACTTTTCAACGTAAAATGTTTCGTTAGCCAAATCAATTTGTCCTTGAAATACACCATCAACAATGTAACCGACCACAGATGAACCATCGTGGTCTTGAACGCTACCAGTATAAAGATGATGAAAGTGATTACTGTTTTTCGGTTTAGAAGAACCCTCTAAAATGAAATCATCCGAAAAAGCTGCACTATCAGATTTTAGTTGAAGGTTAAAACTTCTATTAGGGCTCTGCAGTTTGAATGTAAAATATCCATCGACGCTTCTTCGAGATCTATGATTTCTCAAATGCTCTTTCGAGTAACTAAGAGGTTCGAATCTTGAGATTATGTCTGCTATGTGGTGGGCTATCAAAAATAGGGAAAAAGGCCATTTAGCTTACATAACAAATGCATTAAATAGTCAAACAATAATCTAATTCCGAAATCTTGATGTCTTATTTACTATTTCATATATATGTAATGATTAAGACTTCAAGGTAGTTAATCCCTGCGTTACAAATGTTTAACTAAGCAAGTTGTCTAGTCGTGGGCTGGTTTATTGACGAAAAAGTATAATAATCGCAACTTGAGTCATAAAAAATATACTTGAATTTAATGCGGAAATCATATCTTATTTTTGTCACGATATCCTCTTCGATTTATAAATCGAGGAAATATTGATTATTGTAGGATACTTTGTTACTCTAACTTTGTTTACAACAAAATTTCGTTTGTTTCTGTGGTATTATTTTATGTATAAATCCGATTAAAGGTTAGTAAAACTAGCCCTAAGTGAATAACTAAGCGTTGGTACTTACCTCTGCTAACTGCAGTTAAGAAAATATTGAATATCAAAGGAAGTAGGCAGAGATTCATATTTATCTTGTTTATGGAAACTTTTAAGATTCTATAAAGCAGTTATTGAGTATATCTAGTCATACAATCATTGATTAACGGGCTATTTTCTACCGCCACTATTTTAATTGCTTCTGCTCTGTCGCCCATGCGCAGTCAGCTGACCGGTCTTATATGACCGTTTCACAACCGGTAAGTTCTTCATCAATTTCTAGCTAATTGTTTTTCTTTCTTATGATTTGCCAATTATTCAGTTAATTTTGTAATTATGTTTTAACTTAATAAAATAAAATAATTTTTATAAAATTTTTCTTCTATATTTGTATTTCAAAGTTGAAGTACATCATTTCTTTTTGCAATTTTGTTGAAATTTCATTCAGTTCCTTTATAAAAATTCTTTGTATTTCTAACCAACATGCTTTTCAGCAGCAGGCCAAATGTTGCATTCGAACGAAAAATCTAATCCAGTGAGTTATTTATTATAAAACTGGAGTGTCTCTAAAGTACTTTGAAAATGTCACTAATTGAATCAACTTACGAGTTTTTCTACAATATAATTGCCAGTTCTGTTGACATACTTTATATGCAAGTCAGTTTGTAAACTTTTATTAAGACTTGAACTGTAAATAACAAATGAAATTTGCTGATTTAGTGGCTGGCATGGATAGTATACCCCGCCATATTGACTTTTGCTCTTCCCGTTGGAATAATGATTTCTGTCTACATATCCGCTATCTTCTTGCATATCTATAAGTATAATTCAAAAGATAGTCATAAAAATTCAATTATATAATATTAATAACTATATGTAATATTCATTTTTAGATGGCGTCACCATATAAAAGATGTAGCACTATTAGATAAATGGAAAGGGGCCAAACACTTCCTATCTGTTTTATGGAATGCCCAGGGTAGAATATGGCACGGTAAAAACAATTAATATACGATTTAACATTCTTTTATCTAATTATCAATATTCTATATTTGTCAATTAGGTTATGAAGTACTTGGAATGGAGAAAATTCCAGATACAGGATCAGCTTTAATAATCTTATACCACGGGGCTATACCAATAGATCACTATTACTTAGTAGCAAATATATTTTTAAATAAAAATAGAACAATTTGGACTGTTGGAGATCGGTTTCTCTTTCTAATACCTGGTTTTAAAATTCTCATGGACGTCTTCCGAGTTTTACCCGGAACAGTTTCAAGAGGGGTTGAATTATTAAAATCAGGAAATTTGTTGGCGATTGCTCCAGGTAAGATATATCTAATATAAAAAAAGCCTATGTATAAAATTAAGTAACATGTACTATATAATGTAGTAATACAGGCTTAATTTCTTTCTACTATAAAGTTATCTGACTTGACACATAATGATCGGAAGATTTAAATGATCAAAGTACATCGTTGTAAGATTAACATACGTTTAATAGTAACATAATTAATAACTTAATCTCATTTTTTGTAAAAGTATTCTATCAAGGCTGTACGTACTAATTTCACTCGAAATAAGAATTAGAGCTTTCTTTGTCTGATATTAACTTTGAAGAAATTAGATTTATAGTCTTAATGAATTTTTTAAGGCTCTGGCCTCAAAAATACCCAAAAGTTATTTTAACAAAACTTCCTGTACTTTTAAATAATCTACTAGTTTAAAAACTGTTTCTGTTCATTCAGGAGGAGTTAGAGAAGCTTACTTCAGCGATGAGTATTACAAAGTACTTTGGGGACAAAGAATTGGATTTGCTAAAATTGCTGTTGAAGCAAAAGTTGTATGTATTTTCTCTATTTTAAACAAAATACATCATATATGGTATATTAAAAATTTATTGTTTAAATCTAAATAGCCTGTTATCCCAGTATTTACACAAAATATTAGAGAAGCAGTTAGAGCAGTAAAAGCTGGAAGATGTAAATATCTTTATACGTTTTCTTACCATACCTGTTGGGTATAATACTGTGTTTTTCTTTCTTCCTGAAATTCCTAGCTTTCATGAGACGAATTTATGAACGTACTCGCTTACCTATTGTTCCTTTATATGGAGTGTTTCCTGTGAAGTTAAAGTATAAATATAGTAACGTACTGTAAAGTAAAAATTAATTCTAGTCTGTTGTATTCCTAAGAACTATCATCGGAGATGCCATACCTTACGAAGAAGGAATGACACCAGAACAATTAGCTACAAAGGTAGATTCTCTTGTTATTCAAATTAGAACTCAAAAAATTAATAATTGATAATTTTCTATCTTCAAGGTTAAGAAAGGTCTTGAAAATCTAATATTAAAAAACCAAAAATTACCAGGAAATATTCTTCGAGGAATGTATGAAAGATTTTTTCCAGTTCCAGTTGATATGGGAAAAACCTCTTAACGTGATACATCATCTGCAAGGAAAAACCTTTACAATTTAAAAACTTTAAAACTTGGCCATATTGAATAGGGTTACTTTCATGTGATGTTACACTTACGATTATCTAGATCTAAAATGAGTTCAGTTTCTGATAACGAAAAAATATATACATATATTCATACTTCAACAAGTTCATTTTTATTATTTTCAAATTTTGGCGCCCTATTGAGTAGTTGTGAATAACCAGTTTTTGTTCATCAATGAAAGAATATTTTACATTTGTTTCGATCATACACATCATCAACTATAATTCGGTTTAATAGAATATTTTTTTTGTTAAGAAAGATCTTTCTATACTTAAGAATAGTCTTCAATAAAGAATTCAATTATCGAAATGTTTTAGTATAACTGACCGCTATTCATACTGTTGATGGAATAGAAAAAAAACATAAAATATTTATATTATCGTTCTTACCGAAATAATGATTGACGATACAACTGTAAGACGAAGAAAGACTTTCAGCCTTAAAGATGTTAAAGAGCTAGACGCATTTCCTAAAGTCTCTGACAGCTATCAAGAGACGAGAGTCTCAGGAGGTGGAGGTAAAGTGCCACAACATATGTCAGATTTTTTTATTCACAAAATGTTTATTTTATAGTTTCCCTGGTAACTTTTACAATAATACTTATATTGACATTTTCTGAAATAATGAGATACTTAAGAAGTGACGTGAAGTATGATTATGAAGTAGATAGAGCACACGAAGGGTATAACAAATAATAACTGTAAGACATACAAGTATTGGTTTAATTTACCTTTTTCTCCTATAGAAAAATTCAATTAAATATTGATATTACTGTTGCAATGCAATGTGCCAGTAAGTTTTTAAACTATACAAATCATTTTTACAATTAAACTTGATTTAATTATAATTATAGATATTGGTGCAGATGTCTTAGATGTTACCAATGAGAACGTTCTAATGACTTCTTCAACTCTTGAAGAGGAAGATACATATTTCGATTTAACGCCAAGACAGAGAAACTATTATTCTATGATGCAAAAGTATTCTACATACTTGAAAGATCAATATCATTCATTACATAAACTCCTTTGGAAAACTGGATATATGGTTGGTCTGAGAACTTCAAGACCAGAAAGAGAAATCAAACCAACAACACAACCGGATGCCTGCCGAATTCATGGAACTTTAGAGATTAATAAGGTAGCAGGAAATTTTCATGTTACAGCTGGAAAGTAAGTTTAATTTCCTTGTTTACATTTCGTATTTAACTCTCTACCTGTTCTATCGGGATTATTGGAAAACTATTCTTTGTACTCTTTTAGACCGGTTCCCGTTATCCCTAGGGGCCATGCTCACTTTGCTTTCATTAAAGAGCGGGGTAAGATAAGTATAGTCATATCTGTTTTGTTTGTAAGTTCATGTAGTTTAGGCGAAAAAGTATAAACACACACACACACACACCTGTATATATATATATATATATATATATGCATGTATCCTCTCTTTCACCTACCTGTTATCAATCACTTCAACTCTCTCACAAATCGTCTCCTAATATTTTACTCATTAACTTTACAATAATTTTAACAAACTCAACTGATTAAACACGTAGGTTACTCCCCTTCAAAAATATGCACGTACATTTTTTCAACTTAATACAAAAGAGTGGTAAGTAATGGCCAATTTTAGATTAAATTATGTATCGATTATCCATATCAGATACTATTTTTTTATGTGTCGTTTTTTAAAAGTATTATTTGCACCATTAAACTATTCCATTTTTTATAGACTATAACTTTTCTCACCGTATCGATCATTTTTCTTTCGGTCGAAGAACTCCTGGATTAATTTATGCTTTGGATTACGATGAACGAGTAACAATGAACAGTAATTAAAAATTGAATATATACTTATTCAAAATAAATGTCATTTTTAAAACTTTATTTTTTCTATTAGATTTGTACATGGCTCAATATTTCTTGCAAGTTGTACCAACTTCTGTCAATACGTTTATCTCTCAAGTTGATACCTATCAATTTGCTGTCACTCATAAGAACAGAACAATAAATCATTCTAAAGGTAGCCATGGAGTACCTGGAATTTTCTTCAAATATGATTTATCGCCAATTAAAGTTAAAATAACTGAAGAAAAAAGAGGTTTTGGAAGATTATTAATTCGCCTTGCCGGAATAGTTGGCGGTGTGTTTGCAACATCTTCTATATTACATTCACTTCTTTGTTCTGGAATCGATTTAATATGCTGTAGATTTAAGAAATCTACCCCAGATCAAATTCCTGCTCAGAGCAGTCTAATTACGCCACCGTTCGACAGTGGTGATACTGTTCCGGCTGTTGTTCCCACTCAGCCTGCTACATCTTAATAATATTTGATTTTTGTTTTTTGTTTTGTTTTGGGTACCAAAAGGGAATATTATAGGAAGTTTAACATTTTAGAATTAAAACTAAGCTAACTAACACTAAACGAAATTTTTTCTATTCATATAAAATATACTTTAGCTTTTTAATCAAATCATTTATTGCTTTTTTTTTACAACTTAAGATTTTTAACATTCAAACGACCTAAATAAGGTGATCCATAACTGCCAAAATATAAATTATCACCATCTTCAATAACTTGACTAACTTTAGCAATAACTCTACCAGTCGTATCGTGTAAGGTTTTATCTATACGACCCTTTTCGTCTATATGAATAGCTAACCCATATTTGGGAGCTAATTTTGGGAAAGTATCAATACTCAAGACGGCAGCTAGAAATTTTTTGACAAAAGCTTTGGTCATCATCCATTCAATAATATTAAACGCCGTCCTTTTTCTAGCGGCTCCTAATCCTATCCAATATCCACCATTTTTTGAAGGACGAATGTTATCTGGTAAGCCAGGTAGATTATCGGCGAATATGGTTTTTTCTCCGGCTAGCGGTCCTAATGTAAAGAAAAAAATTTATCACATACAGTAAACTGACTTTCTCCTATGACAAGTAATAATTATATAATGAAAAGAAACCTTTAATATGGTATTTCCATATTCTAGCTCTAGTTAATTCAGCGACTAGAACATAATCTTGATTTGGTGACAGTTGTACTCCATTTGCAAAATCTAGAGAATCGATTAGTACTCTAAACTTCTTAGTATGCAAATTATAAGATAGAAGACGTCCATCAGAGGCTGACTCTAGGACTACATAGACAAAGTTTCTTCTCTCCCATCTGACACTTGAATGTGAGAAATAAATATTTCCTTCGTCGTCGATATCTAAGTCATTTAATAGTGTCATATTCGTTCCTTCGACTACAAGATCTGGACCGAAAAGCTTCGTCTTCTCGTGCGTGTTTAGATTGAACTTGAAAAGACCTAAATATGTATCTATTATGTACATGGTTCCATCCGGAAGTATTCGAAAGCCTAAAGGTCTTCCGCATTTTGGTTCGTTTTCGTAACTGCCACAATTTTCACTTTGACCAAGTCGTAACAAAGTTTCAACCTTATTGTTTTTAAGGTCAAATTTAACAAATCTTCCATCATGTAGGCCAGCATATACATTTCCCTTATATACCATTGGTGCTTCTGGCCCCAGAATTTCATTCTCAAACAGTCTCTCTGCTGCCTGAAGATGATTATTTGGCTCCAAGGCCCCTTCAAAAACTGGTGCTAATCCTAATTCTGATGATTTCGGATTTATAGGAGATTTTAGCACCGTAAAGATGTAAATACCAATTACAACAACAATAGGAGTAACAGCCAGAAAAAAAAGTTTTGATGATTTCTCATTCCTTGGCTTTTTCGCAACTGTTGCTGGTTTTTTCGGTGACTTTTTACCCATAATTGAACTAGTAGCTCTCAGATTTTGAACTTTTGTAATCGGCAACAATTAATATTTATCTGTTTTTTATTTCGCTGGAATAACAGATGTAATATATATTAATCAATTGCAAATGCTGTATTTATATTCAAAGCACCAACTGCACAGAGTTTGAATCTTACCGGCTTTAAATTAATAATACAAAGCAAAGACTGTAACGGGATATCGGATAAAAAATAATATACAAAAAATTACCAAAGTTGAACACCAAAACTATTTTCAAAAGGATTGTTCACCTTGTCTTCAACCAATATTGATAGCAGTTAACTATGTTAACCTCAGAAAACAGATGGCGTTATATAATATAAATCTAATTATCTAAATCCTGGAGTTGTACAAGTCGATAACCTTTTCATTATATATTCTATGCTTTATAACATTCGTTGAATTTTATTGCGCTATACTTGTGCACATACCTTGTAAAAAAAAATTCCTATATACTCCATAGTTATAAAAGTTGTAAATACTGACAATGGAAGCATTTTTATTTCAACCTGATAACAACGAATAAAATCTTCTTTTGCATAATATTTCAATTCGTAATTGATTTTAGTAATAAAAAAAAGCTTATACTGTATACATATATTTTAGGCGCTTCATGGCAATCGCATTATCCCCTACCAATGTTATTTGTAAGTAGCTCGAACAATTATTAATAGTAATAAATATAAATCTATCTTAAATTCAGGTCAAAAATGTTTAGAATATTCTCATGGTGAATGATGATGTGAAGGATATATAACTCTTTACATTATATACAAGATAAGATAAAGAATTGGGAAATAACACCAATATATCTATAGAAAAAAAATTAAATACTTATACATTAAAACTTACTAAGCAACAGTAAAAAAAATGTTTATTTAGAGAGTTTTCTGCGACTAAAATAATAGCAAAAAAAAAACAAAATTTCAGCTTTTTACTTTTCTTGTTTTCTTTTTTTTTTTTTTAAAAACATGTTATTCTCTTTTTTTTTGAATGACATGAAAATTATAGTTTTACATTTGAACAAAAGAACAAAAAATAAACAGCAAAAAAAAAAAAAAGAATCTAAATCAACTATAGGTCGATTTATTAATCCATTGCACAGCCCATTCGTCGTCTTACCGATGAAAATTGAGCTTCTTTATCTCTTTCTTCGCAAGCCTTTGCTAAATTCCAAACTGTATTTGGAGTAATAAAATCACAGTCAGTTTCATCATTGAACATTTTAAAATTTGTTGGGGATTTTAGAAATCCTATTGCAACACCTGAGTCACCGTCGTCACTTAACTCTGAGATATCTTCTTTATCGTCCTTCCTTTTCCTTTTAGGGAAGGAATGTGTTCGCCGTAGCGTAGCTTCACAATCCGAAACAGAGGTTATTGAACTATCTAATTCGTCTGTACTCCTCCATAAAAATTCATCACTGGAAGCACTTCCCGGCATTAGTTTCTTGTGCTGAAATCTCAGCTCAAAGATACTTCTATCCAAAAGTGTGTAATCATTTGCTGCATCTAATTCCGACATCACATTGCCAACAACAGCAGCCGTTAAAGAAAATAAATGACCTCCTGGTAATCTTCTGTTAGACCTTTTCTTACATTCAATATTATCGGCAATCTTTTTCAAGTGTGTTGACCGAACAATAGCAGGTAAAGATTCTTGATCTGCTACAATCTCATGGTAATTAGGTGAGTTTAACAACCGACCCAAATCGACAGTTAATTTTGAAAAACTTGGTCGTTCTTTCGGATCTACCTGACAACAGTAGAAGGCATCTGCTAATAGGGCAAGAGGGCACATTGTTTCTTTCACTTTCTTTCCAACTTCAACATAATTAAGTCCATAAGCGGTTGTACGAGCAATTCGATCAGGATCAGAGTCAGTTCTTAATATTAATTGTATAAGAATGATACCAAACGAAAAAACATCTGTTTTTTCGTCGTAAAACTTTGAATTTAAACACTCTGGAGACATATAGAACGGTGATCCTACAACAGGCAATTTTATTCCTTTCTTTGGTACTTTTGTAGCCAAACCGAAATCAGCAACAACTGCTTGTAAACCTTCTCTATTATTCGTTAACTTTAAGAGAACATTACTAGCCGTCAAGTCCCTGTGAATATAGCCTTTACTGTGTATATATTTCATAGCTCTAGCTATATCCAAAGCCAAATGCAATCTGACACTCCATGTTAGATCCCTATTACAGTCTGTAGCCAAAGACTCTAAACAACCTCCATCCATTAACTCCGTAAGTGCGTGTAAATGTCCATTTTCCGTACAAACACCTTTTAATTTAATAACATTCCGGTGAGAAAGTTGCCGAAGCAATTCAATTTCGTTTAAAGCTGCTCTTTGATGTTGGGCTATACGTTTTGGATTATCCTCTTTTAATTTTAGACGTTTTAATACCAAACTTTCTGATGTTTCCTTATTTATTGCCTATATAATTTAATAAACAAGAATTAAATATTGAATATTAAAAAAATGTTTTTTAACTTTCGGGAAAGAAATATTATTCTTTTTCTTTTTTTAAACGTGTTTCTTTCACAAATATTAGAAAACATTTTCTTTCTACGAAGGTTGTAACTTTAGAAGTTTAAAATTATATTTCTATTGGGAAAAAACAACCTATACCTGTAAATTGTATACAAAAACTAAAGATATAATATCAAAATTTGTCTTTGTTTTTTCCCTTTAATAATCATTAATGTCCTATTCAGGTTTATACATCGTTATCATGAAAAATTTAGAGTATTGTAACACAAAGTTTATTGTATCAAATGAAGAAATCAGTAGGTAAATACCTACGGGTTAAAAATAGGTCAAAAAAAACAAAGGAATGTATAGTAGTAAGAGTGAATCAAGTGAGGCGAAGCCTATGAAAAAAGGGTAGAATCGAGTAAAATATTTGTAATCTAAAATTAACAGGACTTTATATAAAAACATTAGCTAACTGTTTTCTCTAATAATTTTGAATTTATAAACATTTTCTTAGTTGTTTAAATATAAATACAAGCAACATTCTCGGCTATACGCAAAAAAGTTTTTTTACAAGTGATCCTTTCAATAAAAAAGATACTAATATCCCAGCTGTTTAGATACTTGTAGAAAAAGTAATAGAGTGGGGGAAGAGTAGGAAAAAAGGAGACAAAGAGAGCAGAATAAGATAGGAATAAAGCATAATTATCTCTACTTCATGTGCAATTTGTTATTAAAAAAGCTTATATATATATACATATATATATATTTGCTATATTAGGCCAACCACAGAAAAGGTCATATATTTTATTATCACTGGGAGTATACAATATTTCTATTTTGTAATGAATCTTAAATCAATCTCTTATATATTAATCAAAAATTTCTATAAAATAAGAAAAGAATCCAAATGAAAAGGTTATTTAAAGATCATATCTACTTTAAAGAAAACACTGTCTATTCTCTTCCTCTTACGCTTGCTATTCTATTGTTGTTAAACTTAAATTCTACTTGTAATACTCCACAAGTAGTAAGGAAGAGAAACATGTAAAATATTTAATTGGGCATAAAGCTTACAGTTACAAATATATATATATATATGTACAGTATATCCTGTATATGGAATATTCTATACATTATTCCATATATGTCTATAGTAGTCGTATTGAAAAAAAAAATGAGATTATTTATAGAGAAAAAAAACAAAAGCCGCTTTTTTTTAATATACATAAAAAAGAATTTAGTAGATATTTAATAAAACGATAGATGGTTAAATAATCCAGATAATGATATTATACAGTGCATATAGGTTTTATAGTACTCTATATAAATTAAAAAACCTACTTGATGTAACAATATAATTTTATACTGTTGAAAAACATATTTATAAGGACGAAAGAGAAAGTGAGAGACAGAGAGAGAGAAAGAAAGAAAGAAACAATAACAAATCACTTTCTTTTGTTTTTTTTTTGATGTTACGTAATTTAAAAAAAAAAAACAAAACAAATAGGAATAGTAATACCAATAAAAATAATAAATTATCTTTATATATTGTATATTTACTACTTTAAGTGTAAATATTGAAATTCTTTTTTTAAGTATTACCTTATAAACAACAGAGAAAAATCCTTCTCCAATCTTATTCAAGTGAAAATCCTCAATATTGTAAAGCTGGCATAAACTTTCTCTTATTGCCGTGAAAGAAGGTGAAACGTTCTTGTCGTATTCTACTATATTCATTGCTTCGCTTTTAACCTCAAAATCATATCTGAAAAATTCATTGTCGAATTTAAAGGAACTTTAATTTATATGCTTAAACATAAAACGTGTTAACAATTCCAGAAAATGATAAGGATTAAGATTAGAACGTGATAATATTCCCAATTTATTTCTGTGGTAAATCAAATTGGATACAAAACATATATATATATATATATATATATAATATTATCCATATCATTTATTCTTATCTAGTCAAAATAAAAAGTTTTCTACTATTCAAACCGGCGTGCTTTCTATCTTAGTCAAGTTTAAATTTAGCTATAAAATAGTAAGAGAAAACCAACTTAAAGTATAAAAAAGAGTAGTTATTTTAGTAAATTCCTCAACTAAAAAGATTTATATCCCCTCTTTCTTCTCTCTGCTCCAGTGAAGGCCTTCGAGTGCTAGAAACATGAGATTCAAGACTAATTAAACCAGGTATTTTTAAAGAGTATGTGTCAACACGTTAGAATGCTCAGCTGCCATTACTTTTTTTTTTCACTCCGGGAGTGGCGCCATCTGCTTTTATTCTGATAAGAGTAGTAACTCATTAGGCGATAATACGGCAAACTTTCAGAATTTCTAATATGAATATATTCACATTTAGAATTGTTGGAAAATATTTAGGGAAAAGCAGATACTATTGATACAAAAAGTCTACTACTTATATTTCAAAGCTAGTTTTTTAAGGTAGATTATTTGGTTAAAATAAACAATTTACTTTTAAGAGTCATATTTCAATGTAAACACCACGGACTAGACAGGAGGTTGTACGTGAGAGAGAGAGAGACAGAGAGAAAGAAAGAAAGAAAGATAGAGATAGAGCAAAATAAAAATACAAAAAAGGAGAGAAGAAGGAGGGGGAGAGTGGGAGTAGCCGTTGAACCCGCTTTATTTATTCAAATAAATATATATTTTATTCATTAGTCTGGGTTTTACAAAGAATATATAAAAGGAAAAACAGCACATATTTACACACACCTCTTAAAATTATTTAATTGAATAAATTAATTCCAAAATATTCAACATATTTCTTATTATTTTATATTCTTAAATATTCCTTTTATTATATTGTATTTATAAAATAATAAACTTATATAAATATTTAAGAAAGAAACAATATAAAGACAGAAAGTAAACTGTTATTCATATTTAAAAAGAAAGAAGGGAAGAAAAAGAAATAAATAACAAAACAAAAAAACCAAACAGGACTCTATTTTCTTTTACTTTCAGTTACTATGTTTGTATTTGTTCATTTTTTTAAATTAGTAATTAATTCAACTCGGTTATATTAGTCGAATAGCGAAAAAACTTCGGGAGAAATCAATTATGTGTGTCTGATCGTGACTTTGTGAATGTAAGTTATAGAAATGTGTTAGAGATATATGGTTTAAGAGAGAGTGACAGTGACAGAGAAAGTGAAATATTGAAAGACAGACAAAAGAGAGAGGGAGAGAGAATATCGAAAGTTGCACCAATTAATTTAATACTATATAGTACTGAGTAGTTTACTATGTTAAATTTAGTTGGTGACCTTTTAAAAGTCCTTATTTTGACTTTTCTTGTTGTTTTTGTCATTTTAACCTTTTAAAATGTGGAATTTTTTTTAACGATAAATAATTAGTGCATTTTCATTTGATTACGTAATTTCTATATTCGACTGTTTTTGTGAATTACACGTTTATCTTTATATAGAATAGTAGAAACAAACGTTTAAGTCGTGAATAATATAGTAAATTATGTAATTACTATGTTATCTCTACAAATTTGTGATATAGAAATAGTGCTGTTTCCTTAAAACGCACCTATTTATATTATAAGCTAAACACAAGTAATTAAATATTCTAAATTTGGCGCTCATTATTTTCGTAAAATATATGTTTTTTATACTCTATAATATTTATCTATAGGGAAAAATCATAATTGTTAATATATTATCATAAAAAAAACTGAGATTGGACTCTTTTTTTTTTAAATTAGCGTCCATTTTCCGCTGAGCCGCCATATTGGATGTGCAGGCTTGACGAAGAATTTCTGAGAATATAAGCGCTTTTACAGCAAGATGTCAGGTATAGTTCATGAATTCTTATTTATGACTTTATCAAGAATTTGCCTAAGAATAAAGATCAAAATATAGGATATTATAAACTAAAACTAATCGCCGAAGTCGGCAGACATGTTGGCCTCGTTGTTTCGTCCAAAAACGCCGAATCAAATTAAGTTACATTTTACATAATCTAAACGCATTTTACAGATGATCAAGCTCCATCTACGGAAAATGGCGGTGGGGGAGATGTTGAAACAGTCGAAAAATCAGAAGATCATAAGAAGTTAGTCGATTTCGGTCTAGATACAACAGTGGCCGATGAATTAGAGAAGCTATTTCAAGCAAAACTTGTGACTTATGATGATCTGGATCCTAGAGCCCTAGAAGCAATAAGAGACTTTCCTATAGAATGTGCTATCGCAGTTCTTAAGCAACTTTTAGCTGACAGCAACTTACAGCATGTAAATAATAAAAGTGCTTATATCTGTGGTGTTATGAAGACTTACAGACAAAAACAAAGCTTAGGCGAGGATAAACCGGCTGTAACGAATGGACCAGACGAAAAGAAATTAAAGGTTAATTTTTAACATTATAGAAACCATAGTTGAGCTTCGACTTGTATAACCCTTAATATTCTAATCATATCTTGTATGCATGGTATGTGACATAGTCTGTAAGGGTAAAAGGCAACATCTTCTGTTAGGAATTATAGCATATTCGACTTTCGAACGTGTATTTTAAACTAATTTCAAACTTAAGGTGACATTTGATATCAAATTAAACCTATAGCTGGTTTTGACAAAAATATTTGAATGTGATTTTAAGCATTAATGTCCAACAGAAGGCTTAATCTTAGATCAACAGTAGATTATTGCTAATGGACAGTTCAACTTTTGGACGATATAACCTTGAGGGTCTTATGTAATTACTGATTAAGATTTAACAAAGATAGCCAATTTTTGATAAAATTTATAGTATATAGTGAAATTTTGCTACTCAATATAGAAAGAAGGATTCATTTCATTAATATAATACTATTACTTGTAAAATTACCCTTAAATAAAGAGAATTTAGTATTGTATTGATTAAACATGGAAACGTCTAGTAAGGAATCCTATGTACAAAATTACTGAGGTGTTGAATTCCTCGTTTGCATTTTAAGCCTATCGATATTGCTTTATGTCTTTATGCCATAGGAAAAATGAACTTGTTTGTCATGTTCATGATATTGGGTCATTGAGTGTATTACGTGCTATTCTCAGTCTCAGAAACTACACCTAATAATTACTAAAACAACTCAATTTGTTCTTTCGTTTTTTACTCTATTTTTCTAAAACAGATAATTGATAAAATAGAAATATATTTTTAAATAAGATAGAAAAAATTATAGATTAGATAAATATCTATTCTAATCTTGATATTCATTCCCAGGAAATCCTTGATCGGACGGGATATGCCTTGGAAATAACAACAGGTCAAAGAAAATATGGTGGTCCACCCCCCAGTTGGGATGGTGGTCCACCTGGCAATGGGCACGAATGCTTTGTTGGACGCATACCTAAAACAGTATATGAAGACGATCTGATTCCAGTATTTGAAAAATTTGGCACCATCTGGGATCTTCGACTGATGATGAATCCCATGCAAGGCTGTAACAGGGGATATGCTTTCGTAACATTCACCACAGCTGAAGCAGCAAGAGAAGCTGCTAAACAATTAAATAATTATGAAATTAAACCGAATAAGAAACTTCAGGTTAATGTTTCAATTGCGAATGTGCGATTGTTTGTTGGAAATATACCAAAAAACAAATCTCGTGAAGATATATTGGAAGAATTCAAAAAGTTAACGGAAGGCTTGAGAGAAGTTATAGTTTATGCATTTCCTGATGATCCAAAGAAAAAAAATCGAGGATTTGCATTTCTAGAATACGATACTCATAAATCAGCTTCAGGTGCTAAGAGGAAGTTGGCTAGTGGCAGAATAAGAGTTTGGGGTAGTGAGATTATTGTAGACTGGGCTGATCCCCAAGATGAACCAGATGAAGAGACAATGGCAAAGGTTACTTTTTACTAGAATTACATAAATTATTAAAGAATGCTTTTATCGCGATTGTTATACAATTAAATAGTTTCATATTTTAAAGTTAAAACAGAGATAACAACATTAGCGATTACATCAACGTGTAACGATGTAATATGTGGGTACTTAGTTTTGTAAGCTGAGAGAATTTTCTATTTAAGAGTTGCTTTCATATTTTTTTTAACGTTGGAAAGTATTGCTATTTTAGTATAAATTTTCTTTTTATTTCAATAGGTAAAAGTATTGTACGTTCGGAATTTACGGTCGAACGTTACCGAAGAAGAATTGAAGAAAATCTTCGAGCCATTTGGTGAAATTGAGCGAGTCAAAAAAGTTAAAGACTATGGATTTGTTCATTATAAAGAACGAGATAGTACATTATCAGCCCTTGAGGCCATGAATGGTTACAAACTACATGAAGTAGAAATCAATGTAACTTTAGCTAAACCAGCCAATGAAAATAAAGCTCGAGAAAGGAGGATGAGAAGAGAAAGAGACAATAATATGAATATGGGATATGATGATTATTATTCCAGCTATCCACCTGCTTCTTTCGGACCACCTCCACCAATGATGAGAGGTAGGATAGCCAGAGGAGGTATGAGGGGTCGTGGTGGTATGATGAGACCACGTGAGTTTAGCTTATTATTGAGTTTTTTGACAAAAATATATTTCTTTTCTCCTTTCGTCAAAAAAGTCGTAGTCAGCAAGTCGTTGAGTGTAAATAACTAATTTTAGTTCATGAAACAGCTGCTCCAATGGACTATTATGACGATTACAGTGGGTATGGCCAAGGCTATGGCTACGACGATTATAGCTCCTACGGGGGCTGTTATGAAGACTTTTCTGCCGAATATTCTCCTCATCCAGTCACTCCTCAACCTCCTCATCGTGGTCGAGGAAGAGGTGGACATCATGCTCCGGCTCCTGTAGGTAAATTTTTCTAGAACCAATTTATAAATATTGCAGGGTATTTATCCTTCAGCATGGACCAGTAACGCAGCAGCAGCCTGGCCCCCGTGGTACGCACAGAGGTCGGGTGGCTATGGGACAGCGTGGCGGGGGCAATCGTGGCACCAATAGGGGAGCAAATCGCGGTGGGGGCGGAGGATTCGTTGGGCCCCCAGCGTACGGAGGTCGGGGAGGACGAGGACACCTTCAATCCGGGATGCGAGGTATGGCTGCCCCAAAACGTAAGGGCGCTCCTAATATGGGAGGTGGTCTAGGGGGGCCGGCTTCGAAGAGAAGACCTCCACCACCAGTTCAGGTGGTGGATGGTCATTTTGAAGCGCAGCCTATTGCACAGCAACCGCTCGCTGTGCAACAGCCGCAACAACAGGCTACTGACGAGTCGTGGTATCAGGATTCGTACGACCAACACGAATGGAATTAAAAATTTTTTTAAATTTATTTTTTACGAATTTTTGAAAAAATTTCACATCTCTTTCTCAATTTTATGTACATGATGTTTTAAAGTCATAATCACGCCCTACCTGCGAAAAGAGTTACCTGTTTTAGTTATTTTTGACAACGAAAAATATCTGTTCATTAACGAATTTTTTGGCTAGATGTACTGGGAGGATGGAGGGTGTAAACAGTGGTTTTGTAAATATCTCACCTTTTTTCTTTCCTTTTTCACCTAAACTATCTAGTCACTGTATCTATTCTTCACCAATTGGTCTCTAAATTTTATTATATACTTAGCCATTTTCTGTCTATGGGTGGATAAAGGGAATCCTTTAAGATGATCAGCTTTAATTTTGTTTGTTAGTGTCTGAAAGCTAGATTTTTAATGCACTATATCAAAAAAAACACATCGAAGAATTAACCCTTCCAATGAGAAGATTTTATAAACTAGAAAACCTGATAAACTATGCAGAATTTATTTGGCTTTTTCCAATTTAACTCTCAAATCAGTTCTTTAACTGGGCATGACTTAACTTTTCTATTATTTCGCTTGTGTAACAATGGCATTCGTGATAAACTTAAAATGTTTATAATACCACTGTAAATCCTACCCCCAAATACATTTGACCTACAAATTTTTATGTAACGTTTTTCTCCTTTGTACAAACTCATTGTATAAAAAAATTTTTTTTTTGATTTGTCTCAAATTATGATTGTAATTGATGCTTTTCGACAAAACTGTTGTTCCCATATAATAACGATATATATATATATAGATATCTATATGTATATATATATATATTAATATATATATATATATATGTATGTATATATACGTATATATATGTGTAGGTAAATATATACATATATATATATACATATATATATATTCTTTATATATATATATATATATATAGCTTGTGGTCGTATTAAAAAAAAAACGGATAAAATTCGACGATCGAGGGCGATTTATGAATTTTCCATAAACAAAATCGAAGATTTTGCATCTTGAAAACTTTCTAGAAAACGAAAACGAACGATTTTATGTGTGTAAACTAGATTGAATATTTTTTTGGACATATTTTTTATCTTAAAAACGGCACCTATTGTTTAGGTTTAGATTTTTTTTGAAAAAATAAAAAAAAAACAGTTTGAACATAAACGAAAATTAATAAGAAAAAATTCAACAAAATTCCTGTTTTTTTGCTATCAATGATAATTATGTACAAATAAATTAGAATGAAAAATTGTTTCTTTCTATTTTTCTAGCAAATCATTATGTCAAACGCTCTATCGTCTCAACTCAATTAAGCGTGAGAAAAAATCCCAGGACTTTTGGACTAATTTGAAATTTTCAAAGGTTTTCTTTTGAGTAATATTTCAACTGTTTAATTCTTTTGCAATCCTTATAGTTCGTTTTAGTTTTTAGAATGAGAGTTGTTTTTTTTTTTTTTTTACATTTTTTTTATTGTATAAATATTAAAATTTGAAAGTTTCTGCAACACTTACACCTATATTTTTTAAACAGGAAGAAAATTCGGCCAGATGATCTACTTCGACGAATTAATTTTTAACCAATTTCGATTCAAGCGTAATTCCGAAAAATAATAAATGTCGACTAACTGGAGTTTTTTCCCCTGGACTCCTGGATAGTGCTTTCGTTTATTTTTGAAACTGATTTAGCCATTGTGCCAACATTGTTTGTTCATGAAGGTGTATATCATGCATTTTTTCCTTTGTTTCTGTGTTCGTGATTGACCTTCATGTAGCCAACTTGTAAAAAAAAACATGTTAGGGAATTTGTTAATATTTGTTTGAACCGTTTAGGCAATGGTTAATTTCTCTTAATGAAATATTAAGCGTATCTGCAAAATAAAATAGCTATAATACTTTTTGTTTTGTTATTCAAACAAGGCAACCGTTGACGGAGTGAATATATTTTTATGTGAATATGTGTTAAATTATACGATCAATGGGAACGTAGAATAAAATTTTGTTGTCTAAAATCTGTCTTTAAGACTTATTTATGACGATCTAATACATACATAGTTTATGCAATATGTCAAACCATTTTATCTGAGGTTTATAAAAGCTTTCTATTCGTTTTCGTTTTAATGAGTAGGAAATGTACTCAGTTCGGACAATGTCTTCCCAGCAGCTTTTTATTAGACTCTACATCAACTTTATTAATAACAAACAACTTAAAAGATGAATGCAATTTTTCAGCCTTATCCCATCGACAACATTGCAAATAACTGACACAAGAATGGCTTTGATAGCTGGAAAATAATATTTCCTAATCTTTTTCATATAGTCTTCAAAGAAGGATACTGAAACTTATTATCTATAAATATTTTGTATATAAAAATATGAATATAATGAGACAGCAATTTATGCAGGTGTTAGAATAGTTTATTAATTGAAATTAGACGGAAAAATTACGTTTTTACTGTTTTTCTCTTTTTGCATAATAACAATCATTGGACATTTAAAAACAATCAATCAAACACTGACAATCACAGTTGAACTGTGACAGAAACATCGTGCAGGTTAAAGATTATAAATATTAATATATGTTATTTCAATCGTAAACAATTATAATAAAAGATGGATATATGTTTGTAATACGTTCAAGACTAGAATTCAGCAAAGAGCAGACTGGCTAATTAACATATTAAATAATTATATTTTTAAAGAACGAGCACAAACGTAAAATTGTAAAGTATACAACAATTGTATACTGTGAACACATAAATCTATAGTGTTACATATATAGAGTATATGTAACATTTATGTCCACTTAATATGGAATGTTAGAAACAGCAGTAGATTTTTAAGAAGCTACCGATAAAAATTACATCACAACATTCTTAATAATAATTTGAAATATATATATATTATAAATTAAGGACAATTAAAGATATCTTTAAGAGAAAAAAATTAATTTTTATCTTCTCCCTCAGCACTGGCAATTACTGTTGGCTGGTCCTGATGCTGTGTCATTTGAAAGATGAGTTCCTTTTTGACTCATAATTACAGGATCGGAATCCAAACTTTCATTCATCTTGTCGCAAATGATATCAACAAGCCTTTCAAAAACTAGCTTAACATTGTGATTTTCTTTCGCCGATGTTTCAAAAAATTCTATTCCTGGAAATGAAAACATCATGTTTTATTATTTTTATGGAGTTAGTATATAAGAGAAATATAAAAGCTCTAATGAATAGAAAAAGTATATTTAATCCTTAATATTCATCAGAACAATTTAATTTCCCTTTTTATTCTTCCTTTATTTAATCGTTTTAGAGGAAGAAAGACTTTTTCCAACTTTAAAATGTAAATCATGAAGATAAAGCAAATAATAATAAAAAAGAATAACAAGACGCTGACAAGAAGAAGAAGCGAGAGATAGATAGAGAGAGAGAAAGAGAGAGCGATTGTATATAAATATGTTATTTGATCTAATTTGTAAAGGATTTCATAAAATACTTATATATCTAAATATTTAATTAGGCAAAATGAAATTTCTTCTTCATTTTGCATATCCAATAAGTAATAAAAACCGAACGTACCAAGTTCGTCTGCCAATCTTTTACCCCTGTCTGAGGATACGACTCTCTCACTTTCTAAATCACATTTATTGCCAACCAAAACTACTTGAGCATTGTCCCAAGAATAATTTTTAATTTGGGTTGACCTGTACAATAAAAAATAACCATCACCATCTTTCACCAAATTCAGGTATATAGAAGCTAAAAGAACAAAATTATATTGAATATATACAGTATTTCTCTTAATGGCTTTTCCCGTCATTTGAATAGTTTATGATTAATTCATTCATATTCATCACCGTTTAAGTAATTAAGATTAATTAAATTTATTTAAATTTATAAACATTAATTAAAAATTATGTTATTTATAGAAAGAATTAAACAAAAAAGCCATTGAAGTTTTTGTTAGATGAGAAGGGATTTAAAAAAATGGGAGGAAAGAAGCATTAAATGTTCTATTTTTTATCAAAAGTTCATTTCGTTCATCTACTTGTGTTTGTTTATGCTGCATTTGCAACACAGCATTAAACAGAAAATCAACTGGCAGTGGATCAATATTAATTCGTCTATATATACATATATATGTATACGTACATATACATACATAAATATATATATGTATATATCTAAATCCTCATAGTGTATATTGCACTTTTAATTGAAAAAATACCTAATTCAGCCGCCAATCTTTCACCATCCCTCCTTAGAACACGCCTTTCAAGATTAAGGTCATTTTTATTCCCCACTAAAATTATTGACTTGTTAGCCAGAGCATGAGTTTCTACTTGTGTAATCCTGTTATTATTTGTGTTTCTTTTATTTCACATTTGAATAAAATATCAGTCTAATTATATATATTAGGTTTTCCTCTATTCTACTATATATCCCACCCCAAAACAAAACAATTCATAACTAAAAAAACGACATCTCGATTAATAATCAGAATAATCAGAATAGTGTCCAAAAAGAGGGAGGAGGGGATGAATGAGATGAAAGGAAGATAAAGATGATATATATGTATATATAAGATCTACTTTTACAAATAGTACATACTGTATCAAAATATAGCTAAATTATTAAAAAACACTATGACTTGAGGGAATAGAAGAAGTCTTAAAAAATTAACTTTTACAATATTAACTTTTATTAATATATTAAAAAAAGATATTCTGATTTTTTTTTTATATATAAAGTGCAATAAAATGCTATTTTAAAAATGTATTTTTTCATTATTGTCAAGTACAAACAAATCCTAAACGTTTACAATTTTTATTTTTCAATATCATGTGATTTTTATAGAACGTGGAAGAAAAATATGCTCTATTTGACCTACAATATATAAATGTATACATAGTATCTAATATATATACTGTATATATATATATACAGTATATACACTGAATATACATTCATCGTATTTTCCTAAGAATACAATGTATGTACCTTTGTAGTAATAGACAAAAGAGAAAGGGAGAGAGAGAGAGAGAGAGAGAGAGAGAGAGAGAGAGAGAGAGAGAAAGAGGGAGAGAGAGATGGAATACGAAAAAAAAAGGAAAGTATTGCAGCATTAAATAGTAATAAGAAAGCCAATTAATTGAAATAATATAATTAAATTTGGTATTTTATTATTATTGTTATATATTCTATTCTCAATGTGACTTTCTTTCATTCGTTACTAAGTGATATAAATCATATAGAATTACTATTATAATCTTCGAGTGTTTCTTTAAGAAGGAAGGAAAAATTACTTATATGGTGTTGGATTAATCATGCTATATATATATATATATATATATATATATACATATACTGTATATATATACAGCATATTTTTAATGTTGAACATGTATAAATGCCAGACTATATTTTGTACTCAATAAAAAATATTTATCTATTGAAAATGATTAAGTGTTAAAAACGTACCAGTCTTGGACAGCATTGAAACTTTCCTCGTTTGTGACGTCATACATTAAGAGAAAGCCCATAGCACCTCTATAATATGCTGTTGTAATTGTTCTATATCTGTTTAAGTAATAAAAAATTTCTACTGTAATAAAATTCTTAAAATAGAAGCTGTAATGTCTAGTTAACCTTTCTTGTCCAGCAGTATCCCATATCTGCAATTTTACTCTTTTATCTTGCCTAAATATCGTTTTAACTTTAAAGTCAATTCCAACAGTTGAGACAAATGCTTGTGTAAATTTATCATCAGCATATCTAAATAGAAATGACGTCTTTCCAACGCTAGAATTGCCAATAATTAGCAATTTAAACATATAATCAAAATTCTGATCAGCTGCGTCGTTAGTTCCGCTCATGCTTGCCATCTGTTTAACGTTAGCGGATATAATTCTTTTTTTTTAAAAAAAAAAGAGATAAATATGTAAACATAGACAGTTCGAATATATTATATTAGTAATGAAGAAATGTTAATAAAGAAAACATAGCTTTATGATTCTGTTTTTTTAAAGAGAAGCATCTAAATCGGTTTAATGGCTGGGTGAAGACAGCTTAATATTTAAATATGGATAGAAACATATTGGAAAGAGTTACAATTTTAATTCCAAAATCATGGTGGTTTTTGCTTTCTCTTTTTTTTTATCAATATGTCAAAAAAAAAAATAGGGGAGGAGTGACTGAATAAAGAAACTAGTCGACCATATAGATTTTCTTTATTCACTCTTTTCAGTTCTTTCATACAAAACTCGCTTGCCAATATTTTCTATTAATAGTACATGAAGGAAGTATTATAAGCCTATTATATTGAAGAGTGACGCTTACAAGGTCATTTCTTCAATTAATTGTAAAAAATTAATGGAAAATTCAGCGAGAGAATAGAGAAAATTATATTGTAACAGCGTTTGTTTACAAATGTATTCTTTATATATTTGTATAAATTAGAAAATTATGACTTCAAACTATTTAATGAGGTGAATAATCATGAGAAGATTAAGTTTATATTGAATTATGTACTATTCTATAATAAAAAGCTAGGAAAGAACTTTTGAAATAATTATAAAAAAGGAAAACTTAATTCTAACTTGTATGAAATAATCACCCCTCATTATATCTGTTTAAAAATCAAAATACGTTCCTGTTATTTAATAAGATGCGTTAAATATTTAATATAATAATAATTTATTTACAATAAATAATTAAGAAATATGTGGGCGATAATATAAGTCCACAAGTGATCTTATACGTTAACAACTGTTTCCTTTATCGTTTTCTTACCGATCTTTTATAAAATCGAAATAGTTACCTTTAAACAATGAAGGTTGAAAAGTTCTGATATAAATCAATTATTTCACCGATGTAAAACCGACAAATTATTATTAATAACACAATCAATCTTATCAGCATATAAAAAGGAAGTCAGTTTATCGCATCCGTGGCGAGTACCTTATTACTATGTATGAGTGTAGACTTTACATATTTCATCAACTCAACAACCAATCAACGCGTTTATTACAAAACTTGTAATACGTCCAATCAACGATATCAATATATAAATCTTTTAGAGTTTCCCAATATAAAAACAAATATTAAATAACGCATTTTAAATTTTTAGCAGATTCTTTTTAAGAAAATCGATGAATTTCAACGGAAAATAACTATTTAGAAAAGAATTAATCAATTTTCAACTAATGATTTCTTTTTAAATGATAAAAAAATTGTGTACTAAAAAAAGATACTTTCTGATTCTTTTACAATGTTTATCATCTAAAATAATAGGCTAAAATATTACAACTATTCAAATATGAGTTCTGTCTGAAAATTAGGACGAAAAATAAACAAAACTGATTAAATGGAAGAATGTATTTTATACATAACGTAACAATTAGATTATCAAGCTATTTTTCTTTTGGTGTTTATACTTTGTTTATCAGTTACATTTATTACAAAATATGTTAATTAGATTCAAATATGTTACATTTCTAGTTATAATTTTGGCACTTTTACACTTTCTATCTATATATAATAAATATATGTTATTTTATGGAAAGAAATAAACAATAGCTCATTATGTAACGTTCTTATATATTTTCGATTTTTGTAAACAATCGTTTATTTATAGATTAATATATATATATATATATATATATATATATATATATATATATATTTATATAAAGAGAAAACTCGTTATGACCCTTTCTATTGTTTATTAAACATTTTGGCGGGAAATAGTAGATAACTACTCTATTAGTGGGAGATAGTAATATTTTTGAAACAACGGGGGTGGAGATTAACACTTTATTGTTTTCTTTTAGTAAAAATTGTTTTTTTTGTCCATATTATTTTTATAATTAATAAAGAAAATAATAGAGAAATAAATAAAAAAGCCATATCTCTAATCAAATATTGAAATTTTTAATAATAATAAAGGGTGCTATACTATTAGATATATTCGTTCCATGCTCCCCTAACCGTTGCCTATACCAGTTTTCACTTTTAAACTAAATTATTAGCGGTTGAAAACGCGAAATGACATGCCCGATGTCACTTATACAGCAATCAACGGACCGTTTTTTCAAAACTATACATCAGATTGACTTCTGGCTTGCTATAGAGCCGTCAAATGGACTTCTGGTGCACTTTTTGAGTGAGAAGTACAAAACGTCAAAATACTTTGATTTGGTTTTGGACAGAATGGATACTTCTGGCAAACCAGCATTTTTAATGGCATGTTATGGAGATATACTTGGTAATGAAGAGGAGCGTTTACACTTTCATAAAATTAAAACTTTTCCAAAGAATAAGTTTAGATGCTTGAATTTCTTTAGGAATTCTATATGGTGGCCAATTATCCGTGGTTTGGTTGATAGAAATTGGCCAAACTCAATTAACAAATTCCTATTAAAGCTTCAGCTCAACAATAAATATCAATGGAGATCAAAGATGATTGTTTCTACACTAGTATACTCCTTAATTAAAAAGAGAGTATATGTCTTTGATCATATTTTGAGATCAAACTGCTCGATAAGTAAAAGCTCTATATTAAACAGAATGTTTGGTGTCCTGTTAAGATTAAAAGATGAGAAAAGATTTGAAATTTTCAAATTTCTATTAGTTAGATTTTATAGACCACCGCAAGAAGGAGAAGGTCCACCATTGACTGTTCTAAAGGCCTGCACTCAACACGGAATTCAACTTGAAGACTTTCTAAGCGTAGTCAATTTTCCTAAAGATGAAGCTAAGAGACATTCAATAGTTCGTCACCTTATCATATCTAGCTATGTTAATGGAAATGCAAAGATTTTTCTTTATCTTATCTCCATTAAGCCTGATCTAATAAGCATGTTTAAAGATTCTAATTTCTGGGAATGGCTTATCGAAAAACCACAAGAAATCATTAATTATCTTATAAATAAGATACCGGATATGCTTGTATGGGTAGATAAATATTTATCAGGGAAAACGTCACATTATATCCGATCGACGTCTATATTAACTAAAGATATGCAAAATCTATTAAAAGTTAAGCTTTTTGTTGATTATTTCTCAAAAAGAAATACTCTCTATAGATTATTTAATATTTGGCAAAAAAATTTAGAACACCAATTCGAAAATAACATGGAAAGTAAATGCTACTTTTACACTTTCTATAATATTATAAAAACAATGGATCTATATGGTTTGCCAATTAGGAAGCCAGCCGACTTATTTTGTTATTGGTTCCTGCGTCAAGTTTGTACCACTTTCAACGATCATCATAAATTTAGGCTATGTAGAAATTTGGCTTTAAGAATTCTTCCCATTTTAATTGAGTATGGCTATAATTATAATGGTCTTTTGCCGCCCATCATCTTTGGAATATCGTCTAATGGAACAATAGAGAGATTGCTTAGAAAAAACAGAGGCATTACTACAGATTCACCTATTTTTGTTGATGGATACCACGTACTAATCCTTCTCCGCATGGTTTGTGGTTATATTGACCCGGAATTGTCCTATAATCGTATGAGACCTCTGCAGCAACTAAGTACAATTGTTATAAGAAACCATATGCTTCCACCTTTCAAGAAAAATGTAGACACTTTACCAATACCTTTAACTCTAAAACAAGGAATCCTTTTGACAGATGAATTGAACAAGGCTAATCTATACAAAAGATTCGATTTGAAAGAATTCGAAAGTGTCTACTTAGATGATGTAACTTTATGCTATCAAACATCCAATGCGATATTTGATGCCAAACACTATACGACTTGCGCCGACAAGTGTATGCATCAGTCCGACGGAACTCCTTATCTATAAGTCAACCTTCATCGTCGCCGACTATTTATATAGCTTAGAGTTACTAAAATTAAATCAAAGAGATGTATATCTCACTAAAAATATGTGCTTTTTTTCCATTCTTTATATGAAAAATCTATTAAAACTATCCGTTCGCAAATCAAATAAGTATAGACTGTAAATTGAAAAAGTAACAAACACTTATTACAGAGAATATTGTGAGACGAAAACTTTTTTGAACACATCTGTTATATACATCTGTTAAAACAAAACAAAAAGATAAAATTTCTATATTATAAATATATATATATATATATATATATATATTTCAGTATAGCGTTCATTTATGAATGTTAGGAAAAGTATTATTGTTTTGCATTAACTCATTTGTCTGACCATGTTAAATTTCTTTCTTATATTCTTATAAAAACAGTTTTTACATGCTTATACAAACTGAACTATTAATGCTCCTCTCTGACAAATAAACACAAAGTTCTTCTTTTCTCAATTTGTTTTTCTAGTTTAATTCTTAGGGGGGGGGGGAGTGTGTCTACTCCTAATTGACATTATTTAATTAGCAAACAAATCAAACTCATCATCTAACTATTGTACTCTGAGTATGAATGAGAATATTACAAATTAACAAAAATAGAATTAAAACGTATAATAGAATTGCTTAGAAAGTAGAATAATAATTAATATATCTGGTTTTTTAATTTTATACAAATGAATAGAAGATGAAATAATAATCATAAATTATTCCCTTTTTTTTTAAATAAAACAAAAACAAAACAAATGTTCATATTTTATATTTAGCCGTATATTATGTAATATAAACAGTATTTTTTTTTATTTATTAATGGTTACAATTTCCCTATAATCGTAAGCTTTAACATCTGTTATGTTCAATATATCTGTACTGTATTTATAGTATAAAATTCACACTATAATTTTAATTGACTAAAATCTATATGTAAATATTTCTTAAAATTTAACATTTGATGCTCTTGTCTTCAAGTTTTATTTTTGTATTGCCTACTTTAATTACCATCTATTTTTGACAGTATTGACAAGTCACGTGACTGATCTAAGATAAAAGAAACTTTAAAAGTTTGAGGAAACGTGTCAAAGTGCCAGAATTGCGTGACAGGCGGAGTTGTAAACATATAAGAAAGAGAAGACTTAGCATTATATTAGTTGTCGAATTTGTTTACTTGTTTTATGCAAAAAGGCGAGTTTGCATACTGAGTTATGGATAGGATACTGACTTTATCGGATTCTTGTTACTCTGCATTATTGAAAATTATTGATGGACTACCTCTTTGGGATGTCCTCGACCCAAAAAATGGTTTGTTTGTTGCTCTCTTGGACGAAAAGTATAAGAATGGTAACTATTTAAAAGAAGTATTATTTACATTTAATAAGAAAAGCAAAACTATGAAAAATTTGGGTCAAGATCTCTTGAATATTAAACCCAGTAAGAGATGCGGATTCCCGACCGAGAGTAACCTAGACAGATTGCAATTTCCCGATGTTTTGGCGCCCTACAATAGATTTGAATGTTCAAAATATTTTCACGAAGAAATTATGATACCTTTACTAAAGAAACTACTAGATAAGGGCTATCATAAATGTATTAAACTTTTGTGCAAGCTATATCTCTTCTTGGATAAAGATTATTGGTTAGGAAAATTTTTTACTCCAATTTCCGTCTACGTATCATTTGAGCGAAAGGTGAACGATTATAGATGCCTGCTGTGTTTAAGAAATTATAGTAAAATACCATTGTTAGTTCAAAGTCTTGCCAATATTTTGACAGTGGATAGAGAAGACCGATTCGAAACATTTAACTTTCTCTTGCATAATTTTGAAGAGATTCTAAATCAGAATCCGCAATATCGTATTAGACTCTTAGTTATTATGGTGGAAAGTGGATTAACATTCGAAGTATTTAACAAAGCTTTAGAATTATGTGATGGAAACTTGAAAGAAGAGTTCAGAGAAGATATATTACTTAAATCAAGCTACAAGGCTGGAAACGTATCAATGTTTATGCATTTGATTAATCGTTTTCCGGATTTGGTAGAAATTTTTAATGAACCTGTGCATTGGTGTGTATTGATAGAAAAACCCATAGAAATTATTGAGTATATCTGTGAAAAGTTACCTGGTATTTTACCACTGATAGATACCTTCCTCTCAGGAAATGAGCAGTCTAATGGCCTCAGATATAAATCTCCTATTTCTCTAGATTTAAGGAATCTCTATAAAGTTCCCTGTCTCTTTAAGTATTTTTCAAAAAGAAAAACTATAGATTGCGTTTATGATCAATGGTTAAAGAATTTAGAAGTTACTTATGAAGACTGCCTATCTAGAACTTATTATATTTCAACTTTTTTGGCTATTATACGTTGTAGAGACGCATATGGTTTATCTATTCAGGAGGCAGGAATGAAACTGTGCAAATTGTGTATGCAATTATCAACATTAGTTGTTCTATTTGGGTTTACACCATCTCTTTCCGACATCATTGCTCAAGTTTTAACAATCTTTATGGAATATGGCTTTACTTATACGAAAAATTTTCCATGGGAATTGGATGGCACTCTCAAATCTAGGTCAGTAGATTAAAATATAATTAAAAATATAAAGCTAAAAACAGTTTTCTGCCTTTAGTCGTTGGATAGCATCCCTTCTTTGGTATATTTCGGATAGTTCTGTTAAATTTCCTGAAGAATTCTATCAATATTTAGAATTAAAAACTGCAGTAAAATCATTAGAACACTTGACAATTGTCGTAGCAAGAAAAAGTATTAAAGCTCCATTTAAGCAGAATGTTAATTCTCTACGTTTACCAAAAAGGCAAAAACTTAATATCTTAATGGAAAGCGAATTGAAAGAGTCAATATTTTTTAAGAGAATTGATAGGAGGAAATACGAAAGAATTGATGTAAACGTGGCTATGTCCAAAACACCATTCCAATCCGAAGAGAGGAAAAAGACTTTTATAGAAGCATTAGAACACTATCAAGGTAGAGTTAATTGATAATTGCATTACGCTGTAAACAATCCTTTAGAGCGTAGACCACGTAATGTAATTTGATTAACTGACTCATTACTTTTTCTATGGTTGTATAATCCAGAGATATAATGATTTTTATACAAATATACATTACTATGTTTGTTCTTGCTAATTATATTATGGTATATTTTACTAAGGTTGCACAAGTCAAAGATCAGTCACTTATTTTGTTTGTTTGCTTGTTTGTACAAGTGTAAACATAAGTAATTAAATGTTTATAGATTCTTATATTGAAAGTTTTTTTAGAACGTAAATAAAATTTATCATTGAAACAAGAGTGTTACTTTGTAGTTAGATGTTTTCTTGTTTACTAGGTGAATGCTTTAGTCAAAGGCTAACAAAGTAATATGGTTGCCTGTTCGTCAATATAAAAATTGATAATTAAAACAACATGCGAAAGATACAAGTACCAGTTTATAAATATAGGATCCGGCGACATCTATTGGATTAAGATCAAATACTATTCTTCTAGGATTATTTTTCAACTTATTCTTTCTTGTCGTGGCCGATGGGAAATAAATGTTGTACTATCAACGGAAAATGTCAACAAAACTCGAATCATATAGTTACTATAAACGACGGAAAAAGTCAAAATTTAAGAAAATCGAATAAAATAAAAACAACAAAATATTCTATATTGACATTTTTACCAAAGAATCTATTCGAGCAATTTAAAAGATTTGCTAACATTTACTTCCTTACAATAGTCATTTTAAATTGGATACCACAGATTAATGCCTTTGGAAAAGAAATTGCCATGTTACCTCTTTTGTTTGTTCTAAGTGTCACTGCTCTGAAAGACGGTTATGAGGACTATAAGAGATATAAGAATGACAAGAAAGTCAATAACAGAAGATGTCAAATTTACGATCAGTAAAATTTCCATACTCTTTACAATATTCATTTATTAATTTGTCTAAATTTTAGATTATTAGCGAAATTTTGTGATGACAAATGGAAAAATATTAAAGTTGGTGATATAATTCGAGTTGAAGAGAATGAATCAATTCCTGCAGATATTTTACTCGTTAAATCTTCAGATGCTCAAGGTGTATCTTACGTCGATACTGCTTCTTTAGACGGCGAATTTAATTTAAAACAGCGATTTGTTTGTAAAGAAGTTAGCAATTGTGAATGGTCAAAGTTTAAAGCTAAAATTGCTTGCGATAGACCAAATAAAGATTTACATTCCTTCAGAGGAACAATGTATATAATATTTTCGTATAATAGGATTATATACAAATAACTTTCTTATTACCTCTACAGAGAATATTTTACAGAATTAAAGAACCCTGATATAAAAGTAAGAATATCGAAGGATAATCTTCTTCTTAGGGGTTCTACAGTAAGAAATGTTAACTACGTTGATGGAATAGTTGTTTACACTGGTCACGAGACAAAAATGATGCTCAATGCTCAAGGTCCAAGGTTGTATTTTTCTCACAATTAGTAAAGTTATCTTGATTAAATAGGTTTTTACAAACCTTTCTAGATACAAGAGAAGCGCTTTAGAAATTCGCATAAACTATGATGTTCTCTGGTGCTGTGTTTTACTATTTTTAATGTGCTTTGGATGTTCTTTAGGTAGTCACTATATTTGTAAGAGTCTTTTACTAATTTCGGTTATCTTACTAGGTAATGGACTTTGGCTTGAATCTTATAGGAACACATCAGATGTACCCTTTATAGCTTTTGATGATGACAAAACGCCAAAGCAAAGGTCACTATTGCTATTTTGGACATATATTATTCTCTTTCAGGCTAGTGTCTGCTATTTGCAAAAATAGATTTATTTAAATAGTATTTGTCAAACAGGTTATGATACCGTTATCCCTTTACGTAACAATTGATTTTATAAAGATAATTCAAGTCATTTTCATTCAAATGGACAAAGAATTGAAGGATAGTGAGGGTAGAGGGTGCATTTGTAGGGCATTAAACATAACCGAAGATTTAGGACAAGTAGAGCATATCTTTACTGATAAGACTGGGACTCTAACGGAGAATTCAATGGTATTTAAGAGATTTAGTATTGCAGGAATCGATTATATTCACAAACAAGGTAGACTATTCATCAATAATTCAACATTGGATCTCTATATTTTTAACGATTTTAATAAGACTACAAATTTAAATTAGATAATAAGAAAACAGCGAATTCTGTTAAATGCAATAGCGACAGCAACGATCAGGTGATATATTAAAAAGTTTAATCTAATATGGCATAATCCAAAAGTATAATGCATATTTATTGTCAAGCAGATAGAATTAGAAGCAATAACTCTTCATGATAAACCATCGCAAAGTATTTCAGAAATGATTAATGTAACATCTCAACAAAATGCATTAAACCATCAAATGGGTCACTTTTTTCTTTTACTAACAATTTGCAATACTGTGTTTGTCAGCCGAAAAAAGAATGTACGTACTTTATTAATTAAGCTTAATATATATTACGTACGCCATTATCCTTTGTCATAATGTTTTAATTACAGGAAAACAATGAAATTATATCAAAATTTGAGGCTGAAAGTACCGATGAGTTATGCTTAGTTGAAGCTGCTTTTGAAAAGAACTGCAAATTAGTTGATAGACAGCTCAACAACGTTTACATTACATTTGGAGGTAAGTATTCACCTCTAGAATATATAGACAGAGCATTTTTCCCTATTAAAATATCTTGTTCAACATAGATGATGAAGAAAAACTGCAAATACCTATTTTACATGTTTTACACTTTGATTCAACCAGAAAAAGAATGTCAATAATCGTTCGCCATCCTATTACAAACGAAATAATACTATATTGCAAGGGTGCTGATTCTACTATACTGACAAATCTGAATGAGGATAATAGTCAGTTTTTATTTTTGATAATGTTGAATAATATTTATAATTTCAGAAAACGAATAATAACGTTTGTTTAATTATTTCTTTTAGATATAGAAATTTTACTAAAAACAAGGCAACACTTGTCTTTATATTCAGCTACTTATGGTTTACGAACTTTATGTATGGCTTATCGCATTATTGATGATTCAGAATATGAAAACTGGTTACAAGGTCATTTATTGGCCGAAAATAGTCAATCCGAGCAGGACAAGTAAGTAAAACAAGTGCTATTATTATTATTATTATTATTATTATTATTATTATTTATTATTATTTTATTAGCATTAAACCAAAAATGATAGCAAAATATCTCTCTTTTTTTCTCTTGCTATTAGGCTGTTGTATGAATCAGCTTGTCGAATTGAATCGAATCTAGTGCTTCTAGGTGCTACTGGCATTGAGGATAGATTACAAGAAGGAGTTCCGGATGCAATAGAATCGCTGAGAAATGCTGGTTTAAAAATATGGATGCTCACTGGTGATAAACAAGAAACGGCAATAAATGTTGGTCAAAGTTGTGGACTAATAAAAAAGAATGATTACGTGACTATATTGAAAGCAGAATCTCTTGTTGAAACAATTTCATTATTGAGGCAAGATCTGTCAATGACAAGAGTTTTAGTTTTAGAAAGTCAATGCTTAGAATTTATTTTACATCCTGACGCTATAAAACATTTTTTGAAAATATCAAATAATTGCTCTTCAGTATTATGTTGCCGAGTAACACCTTCTCAAAAGAGTAAGGTTGTTGAAAAGCTTCAAAAAGCACAGAAAAGATTATGTTTAGCAATTGGTGATGGGGCAAACGACGTTTCTATGATTAGGGAAGCGTCTATTGGTATAGGAATATATGGGAGTAAACAAAGCGAGGGAAACTCAGCCGCTATGGCGTCAGATTTTACTCTACCGAATTTTCAAGGTTTAAAGCGTCTCTTGTTAGTTCATGGTCATTGGTGTTATCAACGTCTAGTCACTGTTGCCTTATATATGTGGTATAAAAATGCTGTAAGTTTTACATTAACGATATTAAATGCAAATAATTATATACGTTAAAATTTACATTCAGGTCTTTATCTTCCTTCTACTATGGTTTCAATTTTTTAATGGTTTTTCAGCTATAACTTTTTTAGATGATCTAAATTTAATGTTTTATCAATTGCTTTATACTTCTTTACCTCCAATTATTCTTGGAATATTCGATCAAGATATTTCTGCTGATAAATTAATGAAAAAGCCAGAACTTTACAAACAAGGATCAGAGCGTAAAGTAATTATTATTCTTCAGTTTGGTCTTATATGAAAATTTTGAAAAATATTTTTATTAAATATTAGTTATATCGTCCATTCTCTTCCTATTGGATTAATATTTTTGATGCTATTTGGCAAAGCCTTGTACAATTCTTTATACCTTTTTTCGTACGTTTTCTATATAGCTAATTAAATATGATTGTTTTTAATTATTTTTTGCACCTCCAGGCTTTCAGGGGAAGTGATATTGGTCAATGGGAATTTGGAGCGACTTGTCTTGCTAGTTCGGTTATAATTTCCCTTTTACATATTTGTATAGAAGCAAAGAGTTTAGTAAGTAATCTCTATAAGCTAATGTCCTCTTTATAATGTTTTTACATAACAATCTATTCATACAGAATCTCCCCCTCATTGGTTCAGTTTTACTTAGTTTTGCTGTTTACATCTTAACAAACATATCGCTGAATTCTATTTGTGTAGTTTGTAGTCCACCAGCTAACCCAGTTGGAGTGACAGTTTATAGTTTCCGAAATTCCGTTCATTGGTTTTGCGTGCTATTATCAACAGTATTGGCTCTATTACCGAGAATAATTGGAAAATCTATAAAGAATATTAAATATCCAAGTCTAGTTACTGCAGAAAGATTAAACAAAGGTTTCATTTGTCAACAATTGTGGTATGATAATCCAGTAATAATAGATGAAACCCATCTATAAGCTATCAAATATTTTGTGTACATTATAAGTAATTATTCGAAATGTTTGCATTTAATAGTAACAATACTAATAATTGATACTTTACTTAACAATGTATTAAGAAGTTGTCTCAAAATATTAAAGCATAAAAATAAAAAATACAACTGTAAATCAGAGTATTTGGATGTAGACTAAAATAATTAGATATTTCTAAAAAATGATAAAACATTTAGCAATGGTGTTGTTAATCTTAAGTGGTTGAAAACAATAAATATTTAAGGATAAATTGCTGTATTTTATACTGAAAATAGAATATGAAGCTGTAGGAAAGTCACAGAAATTTTAACGTATACATAACTGAGACTTAGGATGTTTGAACTAAATTTGATATCCTCACAGAGGACCTTTAACAATTTCATATATCAGTAGTACAATGGTAAGTGTACTTGCGACTGTTGCAAAGATTAATATTAAGAAATCTTTAAATATGATTATCTTTTTTAATTCGACCCAACGAGCTTTAAGATGAATTGTACACGGTAAAATATACGACAGTAAAGAGGATCCAATAGCTCCAGTAAAAGCGCTGACGTATGCAAAAGCATCTTTTAAGAGAATTGCTAATCCAACCTGAGTAAAAAGTAGAATAGTACGAAGTACATTCTTTTTCCATAGAGGTATTTTTTCTTCTTCCACTAAGTCTTCTAAAGTTTGAGTTGTTCCATAACTACTTTGATGTGATACGTCATTCAGTAGCGACTCTGACTCACTTCTAGAAACACTTAGAGCGGTTTTTACGTGCCTAAAAACAGATACAAAAATTAATAGAAGCTTCAATTAGTTAGATAAATTTGTTATCTAAACAAACAATATTCTATTTTTATCTTTTCGGTTTAGAAAAATAATTCTCACCCACAAAGAATAGATTTTTTCGGTCTACAGTGTCCTGAAAAGATATAACATTCGGCTATTTGCCAAACTGGGAATGCTTGGAGGGGAAAGGTAAATATCACACTTGTCATTAAAGTTACGTTAATGAGTATAGAAGTAACTACAGATATATTTTCCAAAGATAAAATAATCAATTGATTTACAGTATTTCCATAACGTAAATAACCAAGAATACCAAAAGAAACAAGTATCACCCAAACGAATGCTATAGCTACTCGTAAAAATGTTGGGAATAAATATCTGTTACCATCCATGCTCGATTCAATAGGTAAAACACATCCTATTCCTTCGTAGGAATTTGTTAATTGTCCAAAAAATATTGGTAGAGTATACAATTTCGCATAATCAAAATTAGATGTGATGTGGAAACCTTTACACACGTATACAAAAACTCCCAATGCTCCAATCACTAATAAAGAGCTAGCTATTGCGCTAAAAGGTGATAGAAGTCGTATTCTTTGTATAAGAATCAGCAGCAAAATTATTGGCAAGGGGATTAGTATTAGCAATTTCAAATTTGGTGCGGTTGAAATAGGTTCTGCCGTGGGTAGCGTATGATTGATTGTTGAATTAGAATGATGATCGACTGGAAACATTTTATGAATCGAATTTCCTAAGAATATAAAATATTGGACACACGTTAGATACTGAGTTATGAACACAGAGGCTTGAACAACATGATAGCCCATTTCTCCAAGAACATGATGAGCAAGGTCACCATATCCAACAGTTCTTTCTAATTTAATTCTAACTTTTGTGCAGTCTTCTTCCAGAACATTCGGATATAGTGCACAAATAAAACGAATTATCCTATGCTTACATCGAACCATCAGCTGACATCCGTGATCTGTTAAGACTGCAATAAGTATAAGGCCACAAATTCCAGGAATAAGTCCAGCTTGTGAAAAACCAAAAGCTACTGCAAGATAGTTTGTTCCTATGAATGCTTTCGTAATATTAGCTAAATCTCCAATATAATGATACCATGATAATTCTCTAGACATATGACAGTACAGCTATACAATTATTGAATTAGTTAATTAAAGTAATACCTCTCCCCAACTTCATCTATAATAGCCTTGTCTTGTGTCTCGCTCTGATCTTCCATCATTAAGTTAATTTAAATCTCTTATAGCTTGTAGTTCTGAAAGATTTTATTCATTACATACAAAATATATATGTTGCAACCTATTTCCACAAACCATACTATTTAATGGTGACTCAATACAATAAGGCAGATGTCACTAGTAAATTCGAATATAATGTCAACTCTGACCAAGTAACCAGCCAACCACAGCTGACAATGGCGTCTGTTGGCGGAAAGTTAGAAGTTCATGGAGAGAGTTCCTGCGTTATCATTACGAGAAAGCCAAATATCGGCTATGTTTATAGCCCGGACTATATAGAAAAATGTACTATGCCAAAAATTGGTAATAGGGTAAAGTATCACTCATGCATATGCAAAACAATATTACTTTATAGTTAAATTTGATTTTTAGGCAGCATTAACACATGAATTAATTAAGTCGTGTGGACTATTGACTAATGCAACGTATGTAAATAATTGGAAATTTATAACATTAGTAGTTTTTTAGTAAATAAAGTTTCTTATTTTCTATAATATTTTAGCATAATATCACCAAGAAAAGCCACTACAAATCACCTAAAACTATTTCATTCGTCTGACTATGTTGAGTTTTTGGAAGCTACTGCCAACGTTGCAGAGTTTAACGAGTCTTTTGAAGAGAAAGCCGCTGAATTTGATCTTCGATACGATTGCGAAATATTTGACGGACTGTTCGATTATGTCACAAGCGTTGCTGGTGGTACTTTAACGGCTGTTCAGGCTCTTATAATGGGGGTTTGTAGAACGGTTATTAATTGGAATGGTGGATGGCACCATGCTCATAGAGGAAGAGCTTCCGGATATTGTTATGTAAACGATATTGTTATTGGAATATTACATTTAAGGTAGGAAATAAATTCATATTTTAAAATATGTCAACATAATTTTTTGAATTTTTCTTTCAATAATAATCTAAAAAGGAAGAAATTCAAGAAAATTCTCTATATTGATGTTGATGCTCATCACGGTGATGGTGTTCAAGAAGCTTTTGAACATTCAAAGAATATTATGACTGTATCTTTTCACAATTACTCTCGTGGATTTTATCCGGGAACTGGTTCAGTAGAAGAAATTGGTATAGCCTCAGGAACTGGATGTAACGTTAACGTTCCGTTGAAGAGTGGTATCAACGATACAATGTTTTGTTATGTATTTGATAGGTTCGCACTTATACAAGGTGCCACTTAATTTTGTATTATTATTTGTTTTAGGGTCTTAAAGGAAGTTTCAAACGTATTTAGTGCTGATGCTATAGTTCTACAATGTGGCGTAGATGGTTTATCAAGAGATCCGACTGCAGCCTTTAACCTAACTGATGGTGCTTTCGTACATGTGGCTAAAAAGCTGAATGATTTGGGTAAATATTTTTGCATCAGTAGAATTAAAGTTTTATTAATCGAGATTATAACAATCAGATGTTCCAATAATAATGCTTGGAGGGGGAGGTTACGACGAAATAAATGCAGCAAAGTGCTGGACAGCTGTAACTGCTGCAGTTTGCGATACTGAACTACCAGAAGATATACCTGAGCATGAATACTTCACAGAATATGGACCATCTTTTGATATGGGCGTAGAAGAGGGTAAATTAAAGAATTTAAATGATGAAAACTATATAAATTCTGTTTTAGAGAAAATTTCAGCTAATTTATCCAAAGTAGTTAAATAATATCAACGTGTTATGACTACTTTTCATAATTTTTATATTTTTCTTTATAGAATAATACAATAAGTTTTACAACAAAAATAACAAGTGTAACTTTTCAACTTTCAGTTTCGAATGTTTAATGACTAATTAGACTCTGTTTTCGAATCTTGTTACCTTACCCGAATAGTAAACATAGGCTTATTTACGCTACTCCGCATAGGATTGTCTTCTTATTCTCTTCGTAGGAATATATCATTTCGTCAAGACTAGCATTGGCATCAAGAATAAGTACTGGAGTTTCACAGTTAAATTTCACTTTATGTACAAGCCAATCTTCATGCAGTTCATGTAATGATTGTAGATATTCGAGAGGAATAATCTGCTCTTCATTTCTTCCTCTTTCTCTAATTCTTTCGTATAGAACTTCGGGTTTGGTTCGTAAATATACTGAAAGTACGATTCATTGATAAATTAGATATTTGACAAGAAATTTGCTGACTAAACTTACCAATGAGATCTAAATCACAGCTTCCATTTTCGACAATCCAATCGAACCATTCAGTTAAAACAAGATAATCAATCTCCTCCATTCGTTGTCTGAATAAGTTCGAATAATTTACTATTATGACCAATAAAAAATTGGTATTAATTATTTCTATTTACGTTCGATAAAGATTTTCAACAAAACAATATTTTGCGCTAAAAATAGATCTTTCCATTAATTTAACTTGTTTCTCATGTGCTTTTGAATGCTGCTGAAGCATTGTTAATTGAACGTAAGTTTGTAAAGTCATACTCCATCTTGATGGGTTTTCATACATTAAAGCTAAAGCATTTTTCCCTTTGATATTTCTCCATTTTTTAACCGGTTCGGTCAATACTTCTACGTTTGAAAACTTTTCAAAGTGATTTAGTAGGCACGTTTTCCCGGAAGCTATGTTGCCTTCTACAGCAACCTGTAAAATTTTTCTCTATATTAATACTATACAGGCATTTCAAAACATTAAATTAGATTACAGTAAAATTTCCATTTTTATTTGACTTCGATAGTTTTTTTAATAAATCTCCAGACATCGATTCTAAAATTAAAAATTTGTTATTCCAGTACTGACTTAGTTAAGAAAAATATTTACCACTAAATGGAAATTCACACGCACTCCTGCGTGAAGCCTGGCGACTGAAGAAGTGACGTGAAAATATTGTAGTTATCCTACTGAACATATTGCGAAATCACATACAACAGGCAAGTATAAACAAGATTTACTATGCGGTAGTCACCATTTTTATTTTGAAGTAGCGGCATTGCCTCTACATCCGGTTCCACTAAAATGGCGACCAACACAAACCAGCAATCTGATCAACAAGAAGAAGACGCATCGGATTTGACTTTTCCGAAAGGTTAATCGTTTTATTCAAAATATTTAAATTTTAATAATAAATTTTATTATATTGTGTTTTGCCCATTTTTACTAAAAGTATATATATAGTGTGCAATAGCAAAATTTAAAACCGTTCTTTTATTTCGTTCACTGCAGAATTTGATAATGCCGAAACTTTACTCACATCTGAAGTGTTAATGCTGTTAGAACACCGGTAAGATAAAATTTTTTTAGCTAAAAATCTTATAGATATTAATGTGCTTTAAATTTAATAAAGAAAACAACAAAATGAGGCTAATGATGATGACACTGAATTATCCGAAGTGTTTATGAAAACTTTAAGTTACTGTCAAAGGTTTAGCAAGTATAAAAACAGGGAAACAATTACAGCTATTCGAACGCAAGTATATACAAAAAAAGTGGCTTATATTCTTAATAGTTTATTTTTAACAGGATGCTGATGTCTAAGAAATTACATAGATTCGAGTTAGCAGCTTTGGCAAATTTATGTCCTGAAACGGCTGATGAGGCAAAGTCGCTCATTCCAAGGTTGAAAAAAGAGAGACCTAAATTTAATTTGTTCAATATATTTATAAATCCTTCTTTTCAGTCTTGAGTCCCGTTTCGAAGATGATGACATTCAAGCAATTTTAGATGAGATAAAAACACATAGAAGTTTTCAATATTAAACTTTTGGATATAAACTTAGTCAACTTATTATCTTGGGTTTTAAATTTTTAAAAACTCAGTATTTATTCTTAATACACAAGTTTTTCAATGTACAGTATATTCAAAGAAATGATTGCTGTTTTATTTGGTTGCTTTAAAGTGGTACTCTAGTTCGTAAATTCCAACTTCTTGTTTGTTTTTTTCATCGTAGTCGCACCATTCCTGTAAAGATATACAAAATGTTATGGAATAGAGTACTGAGAGATTTCATTTTAGTCAACCTCTTCTTTTAAATCAATGTCTTCGAATTCACATTGTCTGTCACCGGTTCCATTTGCTTTAAAGCCAGTCTAAAATGAAATATTGAAGGTTTTATATAAATTAGATATGAACTTTTTCAACATTAAAACTAACTCGAGGAGAGAAAGCGGAAGGTTCAACTCCTCTGCAATCAAAAGTTACAAATGGCTTGAATTTTGGAAAATCTTCAACCAGATATTCTTTAATACTATCCTTTATTATATCTATAAAATAAGAATAATTAGAAAAATATCTTGAAAGCTTAAGCATCCTACCGATAGAGTTCTCTCTATTGCACAATTTACACTTTAGGACTAAGCTGGCATGACCTCTTCCGCCTTTCAAAGGCTGATTTTCCTAAAAAGCGGAAACAGAGTTAAATTCAGAAAGTCTCTTTCATGGTTAATATTACCGTTAATGTTAGATAGACGAAATCTGGCGTTTCTTCACCGCAATTCAAACATTTCAGCTGGTTTATAGATTCAAAACCTTCAGATTGTAGTAATTAATAATTGATATAGTTTATTTCATACCTTCAAATACCATCTAAAATCTTCTCCATCCGCTTTAAAGTTAGTTACATTTTCCAATCTGGCTTTTAGTTCGAGAGAAATTTTCTGTAACGTAGCAAAAGAGCAAAGCTACTTATGGTATTATCGACTATTAAAACTTGAATGCTACATTAAAGTAAATAGTAATTCTAGAGGAATGATTAGCAATTTTAAATATTTAAATAAACTCTACAGAATCATAATTAACCCTGTGAATTTCTTACCCCCATCACTCAATTTATAATATAAGAAATTTGGGGAAACAATTTGCAAAATCGAATATAGGCTGATAGAATTCAAATACAACTCCAAACATGTTCAGTGTCCCTAAAAATATGGCCCCCCCATGCAGAAGGAGTAAACTTTCGAGCAAAAAATGTAGTAGGATTAGGAAACCGGACATATCATTTTTCGGGCGCCAACGTCTTTTGTAAACAAATTCAATAACACTTATTCATGATCTTCAAAGGTGCACTCATTGTCACGAAGTGTTTATTTATCTATGTCATCTAACCGTGTACTATCTGCTATAAATTGGCATTATGGCTATTGAATAAAAAGTAGACATTCCAAAAGATATGCTTCTTCTGATTAGTTTTGTGTTTTGCATTATTAGCATTATTTCAGCCGATATTCGTGAGTTCGTTGTAATTTAAAAAAATTTAGATTAAAAGAATATTTTAATTAAGAAAAAAAATAGGAATTCTGTTGCTAAGGCAACCATATAAATTAATATTTTATATATAACTTATTTTCAGAGAAATCTATTAAAAATATTTATTTAAGTTTTTTTTTAATGCAGAACCTTTACCACAAAACTGTCCTAGTGTTCCGCCAATTTATCAAGTATTTTGCGGAAATCCAACCAATCCGAGTGATTGTATTCTAGGAATTTGGTTATGTGATGGATCTAAAGATTGTAAAACAGGAGCCGATGAAAGCGCGGCAACGTGTAGAGGAGGTAAGTAAAAAATATTTTTAATTCTTATCTTATTATATTAATTTAAATTATTTTCTATTATAGGAGATCCTTGTGTGAATCACAATTGCAAGAACGGTGGAACTTGCGTTCCTTTCAAATACACTCAGCACATTAGAGTCGCCTATTATAGATGCAAATGTCCACCTTCTTGGAGAGGCGAACTTTGTGATATTAAACAGGAGGATCCATTTAATTTTACATCTGTTGTACCTGATAAAACAACTAAATTAACGAATACTTTCACAACTGTTCAGAATGATTTGACGTCTGAGTCTTTCACTCAAACAGTAATTAATCAGGTAATTAGTTAATTAGTTTTATTTAGCTTTGTATTTAATCTGATTTTTTAATATAAATTTTTCGTATGGTTTTAACTAAAAACACAGCAAACAAGTATTAGGCCTACTATAAGACCAACAGTTGACCCATCGTCTTGTAATCCTAATCCATGTTTGAACGGAGTTTGTACACCATTAAGGGGCACATTCCATTGTTCATGTAGACCGGGTTTTGGTGGGAAAAAATGCGAAACTGGCTTAAAACCATGTGATTCTAAACCGTGTTTAAACGGAGCAAATTGTCAAGTAAGTTTTTCAGAAGGTAAATTTTGTTATATATAAAAGAAAATAATAATTGATATTTTTGACATGATCGTCATTTTTATTTCATAAAGAATACTGATAATACTTCTGGAAGAACTTATAAGTGCTCCTGTTCAAACGGTTATTATGGTCGTCAGTGCGAAAATGACATAAATGAGTGTACTAGTAATCCCTGCCTTAATAGTGGAACTTGCATTAACCAGATCGGTAGTTATACTTGCAATTGCAAACCGGGTTTTAAAGGTGTTTTAATTCTTTATACAAATATATATATATATAGGGTGAAAGAAATCTCTTCTATTTGTAGGTTTAAGGTGTGAATCAAAATTAACAGCTTGTGAATCGAATCCTTGTCTCAGAGGTTCCTGCGTCGAAGAGAAAGAAACTTTTAAATGTAATTGCCCTAAACAATATGCTGGACAAAGGTGTGAAAGGAATCAATTCTGTGTTCAAGGTAATAGTCATTAATAGTCATACTTTATCAACGAACACAAAAATGCCATATTGTAGATTTTTTTAGAAAGGCTGAATATATTTACAAATTCTTGGAATAGTAATAGGGAGATAGAAGGAGGGAATGATGTACTTTAAGAAAAGATGGGACTAAAGGGAGGGACTGTACATTCATAAGTTGAATACATACTATATATACTGTATGCTATCAAGTAGATCATTATAATACTAACTATTTGATGTGGATAATTTACCATAAATTCTTACTATACTCTATCGCCTCTCCTGCAGATGACCCTTGCCGGAATTATGGCATCTGCTTTCCACCTAGTATTACTGGAAATCGTCATTTTTGTCTCTGTTTACCTGGATTTTCTGGTTCATTATGTCAAATTGATTCAGACGAATGCGCTGTGAAACCATGCAAGAATGGTATGACACTGACAATAGAATGAAAAACATTTTTTATTTAACGACGTATTAAAATTTTAGGAGGAACTTGTCTAAATTTACCTGGAAAATTTGAATGTCAATGTTCTGAACATTTTACTGGATCTCAATGTGAAATAGAGATAGATCCATGTTCATCTTCTCCTTGTAAGAATGGTGGTTTATGCTGTAAATTGGGAGTTCCATTTTGCAACCCTAATTTGAAACCCAATGAATTTCAATGCTATTGTAACCATGGATTTACAGGTTGAAAAATTGATACACATTACTACTATAACTATAATCCAATATAGTTTATATATATATATATATTCTGTTTAAATAAGAACTATATATTCAGTTAAAAAAATATACTTACTAATTGATTAATTGATTTTTAAAAGGAAATGTTTGCGAAAGAAGAATTGATCCATGTGCTCCCAATCCATGTAAAAATAGAGGAATTTGTAATCAAATAGCTAACGATTACTTGTGTACATGTCCAATAAATTTTCAAGGTATTAATCATCCAAAATGAATGATTAATATTGAATTGGAATGATATGTTTTTTAAGGACGAAATTGTGAAGCTGCAGAACCCTGTGCTAGTTCCCCCTGTAGTAATGGAGACTGTATTGCTAATGGTAAAAATTTCGAATGTAAATGTAAATCTAATTATTACGGAACTTATTGCGATTTATTTGATTCTTGCTCCTTGAAACCATGCTTGAACAATGGAAAATGTGTAAAGGAGGATTCAAAATATAGGTAACAGACATGCATGATTTTATTTCGAAGTAATTAAATAGTTATTTCCGTTTTCTAGTTGTAAATGTCCCCAAAACTATAAAGGAAATCGTTGCGAAGATTACGACCCATGCCTAAGTTTGCCTTGTTTGAGAGGAAGTTGTTCAGTAAAAGACAATAAATTCTTTTGTACTTGTCCCACAAATTACACTGGCTCAAGGTGTGAAAAATTCCTTTCATGTGCCGGTAACCCTTGCTCTAATGGAGGTACATGCACCTCAAAAGGTGACGATTTTGAATGTAAATGCCATTCAAATTATACAGGTAGTTACGTACACTTGAGTATTACATAATACAAAGAAAATGTTTCAAAATTGAAGGTGTCAATTGTGAAAAATTTTTATACTGTTCTTCTACACCGTGTAAGAATGATGGATTTTGTATTGAATCCTCCAAAGAACCATTTTACATCTGTCAATGTAAACCTAATGTTTCCGGTCGACAATGCGAAATAACATTAAAGTGTAGTTCGTCACCTTGTAAAAATAATGGAAAATGCTTAAATGTTGGACAAAACGACTATGCTTGTGAATGTCTTAAGGGTTACTCTGGTAAGGATTGCTCAAGTTATATACCGTGCGTTGTTCAGCCGTGTAAAAATGGAGGAACATGCAGGTTGAAATTTATTTTTTATTCATAATTTTCGTATATATATATATATATATATACTTTTAAAACACGTATCTTCTATTCATAAAAGACCTAAAGGTTCTGACGATTACGAGTGCAACTGCCTATCAGAATTCGTTGGAAAGGATTGTGGAATTGCAAGAATTTGCCAAAATAATCCATGCTTTAATTCTGGAGTATGCGAACCTCTCGGCTCAAGTTCTTTTAGGGTAAGTTCATATTTATATTTCTATTGATTATTCAACTCTGAGAGGAACTACTTATAACATTGCTTATCTTTCTACCATCTTTTCGTATATTCCTTATTTTAGAATGTATAAACTGGACTGCTTCAGTCAATCTTTTTAATTTGAATTTTCCAGTTAAACTTCCATAAATTAATGGTATTGATATGGAATTAGATAGGGCTATTAAAGTAGTAACAACCATCAATACTGAAGTTGCTAATAATTTCTGAGTAATAGAATCGTAAAGCAGAACAAAAAATAATGAAAATATTGGTATCCAAGTTAAAAAGAAGCTCAATATCATAGCTAATAATAGTTTAGCCATAATCTTTTCTTTCATATGTTGGGCTTGCTGAAAATCAGTAAGAACTTCTCGATTTCTCTTCCTTAATTTCTTTAGTACGTTGATAATTCTTGCATAGCTATAGATGATTATTACTAGAGGAAGTAACATGGTAACGGTTACAGTAACTATTACTATTAATAAACTGACACCTATTGCAGTTTTTGGCCATATTAAAGTGCAAATTGTTAACTCTCTTTCGTTGATCAGAACTGATTTGTTCCTAAAAAATATTCCCATTGGAGATGTTCCAACAACACCCATTATCCAGATTATAGAAACCATTCTCTTCGACCACTTAAAACTTAATGGTAAACGTCCACCCATTTTTCTTCTTACAAACCTTGAACGATCAACTACAATCGCAGTTAAAATCCAAGCAGTAAAGCAATAGCAAAGGAAAATCCCAAATACTAAAAAACTACAAAAGAATTGATGAAAAATCCATCTTTTATATATTCTTGTAATAGAAATTAAGATTAACGGAACACAACCAAGAAAGCTTGAAAAGCAGAGATTCATTTCCAGAATTATGCTTACCGAAGCAGGCTTTCTATGCTTCCAAAGAACGACAAAATGAAAGATATTTAATGAAAATCCTAAGAATTTGATAAAGAATAAAAAGAATAATTCAATGACTATAGTTGATACTGAACGAGGACCAAATTGACTAAAAAAAGTGAAAAAATAACGACGTCCCGACGTATAATCAGAATCTTGAATGAAAGCGTATGATTTATTAATATTCCATTCGTTTTCCATTCTAACATTCCTTTCAAGACGTTAGTTTGACCTAAACTAATTAAAAGCAAGTTTGTCAGCACAATTTATCATACTTATACTCAAGTCTTCGACCTTATCAGTCCTATGTTTGATCCAAGCTTTTTTTCTCTTCACGTGCCATAAGTGTAACAGATGGTGATAACAGGGATTATTGCATTATCTGGAGTACATGTAGATAAAATTATGCGTAGCTAAAAACTAAGTATACCTTCGTTTTATTTTTTTTATACCCAATAATAGTGTAATTGCACACCGCCCTACGTTGGACAAAGATGCAGCGATATCAATAGATGTTTATTAAAACCATGTAAAAATGGTGGAAAATGCCAAAAAAAAGATTTGGATTATAGTTGTCAATGTACATCAGCGTTTATTGGTAAAGATTGTTCTCAATATAACTACTGTTCAAGCACACCCTGTAAAAATGGTGGCAAATGCATAAATCATGAATCGTCATTTTCGTAAGTTTTATATATTCAATTTAATAATTTTTAACTACCTTCACATAAATATAAACCTTTAATAGATGTAATTGTACTCAACTTTGGGGAGGTCAATTTTGTCAAATTCCAATACCTTGCGGTAGTTCACCTTGTAAGAATGGAGCTACTTGCAGAAATATTGGTAATTCATTTACTTGTTCTTGTCCATCAAACTTTACTGGATTACTTTGTGATAAAAAATATTCCTGTTTAACCAAACCTTGTAAATTTGGTGAATGTATTAATCTAGCAAATGGTGCTGATTATTCTTGTTCATGTAAACCTAAATTTACTGGTAAAAATTGCAGTACTCCATTAGTTTGCGATAAAGATACGTGTTTCAATGGAAATTGTCAGAATTCTCAATGCCAATGTAACATTGGATTTAAGGGTATAAATTTTCTTCTATTTAATAGTATTTTATAGTAAACAGTAAATGTTTTCCATCAATTAATAGGATTAACGTGCTCTGATAAACAGCCACCGTGTGATGCAAAACCTTGCCTCAATAATCCTCGATTTTGTGAAAATATTGGAGATAATGATTTTAAGTGGGTTACTTTTTTTTTCTATTCATTGTCGTAGTGTTATCTTCTAGAAGGAATCTTACATAGGTGCAACTGTTCGGAATATTTTGAAGGGAAGAGATGCGAAAAGTTGATTTCCTCGTGTAATCCTAATCCCTGTTACAATTCTGGGACATGTATTCAGGTTGGAGTTGATAGTTTTACATGCAATTGCCCAAAACCTTTTGAAGGTCAGCGTTGTGAAACAAATCCATCTTTATGCAATTCACAACCATGTAGAAATGGCGGAAGATGCTTGGTTAATGGAAACAGGATTTTTTGCGCTTGTCAACCACCTTATGCTGGGGATTTCTGCGCCGAGGAGATAAAAACATGTTCTCCGTCAATTTGTCAAAATGGGGGTACTTGTTATTCAGATTCAATTGGCGTATTCTGCTCATGCTCGAACGACTTTGAAGGTTTATTTTGTCAAATTAAAAGGGATTTGTGTAAACCTCAAACCTGTTTCAATGGTGGAACTTGTTGGTTATTGAGAAATCAGGTTTTTTGTGATTGTAAATCTGGATTTACGGTAAGAATTTACGAAAGAAACAATCAAATTATAACTCAACTGATATAAAATAGGGCGATAAATGTCAAATTACTAAACCTAATCCATGCTCCCCTGTGAATCCATGCAATGGTGGTGAATGTATTGTAAATTCAAATGATGCGGGAAACTATAGTTGCAACTGTCCTCCTGGTTTTCTGGGAAGAAATTGCCAAAATGTTGATCCATGTTTCGGTAAATAAATAGAATATATAATTCTCTTTAGGGAAAATTGTTATAATACTTAAAAAATATATAGCTAGTACGAGATGTAAAAATAATGGAGTTTGCAAAAGAAGAATAGACGATTCTTCTTATTGCATCTGTAAACCAGGATTTACGGGTAGTCAATGTGAAAATTCACTTCCCGCTTGCTATTCAACTCCATGTAAAAATAACGCTACTTGCCTGGAAACTGTGACAAGTTATAGTTGTAATTGTATGAAAGGTTGGTTAATTAAAATTTCTTTGTTTAATAAAAACCCGAAAAAATGTCTTTTGTATAGGCTTTACTGGAAAACTTTGTGAATTAGAGATAAATGAATGCCTTCAAGGGGAAAAGTGTAAAAATGGTGGAACATGCATAGATGGTGTTAATTCTTTTAAGTAGATATTTAATTTCTACTTGTACTTTCAATTTAATTTACATAATATCTTTAATATATACTAATATAATTATATTTGCATATTTATATACAGATGCGCATGTGCAATTGGGTTTAAGGGAACAAATTGTGCAGAAGTGGATCGTTGTGGTCATAAACCTTGTAAAAATTTGGGAACGTGTTTACCATTACCTAACAACTTGGCCGGGACACAATATACTTGCCTTTGTTCAAATTTTTATTATGGTAATGAATGTCAACTAAAAGATTATTGCGGTGAGAATAATCCTTGTGAGAATGGCTCAACATGCCAAAATAATAATAGTGGACTTAAGTACGTTTGCGATTTTTATTGAAATATATTAATATATTTAGCCTTTGGATAGATGTATTTGTCCATCGGATTACACTGGCTTTACTTGCTCTATTCTCATAAGAGCATGCGATAATGTAAATTGTCAGAACAATGGAGTGTGTGTGAACTTGTCCCCAACGTCGTTTAGATGCAATTGTAAAGATGGTTATAGCGGAGTTTTTTGTGAAAAATCCATATGCGATAATTCACCTTGTTTAAGAGGTTCTTGTAAACCTGGATCAGGTGGTGCTTATCTTTGCGTATGTCCTTCAACGTACATTGGAAAAAATTGCTCAACAGGTATATATCATAGTTTAAAAGTAAAACGTTTGGAATGCATTATTATTATTATTATTTATCAGTGGCAACGTCAAATTTTAATCCATCTCTTACTGGAAATAGTTTTATGAGCTTTTCCATTACGAACGATAATGTTAACAATTTTGCTATGGAAATGGATTTTCAAATATCATCGTCATCTGGCCTTATCGCACTTGCAGGAGATTTAGAAAAGAGTTATTTGGTGTTTGGTGTTAGTAATCGATACCTAATAGCGTCAATGAACTTAGGTATTGTCAATATTTTTATTTTTAATAGTTTAATAGATTAGTATCATTAATCTTGAGATATGACATAGATAATAATAATATAAGTATTATATAATTAATTGTGATTAATTAAATCTTTACAATCTCCTAACTTTGATTTCTTTCATTTAAATAGGTCCTGGTCCAATAAATTTACAGGGAAGGAATCTTTTACCATTAAATACTTTTCTAAAATTAAAAGTTGTTAAGGAGAAAAAACTTTTAATTATATACTTAAATGATCTTATCGAAGTACAAGGTCAAACTCCGGGACTAGAAACGCTCTTGGCCAAAAAATTAGAATGTTATATAGGCGGTTATCAGGCCTATGATCATCAAATTTTAAAGAGTTTGCCGTTAATTAATGGTTTAGAAGGCTGCATTAGTAATATATATGTAATTACTATTTTCTTTTTGATTAATTATTATTAATTGTTGATTCTCTATTTAACATATCATCAAATTTTTTTAGGTTAGTCTTGAAAACAATTGGGCATCGTTGGATGAATCAAAATTTATTACTTCTCAATCAATAAACACCTGTTCGAATCGTCCTTGTAATATCAATTGTGTCAGTGGTACTTGCCAATTCAATGGTAAAACACAAAGTGAATGTATATGCAATATTGGTTTTATCGGAAGCGATTGCAGTACAAGAACAACAATAGACACACCAAGACTTTCAGGGGGAGGATATATTGAAATTGAAAATGTTATAATCAATATTAAAACAGAAATATCATTCGAGATAAAACCTGAACAGGCGAATGGAATTCTTTTGTTTTTTGGTACAAGTAAAAATTACTTTGGTTAGTATTTTTTATTTAATCAAAAGATGCTAAATTTATTATGTAAAAATAACTATTTTTAGTTGGTTTATTGAGGGCAGATTTACTTAGTTTAAAGTTATTCAATGAAAATCAAGTTTGGTCGACCGATATTCAAAATATTCGCTTAAATTCTTGGTTATATATTAATATTTTGTTCGATAATACTAGCATAACAGCTATCGTTAGAGGATATATAGATTTAAAGAAAAGGTTTGTTCTATTATCTATTATTATCAGTGCTGAATTTGCAGAATACTATTTATAGATTCGATATATCATTATTTACACCTAAATTTCCTGTATTCTTTGGAGGAGTACCAAAATTACACAGTTTCCCGGAATTAGAAAAAGATAGCGCTGGAAAGGGTAAATGTTAGATCAATATCTAGGACATATTTTTATATTTAGAATACTTGTACTTTATTAAGGATTTAATGGATGCTTTAGAAACATTAAACTGAATGATAATCGCCAAGCTGTCAGGAAAGGACGTGGTGTAACGAATTGCCCTACAAAAGGCTGTGATGAGAACCTATGCCATTCTTCTGCCCAGTGTTTAAAATTTGAGAATGGCTATGAATGCGTATGTCCAGTTGGACGATTAGGGAGTCTTTGCCTAAATTCAGATTGCTCAAAACCTTGTTCAAATAAAGGAGTTTGTATAACCATAAATTCAAAGCCATGGTGTAGATGTCCCCTTGGATTTACTGGTGAAAAATGCGAATTGGGTTTGTATACTTTACACAAATACACTGAAAACTGTAGCTTTCAACACATATACAGCAATGTCTGCATCTAATATTATTTCAATGAATGGTTATGGATTTCTAGCATATAAGAATAATATATTTGGGTAAGACAAATTTTAAAAATTAACAGACCCTTAGTCTATTTAAAGGTAAACTAAGAATTGGCTACTTTCAGGACAACTCATTCCGCTGTTGAAATAATATTTAAGACAAATAGTAGAGAAGATCAATTGATAATGTGGAGAGGTAGAATTGATAAAGAATATATAGCTTTAGGAATAAAGGAGAGAAAGATAATATTTCGGTCAGTTAAATATACTGATCGATTGTAAACACAATTGAAGATAACTTTTATTAAATTTTGTAGATCTAAACTAAACAATGGTGCCGCTTCTATTTCTACTAATATTAGTATTGAAATCGGACGGTTTATTCAAATTACAGTCTCTAAGTAAGTAGAACATATACTTTTATTAAGTATATATAATTGTACTGTATACTATATATTCGTTAAAGATATAGTCAAGCTATATCACTTGAATTGACTGAGACTTCAGGGCGAACAACAAGATTCCAAGGTGTTTATTCAGGGGAAAGTATCAATTTTGCTGATAATTCGCCAGTCATCTTTGGTAAATTATAATAAAATATTGATCATAAATATTTTCAATTAAAAATATTCTATAAACTATATAGGAGGAGACAGAGAAAGGGTTAGCTTATCTACTAAGCAGTTGTTTAAAACTGGATTAAATGGATGCTTATATCAAGTTCGAATTGCCGTTGAACCTGGTGTATTTAATACGTTAAATTTATCAAAGGAAGCTTTAGACGGTGCTGGAGTCGATAAATGCACAATTTAGAAAGTGATTAGTCAAAATAAAAATTGTTACCTTTGTCTCTTCTTTATTTTAAATATTACTGCTGTTATTTTCAATATATTCAAAGCAATTATAAGGATAGTTTTATGAAAAAAGATACACTTATGTATTCATTTATAATCACTGTATTCTTTCAGTAATTTCAATTAGTTGTACTTTAACAAATATAAATTTAGATCTTTAAAAAAATCTAATGGAGAAACACTTAATAGCTGAAGTTTATTCTATTGTCTACGGCTGTGTTTGGGTTTTCTTTCAATTTTGATTGACGATCCTTTATTTTTCGTCGTAAATTTGAGTTGATGTTTAGAGGTTAGTTCAAGGTATTCAACCTATACAGTATATGTATTAATGATATAGCTAATTAACGTTTAAACTAACATAAAAAATACCTTTATCATGATATCTTTATGCTGTTTCTGATATTGCTTAAAAAGCCATAATCTCCTATTATCGAGTGTATATAGCAAGTTTTCTTTTAAAACCACTTGAATTGGGGGGAAATCCGAAATTTTACATTCACCATTTAATAAACTCTCAAGAACCGACTTAATTGTTTTCATATCTGTATGGGACTTTGCTTGAAATTTGTAAAATATTGTATCCTGACAAAATCGGAGATGGGCTGGAGAAATATCATATAGATTATTATACCTCCAATTTTTAATTTGTTCGATAGAAAATTCTCCCGGAGAGTCTAAATTGCTACCGTCACTCTCATCTGCGATAACCTTTATATCCGAATATACTATTTTCCAGTTTCTAGTAGTGTATTGGGAGGTAGTTCTTGCATTTTGATGTATTTTTGGCAGAAAAATTCCAGGTGAATAATTTAAGTACGAATTATCAACGTGACAACTTCTGCTTGTGTCATTCGATACTCTCGCATTATCGAAATTAGGTGTTTCAAGAGGTGAATCTTCTTGGTACAACTTTCTGATGACAGGCTGTTGTGATCTTCTTACTTGATTATGTAGTATTGGAGCTGGTCTATCAAGCACATTATGGTTATCACTCTGATGATTGAAATTGTTACTCCTTTCATCCTTTCTACTTTTATAGCAACATAGCTGTCCCCCCATTGCTGAGACAAGAAAGGAAAGTCACTGCTAAAATCTCTACTTTCATAATGTTTTCTAAAATTTTCATTTTTGAGAAACGAAACAAGAATGATAGGCTTATTTCTCTATAGGCCATTATTAATCAATATTTCGTAGTAAAGCAAAAGCTGTTATTCTTAAATAACTTTGAAAAGATTTGAAAGTAAAGTAAAATGTGTATTTGAGCCGTTTTATTCATTTAAAGTTTATTGAATCATTGAAAGAACTATTAAGAAATGTTATATATTTCTAAAAAGAAATTAGGATAATCAGCCTCTTTGGTTTCCAAACTGACTTCATGCATCTTCATTCATGATTTATGCTTTTCACAACGTTAATAGAACGTCCAGAATTCCTTGTAGTGAACTTTTTGTATTGATGAGGAAGAACTTTAGTACAGAATATCACCTGTATAAATAGATAATTTATAAGAAAAGGCTAAAATAAAATAATAGCAAAATACAATTAATAAAAAAAATCTTACATCGATTTCTAAGTCTTGTTTGTATTTTTGATATTGTTTGAAAACCCACAATCTTCTATTGTCTAGACTATGTAAATTTCCTTCAAACAAGATAACTTTAATTTTGGGAAAATCTGAAACTTTTATATATCCCGTTATTAAATCCTCGGCAACTGTAGCTATCTCTTTCATGGCTCTATGATCTTTCGCTTGAAATTTATAAAATATTGCATCCTGTGAGTATCGAATATGAAGGGGCGAAATTCTATGCGAAGTATTATCTCTCCAAGTATACACATCTTCAATTGCGAAATGCGCATATTCTTTATGAGGTTCAACAGCGGCATGGAAACTTTCTCTACCTAACGAAAATTGTATCGGAGTGGATATAGCAGCTGAAGCGTCACTATAAGGGATAGTTCTTGATCTTTGGATCTGTTGAGGCTGAGGAACCTCTTCTTCTTCATCATAAAATCTACTGAGCCATCCTCCCATGTTGTATTTCAATAAAATAAGATCTATCTAAATTATTGCTTTATATAGTAGCTAACACTTTCGGTTTCCCGAAATAACTTGAAATATTTTTCACGATGATAGGTTTTTTTAATCGATTACTTAACATTTTTTTAACATTTAGGCCATAGATAATGTAAAATAGCAAATGTAATTACGTGTTCTTTCATTTTTTTACGTAATCGATATGAAGTAAACTGATTGTGAAGTGCCTTATTTATATAATCTAAAGTAAAATGTAATTAGTATTGATTTTTTCTTACTAATATGATGATTTCACAATATAGAAACTTATGAATCATGAAATAAAAAAGTGTTCTAGAATATGAACTTATAGTTTCGCAAAAAATTACTAAAATACCTATATTCAGTTTCTGTTTTTTTTAAAGAAAATAAATTCTATAATTTTTCAATCGTATTAGAATGTAATTATCTACTTTTAACTAATTTTTCATATTGTTTCGTTACAATTAATTAATTATTTAAAGGTTTTCTAATTTTTAGTGATATTAGGGAATGTGTTTACTACAATTACCTAATAATTTGCATGTCCTGTGGCCTATATCCAAATTTTTTATGTAGCAGATAATGAAAACTAATATGAGATGCAAAACTTTACTATTCTAATAATTTTAATATATTAAGACACTTAATTATATTGAACTTTTTAGCTATTACGTGGTAGCTTTATATTGTAATTATATCGTTTTACAGTATTTACTAATGATTAGTTAAAAGTTCTAGTTTAAAAGTTTTTCAGTTTAAATGCGTTTAACGAAGTTATCAGAACCATGAGATTCTATATAATACTTCTTAATTTGTTTATTATTAATTACGGTAATAGTTAATTATTTATCATGAAAAATATGTAGGTTTATTTAAAATTATGATATATTTAGCAATGGAATTGCGCTTGGGAAGACAATTGGAAACGGATGCTGGACGAAGTTCAAATTCTAGAGGAATTTTCATGCTTTCTGATAGAACTTTTACGGGTGGTACACTTACAAAGATAAGAGCTAAATTCGTTGCTGCTGGAAGAATTAGATTCCAAATTTGGCGATTGGTAACATCTCATTCCGATGGGCGACGACAAATGACATTAATTTGGCAGAAAAGTGAAACTGTCGAAAGTTTTCCAGCAATAGTAGATGTTTGTAAAATATACAGTTCATTTCTTCTATAAAAAAAACGATAATCTAGTATAGATTATTATACGCAGATTGTTCCAGAAGTGCCTGTTAAACTCCTCTCTGTTGATATATTAGGATTTTATAATGAACAGGATAAAGATTGTTTAGCATATAGAATTATAAAAACTGGAGAATCAGCTATAACTTATCCACTTACCACGCCAGTAAAGACATAAATATACATATTTCGTTCAAATGACATTAATTATCTTGAATTGTAGACGTTACAGCAAGGTTTTGATACAAAAGTTGGTATGACATTAGAATTTTCAAGTTCTCCGTTGAATTTGGATTTTTCTATCGAGGCATTCTATGAGACAAGTTAAGAGTTTGCCTTATGCATTACAGTCTATAGTAATATAGCTTTTATATTCTTTTTTCATTCAGAGTTAACTACAGAAGCTGATTTAGAGATATTTCCTTCGTCAACAGATAATCCTATATATGGAACTTCTCTGGGATATAAAGCGTCATCATTAGATAATTTTATATCTTCTGGAGCAAACAAGATATTTCTTATAAAAGATTTAACAGTTTATCACAATGCTGTTGTTACACAAATATGGATTGGGTTTGCTAATGGAGGTTCTGTAGATATATTCTTTTTGAGAAAACGCCCCAATCAAAGTACAATTACTGGTGGGCTTTTACAAATCATTGGTAACGTTACCGTTTCTTCTACAAAAAAAGGAGAAAAAAAGGTTTTTTTCACTGTTTTAAATAAAATAAGAATACAGGAATTAATTATTGTAATTTATTCCGAAACAAAACATTAACATCAAAGGTAACTTTATGCAAACAACAACAAATTAAGCTACAGAGAGGGGATATTATTAGCTATTATAATAAAAATGTTCAAGGTCTTATTGCGTATAAGACTGGAAAGGGTTCCGATGTATACGTTGCTGAAGAAAAGGAGTTGAAAAAAAAAACTGGAATTAAATTCAATAAGATCAACTTTCCATATCGATTTTATATTGGTTTTACTTTTAAATCAGGTTACTATAAAAAATTTAGTAGTAGTTATGAGATATATTATATACTTGTATAGTAATATAAATGTAAGTAATTATTTGTAAAGGAAACAAGAAAATTGATTTACCAACTTGCAAGAAAATGAGGCCACCCAGCAATCCACTAGGTAAAATAATGAAAATATTCCAAGGTGGAGGTAATAAAGAATATGTACTTTAAATAATTGATGGATAAAAATTTACATTTCTTCTTCTTTCCTTAGGTTTCCTTGATATTATTAATAGTTCCGAATTATTCAAGGGACTCTTTATTTGGTTAATACTAAATACGATACTACTTGTTCTTTTAATTCTATTAAATTGTATTTGCCTCTGTTGTAAAAAGACTAAACAAGAGCATTTAAATAAGATTGAAAAAGATAAAATTAAGAAAGAGAGTAGTCAGAACTATAAAAATGTATGTCCTAATTGTCAATTAAGAAATTTCGAAACTGGAAATGGAAGTAAAATGGCAACCGGAGGTGGAATTCCAAGAACTTATTTCTCAATAAGAGACACACCTAAGGCATTACCTAGAAGTCTTAGTATACCAGGTACATCGTCATCTACTCCTATGAACTCATTAAGAAGAAAATAAAGTTAAAAAAAAAAACATGAAAATACACCTTATAATATTCATAACAGGTTCCTCTCTCTTAGAAATAACTTAGATTTTATTAAACTTCTGTTTTTTTTTAAAAACAAAATGGAAGAAATTCTAAAATGTAAAAAAAAGGAAATAAAAAACAGAAAAAAAAAGTCTTATTGATTTTCTCTTTTCATAGTAAAAAAGAAAACAGGAGAGCATTACTGAATTACACGACATCTTATATACATATATGCATATACATTATGTATATATATATATATATTGTGAACTGAATTTGAGAAAGGCAATTGAAAATAATTAACATATCACGATTATTAATATAAATAAAGAAAAAAAGAGTCTAATAGCTTAGAATTTATTTAAATTTTCATCAAGAATATTAATTAATTGAATTTTTATAAAAATTAACGTATTTTACTAGATTTCTCTCTCTCTCGCGCGCTCTCTCTCTCTCTCCCTTATTGCGTTTAATTAGTGAAGGAAGATCAATCATCTTATTTATTAATTTATATGCGTTCACAAATATTTGCTTTTAATTAAAAGTTTCTTTACATATCTTAACTTTTAATATATATTCACCTATGAATGGATATATTAGTTGAAAGAAATAATAATAATCTTATCAATGCTTTACTTCATTCTAAAACGGCTTTACACACTGTTTATTGAGCATTTATAACACGCTAGTTTATTTACGTATAGCAATACCCGCTCCACTCTTTACTCTATTTAGTAACACCCAGTCTACATTTATGTACGTTACATTTCCAGAGTAATTCATCACTGCACAAAGGAGAAGTTGCTTGTTTCATGTTTGTTTTTTAGCGTTATGTGAGTTCAAATGTAACGTTCAACTTATTCAATCTTATTTTTATATTTGTAACTAATATTTTGTCGTGAAGAATATACAATCATTCAATGAGACGCAATACTATCGTCAATTTTAAGAAACTGATCCTGCTTAACAGCATATTTACAGGATGGAAGCCAGTAGTTACACATTGTTAAAATTACTTTATTGTCCTAAAATTGTTATTGGCATATTATATTTGCTGTTCATTAGCTAAATACTTTATTATCGCCCAGGTCGGAGGAGTCAGATACAGATATTCAAGATGCAGAAGAGCAGCCAGTCGGTTTGTATGCTGTTCAAAAAATTGTTGGCAGACGGATGATAAAGGTATAATTAATGAACTATTAATTATCTTTTACATACTATTTAAAGCGTTTAAAAGTATGTAGAATAGCAGCACCCTCTCAGAAAGAAAGATAGTCTATTACTTTTCCTCGGCTAAAAATTATAGCTAATATATGAATAATAAAAGAAATTAGCGGCGGATAGTTCATGTTTTATAGGGATATATAGCATTCAAAACCTGTAATTTATTAACATATTAAATTCTATATTATAAATAAAAAAGTGTTGTTCCTTTGAATTTATAATGGATGACTTTTAAAATATAGATATATCTGTTCTTTAATTGTTTGGCTTATTGTTGTTGGGTCTATTAAATTAAAAGCAAGTGTACAGTAATAGACAGAAATATTATCTAGAGCAAGTTATAAAAATACACTGATAAAAGTCGTAGGCTATATGTTGTTCATGAAATAATTCATTCTTTTGATTGCGTAGGGAGAAATTCAGTATTTAATTAGGTGGGCTGGCTATGGGAAGGAAGACGATACATGGGAACCGCTTTTAAATGTAATACACTTGACTGACCTTATTAAACGTTATGAAAAGAAACAACAAACACGACGGGTAAAACTTATATACGTATTTACAGAATATGTTTACATATATGTATGTATACTAATATATTCGTACTTTTACTTTTACTTTTACAGCAGTCTCAAGAAAGAACTGGAACAAAATCTACAGAGCAGAATGACGAAAATACCGTTTGTATTCTAATCTATTGTTATTTGTATACAGAGTTATTTACCTATAATTTGCTGTTTCTCGCAGAGAACAAGGACAAGCAGTTGTAATTCAGCAAATGATTTAAAATTTCTATTCAAAAGGACTAAAAACGATCAACCATGTTTAAATACTAATGACAATTGGCAGGTAACAAATGTAACAAAGGATTCAGATCTAGGATATGTCGACAATAGCGAATCCTTCGAGGAGAATATTCATACTGATATAATAGCTGAAGAAAAAATTCAAGATTATGAAGTAGAATTTAAATATGAAGTAGGGAGGTTGAAACCTGATGTGCAACAATCAGAAGATACTATAGTTATTGAATCTGATAAAGATACGCATTCATCTCAAATTCAACAAAGCACAAGAGTTAACGATGATGCTTCCTTGTTTACTAGTCAGGAGATTGATAATTCTCTATTTCAGAACTCAGGAGATTCAGAAGAATCAGAAACTAATATTATCGTTAAAAATATTCAAACACGCTTTAATTTTCCACCGAAAACTGTTGTCAAACGACCATGCAAAAGAACCAGGTGTAGATCTGTCGAGTTATGTCGTCCACATTTCACTAAGAGCGATATTCTCATGCCATTGAGATCATTTTCCGAAGAATATCCTTTAAATACTTCAACTCCTCTAAGTCAACCTATTTCTACTTCTACGAGTAGAAGGAAGAGTAAAAGTCATACAAGTAGTTGTTCTCAGAGCTCTTCTACATCTCCAGTTCCTGAAAGTGCCAGCACAGCAGAGCCGAAAGAAAAATCAGATTCTAGAAACTCTGAAGACGAAAATGACAATATTGTTGAAATGACAGAGGTTGAAAATCCAGTATTGGTTGATAGATCGATCGGTATAACAGAAGAAGATTCTGAACAAGCTATAGTCTCTCAGGAACAAGAAAATGACTTCGAAACTCAAAAATTTACTTTAGAAATACCGATGGATTACTGTCATGATCATGTTTATGATGATATTGTCATTTACGAAGAAATTGTAGATAGTAATGGTCCCGAATTGTTTAATAGTGAGCAAAATTTGTTACAGCCAAATTCTTCTAAAGAAGAAGCTTGCCCATTAAGTTCAGAAGAATCTTCTGATGTGCTACATTTGACGACAACACCAGAAAAGTCAGAAACAGATCAGATCAGGTTTGAGAAAAGTAGTTTTAGTCATATAAATAATAGTGATATTTCTAGTGAGAATAGGCCAGATAGTGAGGTTAATCAAAAGAATAAGTTTAAAAATCAAAAGAGAAAAGGTAAAAGATCTCAAAGTTTTGTCAAAAATTGGGATGAAGCTATAAATCCATCTGTTTTTATTAAGGTAGATAAAAGTAAAAAGAAGAATTCTAATAGGAAAAAATTAAAGACAACTTATGATAATGATAGCAACAAGACCAAGAGAAAAAAAAGTAAGGGTAAATTATATAGTGTCCAAAATTCGTCCCAAATAGCTCTTAAGAAAGAAATTTTAACTAATGAGAAGGTTGATGGAGAAAAGGAAAATAATGAAAAAAAATTTGAAAATGACACAGAAGAAACACCACCAGCGAAGCAGACTGAGAATATCGTTTACAATGTGCTAGAGAGCTGTCAGAAAGCTGTTGTTCGTTTGAAAAGAATGCCATATTTCAAAATTAGAATAGCCACAGGACGTCCAAATGCTATAAACCTCTATCCAAAACAATCCGATAAACAAGATGCTATTTCTGAAATGATTAGAAAAGACTTAGAATCTCCTTTGAGTTATGAAGATGATATATTCGGTGTCTGTAGTATGAGACCTTCTCCTAACACACACTATACGATGCGTTTTTGCGTTAAGAAAGATTTCAATAAATCCAACTGTTTAGAATCATTGTACGTAATAAGAAAGTCGAAGAAAATAAGTAATAATCTTTCTTGGGATACGGATGATATATTTGCTGATGTTGTCTTAAATGGAAGAAAAATGAAAAGTTTGGGTAAAGCCTATGTCTATTTATTATGGTCAATCTTTCCAGGGATCAACGTTTTAGACTTATTTACAAAAGCTAATGTACCAGCTGATAAAGTCATCTTATGTGGTTCTAAAATAGCAAACAATTCATAAAGTTTATTTTATACTAATTAGGTAAACAAAGAAGAGCAAAATGTATCTTTAAATTCTGTCTTTACTTTTTCCTATTTTATTCCTTTTTGTCTCGGTTTGGTACACTTTTTTTTTACCAAAAGTCTTTTCCTTTCTGTTTTCCTTTTTACTTTAAAGAAAAAACCAAAAACTAAAGTGATATTGAAGGTTTATTTTCAAACATTTTTATATAATTTATTAATTGATAAATCTATTCTGAGTATGTTGTCAGTGCCTTCATATATATATATATATATATATGTATGAAAAAATTCAAAGTATTTACTTGTTGAAAACAATGTTCAAGTTTTGGTTATCAAAACGATAAACAATACTTTTGTATGTTTTATATGAATAAAAGCAGAAAAAGAATTGATTCTACAGTGAAAATATGCACAGTTTTTTAAGCGTTTAAATAAATGTTGAAACAATTGTGAATCCAATTCATTAATGCCTTGTTTACATGTGACAGTAAAAGTTTTGTTGTGTTCAACTTCTTGTCTAAATAAAACACGTCTAAGTATTGATTTTTTTGTTCTGGATGTATTACTATAGTTTTTTTTATATATTAGACGCTTTCTCACGATAGACGTCGCTTAGAACCGATAGTAATATTAATTTCGGTAAAAAGAGAACCAGTTTAATCCACAAAGCATTATATTATCGCTCAACTCTGTTGAACATTCCATGATAATTCTTTCTCTTAAAAAGCTTTAACAAAAATAATCATTTAGTAAGTTTTAATAAATATATTTAAATAAAAGGAAAAAAATACTTGAATAATTTGTTAATTTTTATTTCAAATAAAAATCATAATAGAAAAAAAATCGTACTAGATTATGAATGACAATTGGCAGACATTGGTTATATTAAATTAAAGGATCTTTAAACAATTATCTAAAAACACGCATATAGCAGAAGAAGAGGAAAAATATTTACATATCTTTTACAATTTTAAGTGATCAGCATAAAAATGGCATCTAGTTTTTATGTTCCAACTCAAGCAAGAGATAGTTCTGCTGTTCAAAAATTGCTCAAGGATGGTGACTTATGCGATTTGGTTAGTTAATTAATTAGTGTATATATATATATATATATATATATATATATATATATATATATATGTATTGATAAAATATTTGAAGCCAATATATTATATTAATTCCATTTATTACAGGCTATTCGATGTCCAGTTATGATGATAAATGAATTAGAAAAGACCACAAAAGTTGTTGCTTTAGTTAAGCATACAGTTTCTGAAGATTATAACGGATTTCCAACAACAACTGGTAACAATTTTGAATATGGGTATGATATAAATTTCTTAATAATATATAATTAATATATATCCTGTCATTAATATTAACTATTATCTAGCTTATTTAATTATTGTGGTTATTTTATTAAAGAAAGCTCTTGAATTGATTATAGACAAAACAATATCTCTTCCTTGTAGAATATTTCTGTATAAAGACTGCAATAGGCCACCAAAAGAACCAAATTTAAATTTAGACGATACCATAGCAATAAACGATCAATTTACACTAAATATTCGTAAGTATGCATGGTCTAAATACTCTAAAATGTGTCGTCTATTAACTATACTGTATTACAGAGCATACTGCTGACAAGAGGTCAACAAAGAAACTGTTACAAGGGATGGGTAATAAGTCACCTCCGAAAGATTACGTTTCCGTCCAATTATCAAATTCCGATGATAAATGCATACTGGAAATTCCAAAGTCATTAAGCGATTCATTCTTCAATCATTTGAAAAAAGCAAGAGAATTTCAAAATAGTAAGCCTAATAGAACTAAACGATCAGTATTAACAATATTAAAAGAGTTGTAGAATAGATAGTATTTCTCTTTGTTACTCTACATTTCAGAGGCACAGTGTAAATGGATAACGAATAGCTATATTAATATATTTCCAATGGATAAATTCGAAGTTGCAAGTAAGATATTAACTCTTTTATACATTCATGATGATCATTTTCATAAGGAATTTTCCGGTTGATGTGTCACTTTCATGTCAATAATTTTATTGTTCTCTGAAAACATCGCTTAATATTTCTATTTTCCTTAATTACAATTCTATTTTCATGCTTATTTTCAATTTTGCTTTAGCTGAGGCAACCGAAAAGCTTTGCACTGAAGATGCTTGGCCTAATTGTGACGGTGGTGATGGTTAGTCAAAGATCTTACTATATATTAATATTTCTCAAATATTATTCAGTATTCGATTCTTCTTTATGTGCTATAATAATTGATTTTTTTTTTGATACTCTATTATGCTTAATTACAATTTTTATATATTTATTCATGCAGAGAGCGCTCTGTTAGATGACGATAAGTTTAAAATGGATCATTTTGGGTGAGTAACAAATTTTACAAGAGTCTATAAGTAATCATATTTATGTGTACATGTATGAGTAAAGGAGACTGAGAGAAAGAGAGCGATTTGAATTAATCATACATGCAAATGCAGCAAATACCGTATATATATATATATATATATATATATATATATATTTAACAAATAGCAACATCTGTCTTTGCAGCTTAGTGAGTTTAAGCTAAAATATAGGGCATGCTATTGGAAATTATAATAATCTACAATAAATAGATCTAATTATTTTATCACAAAGCAAATCAATAGTTTTCCTTTAAGAAATATTCTTAAAAGCATCAAAATAATAGGTTATTCTATCTTTTGTCTTTAGCTCGGTTTTGAATATATTTACAAACTTTTTTGTCTTCATCCATTAAGCGTGTAACAGAATGACGATAAAAATCTTTTTTGTATATTCCTTGATGAACTAACAGATTATTTGATAAGAAATCTTCAGTAAAATACTTCTCTGTTATTTGATGTTGATTCCTTTATTATATTTAATTCTCTTTGTATTGTTGTTGATGACACTCTGTAGAGAACGACATAGATATATGTTTTTGTTAATAAATATCCTTGAACACTGAAGGCCTGAAGTATTTTAGCCACGTATGACTCTGAATACGCCTTACATAGTACATACTATAGTATGGATATATATTTTCTACAACCAGATACTACCAATTCAAAAAATAATTTGGCCTACACTTTTTGTAGATATTATATATTTATAAGCCTATTTTTTCAATATAGTTGTGTCATTTCCGTCTAAGTGTAATTTAGAACATGCAATATTCGCTGGTAAATTAATTGTGTTACTAGAAATCAGCTATACGGAATAATATGACTTCGTTTTTCTATGGGTATTATTCATTTAATTTTTAATGAAATGACATATATTACTTATTACAATGATACATTCGTATGTATTATTTATATATATATGTGTAACTTGAATATATATCTTTAACAGCGATACTGACTCTACTGAAAGAGATGTTAGAGAAAAAATAAAGAGAACGTTAATAAAAGAAAGACAATCTGAATATACTACAAAATCCGGGATTAGGTATTTAATTTGTTTCCCTTTCTTACCCATTTCTTAAGATTCTTTTATTCCAATGATTTTAGGGTATTTTGTGGTACTTGGAATGTTAACGGTCAATTGCCGAACGAAGAGACTTATCCCCTTGATGCTTGGCTACATCTGGACGAAGCTGCTGATATTTACGCTATTGGGTTTGATTATTTTCCTTTTTACAATTTATTTATAAAAACTCGCGAATATCGTCCAACTTAAAAAACAATGAATATAACAACTTTTATTAAATCTATTTGAACAAATGTCAAAGAAGAAATAGAAGCGAAACTTAGTATTTTTATTTATTGAGAGAAGTTTCCTCGTTTAGCTCCCCTTCTCCTTAAAGAATATAATATGCAAATTATTATTAAAAGAGAAAGATATTATCCAAAAAATTGGCCGGTAAGATTTACCCTGTACAGATCAAGCGAATAATCGGCCTACAGTAAAAATAAGTATGATTAAAGATCACTGATCTCTGATTGCCATACAGTTTGTTTATATGAGAGAGACACGAGAAAAAATATATAGATGTTTTTTTCTTTTCTACATACAAGATATGTCTAGAATTGATAATGTAGGAAAAAAAGAAATAACTATTTGTACTAATCAATCTTATTTATTGTTACAGATTCCAAGAATTGAATTTAAATGTTACAGCTCATATCGTAAACGATCCATTAAAGGAAGGTAAATGGAAGAAATACATAGAAGATTTCTTCAAAAATAATCGTGTTACAAAAAATATCAAATTTGAAATGGTCTCATCAATAAAACTTGTTGGAATATTACTAATAGTTTACGCAAATAAAAAACTTATGTCTAAAATAACTGATGTTAGACAACATAGTTACGCCACTGGTATAGCTGGAATATTGGTAATATAGTCAATTACTTAATACTCTAATTAACAATGGCTATAAATGTGTTTTATTTTTTTTTAGGGAAATAAAGGTGGTGTTGCAGTTGGATGCAAAGTCTATGAGACGAGTATATGTTTTGTTAATTGCCATTTGGCTGCTCATCAGGAATATTTTGAGGAAAGGAATAAACAGTTCCAATATATCTATAAACGTTTAGAACTGCCGCCAACTAAAGATTCGCAATATCCAGAAACGCTTTTGATCGATAGTTACAAGTAAGTTTCCAATTTTAAAGAAAAACCCATAGGACCTCAGAATTTTCGCTGGGACATTAAATTCTAGAATATTGTGTAATAAAAATATATTATTATATCCTATATTAATAGAAATTGAATTATTAATAATATTCAAGGTTTGATATAATGAAAAGTTAAATATTCAAGTTTCTAGATAAAATAAATGAAGCTTAAGAGCAAATCTGACTAGAATTTTCTTGACACTTCTTCTTGTTTCTTTTTGTTTCCTTTAAAATTTTAACGAAATTGTTATGCATTTATTTTTAGCACATTATTTTGGCTGGGCGATTTAAATTATCGCATAAATGAGAGCTACGAGTACGTTGTTGAGTTGGTTGATATTGATGCTGAAAATGTATATGATACACTGAGGAAATCTGATCAGGTTTGACTAGAATACGAAAAGATAAACGTATAGAGATAAGCTTAATTCAATTGTTTCTCCCTTTTTCCTTTTTCTCTTCCTCTAAACTTTAAAGCTATACATACAAAGAAAGGCAAGGAATGCATTTGCTGATTTTCACGAAGCTGAAATTTGCTTTGCACCAACTTATAAATATGATCCCGGAACTGATAGATTTGACTCAAGGTGAAAATTTACCAAAAGATTTAACAGTTATTAATTCGTAAATATTTTTAAAAGCGAAAAGAATCGGATTCCAGCTTACTGCGATAGAGTATTATACAAGTCTATAGCAGAAATAAATACGCATATTCTATCTTATAATAGCCATCCTGCCCTGAAGTTGAGTGATCATAAGCCGGTATCCTGTTTAGCCTCAACTGAAGTAAGGAACACTCTTCAATAATCCTACATTAATATATTTTTAATCGAAGCTTCTTTTGACCCACTTATAGGTGAGCGAAATTGACGAGAAGGCATATAAGAGAGTTTACAAAGATGTTCAAAGTACATTAGATCTTAGAGAGAATGAAATGCTTCCAAAATGCATTTTAAGCTGCCAAGAGGTAATATTTATATCTTTTTACTTCAATGTATAAAGGTTACACTGTGCCTTTGATACTGGATCAAAACTAAAAAACAATTAAAAAAATTCTCTTATGACTATTTTCGATGAAGGAATTTAACTATAAGAGGTTGATCACAAAACTATTATATTAACTATTTTCAATGGATTTTATAAGTCAAAGGATATTATTCAATCGTCCTTATCAAATTATATTATTTCGATAAAAAGGATCGGATTTCTTCCTGTAATAAGTTAAAATAAAAAATAAATTGCAATGAAACTGGTATAATAGTCAATAAATAGATTGATCCCTTTATTATCAGAGATCTAAAGATATTCTCGAAAAACCTACTAAAAATAGTAAAGCTTTATATTTCCGTTTATACATTTTTCTAGATTGATTTTTCAACTCTCGTTGTCGGAGAGGAGTACAAAGAAACTTTAACATTGCACAACGACGGACAATCAACGTTCAGTTATAAGTTTAAAGATCATCTTGAAAGCAAAAAGTGTTGTCCTGATTGGATCAGTATCCATCCAAAAACAGGAGATGTTCCCAAAGGTAATTAATTAAACAACTCAGAGTATTTTATCCTTTTTCCATGTACTATTATCTATAAAATGAAAAAAAATAGGACGGAAAACAGAGATTGAAATATCTGTAAATGTCGGATATAATCATATGACGCAATTTTATGAAAAATATGGAAAGTTTTATATGGAGGAGGTATTAATTTTGGATTTGGTCAAAGGATCTGACAAGTTCATAACTGTCAAAGGCGAATTAACACCTTCCGCATTTGGTCTTAGCTTAGACATTTTATGCAGAATGAATTTTAGAGCAGTTGCTTTGGAGAGTGAAAGGCTAAAAGAATTGGTTGGTATTAGTTTTATTTGTAATTTCAATCTATATTCTTTTAATTATAACAAAGAGATAGTTTTTACATTTTATCGATATATAATATATATATAAATTTATACGATATATAAAATATATAGAGAAATTGCATAGTTTATTATATAGATAATAATTTATGATAAATGCTTACAACTGGTAGTAGATGATAAGAAACTACTGTAAAATTCTCCTGTTTTGATTACTGTTTATTATAATACAAATAGGCATAAAAATCTCTCTCTTAAATATTACAGTTAACTAGTTTGTTCAGTGGAGTATATTGTATTATCCTTTATTGGCTCATTAATACTGCACTTTATACTCCGATGATTATCTAAGCCGATTTGCCCTTAACCCTTTTGTCCTCTTTTTTTTCAAGTTGTACATATTACAAACAGAAAAGCGAGCAGCTCATCATACCCGTTCCTAAGGAGATCTTCTTAATGGTGGACACTTTAACGAAATGCTTATCTCAGAAAGTGAGTTTTTAAACTTTGTACTCATTTGCGGTTTTCATTTTCTTCTTCAAACAGTCTTTTATTTCATTACTGTTTGATCTTCTATTTCTTGTAAAGAGTCCCTTTATCTAACAATCTCTTTGCTTTGTTGAATTCTAACCTCGTAAAATAACATTTACTCTCTGTCATCTTCTTTCACAGTTCTTTTTTTCATTTTCAACTGGTGTTTTTTAGATATTTTCTCTATTTTTTTTTCTACTTTTTTCGACCGTTACCAGTTGGATGAGGTAAATCGATCGTTGTATATATCTGGCTAGTTTATAGTTTAGGCGAGGACGCGAAATTACGTTAGAGCCTCCACGCAATAAAGTGCCGAAATCGAATGGGGCTTGATGAGATTGCGTTAATGGGATGCTAACACCTCTTCCTCTTTTTAACCTCCATCTTTTTTTTTATTTTAATTTTTTATTTTAAATTTCACTAGAAGAAATCTTGTTTTAACCTTCTTTTATTGATGCCTTTGGATATCATAAAAAGAAATATTCCGATGTTATCTATTTACTTATCTTTTAATTTGCATAATTTACTTTTTCTGTTTTTATTTTATATAAAGAAAATTTTTATTTATTATCCATGACCTACTTTTTTTTATCATCCATTTTCTTTGGTCCTCCTTCTTCAATTTATCTTTAATATTTTTTCTTCTGACCTTCCCTTCCTGGGAGTAATAATCATTAAATTAATTATATCTACTTCCGCGCTTTTCGTTCTTTTCCTATTTCATATATATTTTTATTCAATTATGGAAGAGCGTTATAATTTTGTTCCTCTTTTCTGGGAAGCCTTAAATTATTTTTTATTTAGATCACTATATATGGAAAAAACATTTTTCCTTTATAGTAGCACATGATTAACAAAGAAAGAACAATTTCATTGAGCACTCAACTAGTCCTATACATTTTTGGAAACTATTTATGTTTCTGTATACATTAAATTGTAAAAGTCGTTTTTTTATTTTATTATCGTTCCCTAATCAAAAAATCACTTGATGGTGATATTCTCTTCTATTTGGGAAAATTGTTAATATACGCTGACCTTTAATTGTAACCTAAACAACTTTTATTATACTCGTGTACTTATTCTGCAATTTTATCATCAGAGCTGGGGGGAGGGAGGGAGAATATGCTAATTGTCCCCATTTGCAGCCAACATATTTCGACTCTTCATCGCCCAAACTTGGCAATTGGGGTTCAGATTTTATGACTATTGGCAAAATATTCTTTACATACTTTGGGTCGAGAAGTCAAAAATAAAAATATCTTTGCAATACTGAACCTTCTTCAAAAACTAATGAGATAATAGCTATATACCAATGCCCTTTTTAGATTTCTTGTCTAGTTTAGTAGAGCATGAGGTTTTAGACGTTTTATGAATGTTGAATTTGATACTGATGTTTCGAAGTGTAGAGAATTGAGGAAATAGAATAAATCTAGTTGTTATAATATATTTTTGTATGATATTATAAATAAGAAACGAAGATTAATAGTTATTTACTATTATTAGTTATATCAATTTTTCATTGATAATTTTATATTTCTACATCTTTATATGTTTGTATTCTAAACAGGGACTCTTTCCAAAGGAACCATCGTCTAAAAGAATGCAGGATGTTCGCTTGGCGATTGATACATGCGATAAGCCCTTATTAGGTAAGAGAAAATTTTTCGCTATAGGACCGTAAAATATGATTATATTAATCGAAGAGATGATCTAGATAAGAGTTTAAAGAGTTTCCGCCAAACAAACAAATCTATAGCAGCAATATTTTAAATTTATCATCTGTTTAGTAATAATCATTGAAAAATTAATTAACTGATTTTATCTGTAAACTAATGAATATCCCGTTTTTTGTGATAGAATAATGTAGATAAAATAGTAATTTATGTCTTTATGTCTTATTTTAACATATATTTTGTGAGAGCAATTTTATAAATAATTGTATAATAATACTTGGAATATTGACAATATAAACAGGGAGTATAATCTGAAATAAGCCCAGAACACTGATGGCCGCTTAAGTTAATGATCTAAAAGCGTCAAGCGTCTATTAATGTTGGCTGAAAAGTATCAGCAGCCTACGTCCCATCTCTTTTCGATGCTATGGTATCTAGCATTAGACGCCAATCCAGAAATTTAATTGAAAAGGCGCTAGCTTTAATTATCAGTTATACGGATTTGATATTAAATCGAGCTCTTTTCTGTTAAAAAGAAAACTTTTTCTTATTAAGTTCTAGCGAACGAGTAATAAATTGGAGGGTAATTAAAAGTCTCTTTAATAAGACAACTTTTGACAAAAAGGAGAAAAGAATGTAATTTCTTTTCATCTCCAAAAACGAAAAAGAAAGAATGTTCTTCAATATAGTATATTACTCAAAATATGAAGGAAAAAAAGCGTTTCTTGTACCTAATTAGCACTCAGGGAATGTCTAAACTATAGGACTTTTATTGAAATATTAGCTTTGACATTGACCTGTCATGTTTTCCTGCTTTATTGATTTTTTAAATTTAACCTAAATCGATGTGAACTTATAACTGAGAGTGGTCCTTTAACAAGACTCTTTTCCAGAGAAGATTACAAAAAAGTTTATATAGCGGTATGTTTTTATAAGATTCTTAAAGTATACAAGTTGTAACTTTCTACAGCTCCCATAAATCTTTCTATTGATCATAAACTATTAATGAGTAAAAACTGGTACCATGTGATTTAATATTCTTTCCATATTCACTTTACAAGGTACTTTTATGATCTCTAACTAATAAAGTTCACATTCTTATATTATAAAACTGTTTTTAGAATTCCTACTAAATATTCATAAACGGCTACTTTACAAAAGTAAACTGACTAAGCTAAAATTCCCAATGGTTTTCACATACAAAATTTATTTTAAATACTTCAATTCCATCTCGTATGGTTCCGTGAAAAGATTGAGGAGGAAGACCAAGATATATATATATATATATTAGTATATACATTAAAGGCTGGATATACGATTCTAGTAACACTTAAGAATAAAAGTCTTTTGGTTATGTGTACTGCATACTATTTTAATATATTGTAAAACATGTGCTATGTCATCCTAATAGCTGTGTGTAAAGTCTACAGTATCTATGCACATATATAAATAATATATATCAACATAAATTAAGTTTGTTTTTTGATAGATTATATCAAGACGGAAGATCCTCAAGCAATATCTTCGATGTTATTCGTTTTCCTTGAATCCTTACCCAATCCAATCATCGATGAATCCTGCTACGGTAATTTCATACAAGGTTATCAACAATTTACTCTACTCAAACAAGTTATCAGCAATATGAGGGAACCGAACAAATCAACTTTTCAATATCTTATCAAATTCCTAGCATTGGTGGTTGAAAAGAATAGTGCAACTGTTAAAGAACTATGTAAGTTTATTAAAAATTCTTTCATATTTTCTCCTTGTATTATCAAAGGTATATCTGGCCCCGTAGCGTAGTATAGATGTAGTGTATATATATACATATATTATATAATAATAAGGAATTATGAATGAGGATGTTGATAAAGTTAGGGAAAAAGGGAAAAAGTAAAAAAAAAGTTAATTAATTTGCTTATATTTCTAGTGTAATAGTTATATTAATCATTATATTTTATTTAACAGTTTCTTTTAGGATTAGGGTATAGCTATATATTCCAGTTAGGGATTTGGCGTGAAAAATTTGTTGCTTTCTACTTATTTTATAACGTTGAACGAGAAATCATTTGAATCATGTAGTACACGGTAATACGGAAAATTATCACACGAAAATAATAGAAATCCCTCAAGGAATAATATAGGAATACTTAATAAGAATTTCCTCTTCTTACTCTCTTTCAACAATATGGCGTCCGATTAAGGGGACAAGCAGTTTACTTCCAACAGTTTCCTTTTTTCTTCGGTTATAATAAATTTAATAACGATAATACGAGAAAATTCTCGAAGGAGCCGACGAAATAATTCGTTAACAGTCTTTTATTAGATGTTTCAAACAGTTTTCTTTAGCTGGTCACCCAAGCTAATTCCTATTTCTTTTATTCTATTTGTGAGTGTGACTAAAGGAGGAAGATTATTTAACTTTTCTTTTATTCTTTTGTCAATATTAATATCACGTTTATAAATAATTATACTGACATATAAAAAATGTTTAGTAAGCAAGTCATATAGATAAACTAAGCTTGATATTTATTTATTTATTTATTCTCTATACATAGATTAATAATTTAACTTCTCCTTAGAGAAATAGAAGCAATTATTACAGATACAATTGCCATTAATTTTTTTAACCACTTTACTGTTGAAAATAAACGACAATATCCACAGTGTGTGAGGAAAATCGATCGATATGCCTTTTCCTTTTTATCATTCGTCCATCCTTTCATTCTCTTTCTATCTATATCTATATGTATTGCTCTTATATTTGCTACACGTCTTTAGCATTCTAAGGAACATTAATTATAATATTTATAACAGAAGATTAAGATCAATCTTTAATTTTTTTTCTCTTTTTTTTCTCAATAGCCCAACTATTCGCCAATTGCTTCTTAAGAAAACCGAAAAAACTAGTTCTGGATATAAGCATGGCTGAAGAGGAGAAGAGAAAGGAAAAAATTATCGAATATTTTATTGATAAAAGTCGAAAGAGAGAATACTAGAAGAAAAATAATCAGTTTAGGGTAAAATCATAGTTGGAGCTATCCTTCGCTAAATAGGAGAAAAGTATGAGTTCTCTCTTTAATTATTTTTTTCGTGTCTAGTCGGAAAAGTTGCAAAGTATTTATTTTTATTTTTTCACTGTTGATTGGTGTAGATGCTAATTAAAATGTAATGATTAGTTAAAAGTTATGCTGTAGAAATGAGTAAAAAGATAAAATGTTTGCAATAATTGTATTAAAAAATATATTCTAGATGTTAAAAGAATACATATAAATCTATATATTAATATATATACAATGGTAAGCATCTCGAAATTTCCATAGACACTCCAAGTTATGAAAGTTATCTAACCTTTTCACCTAAATTTGTATATATGATCTATAACATCAAGAATTCCCCTATCAATTATACAATATCCAACAATATTCACTGTAGTATTCATACCATTCATTGAATATATTTGTTATACAAGTATATATATGTAGATATTACATAAGTTTCTCAACCATCGAAAACTTCTCAACTTAATCTAACATTCCTTGATTTTATATCTTATTGTATTTTCCATACTTTTCACTTGTTTACGGTGTGCATAGTATGTCTATGTATCTGTGTGTAGCTAAACAAAGTGTATAACAAGAATGAATCAATCGATGTATACAGTATATCAAGGATTTTATATATAGATAAATTTACAATATAGCTACATAAAGTTTAAATACGAATTACTGATTCTTTGAAAGTGTTTTCATTAGAATTTTCATGAATTGATGCTATATGCTTAATACGTATTGCCTAACTTACACGCTTGGGTAATAAAATAAGCGTAATTGGAATATTTATGATATTTATTTATAGTATCTTGGTAAATTACCATTAAGATTAAATACTTGGTTGGTTTTATTTGGTTCCTTTTTATGTCTATTGGTATTCTTTCAAGATCTATTTGACAATAGTAACTTTATTTAAAGCATCGTGTCAAAAAGATTCTAAGGCAAATATACCCTAGTATTTGACACCCTCTTCTCAACCAATCCCTCAGCTATAGGCTCAAATAATCGAGTCACGTGTCTTGAGCATTGAGCCAATGAATGCCGCCAGACGGCGAGTTGATAAACGGTGCTTTTGCTCAGTACGACTGCGTTCCGTCGTCCTTAAAAGAACGTTGCAATAAAGCGTCTCTTTTTTTTGTATTTCATCAGTGTTTCAACAGTAAGTTTCACGACAAGCTAAAAAAAACTTTGGATTAACTATAAATGGATTATTATCGATATTCTCCTTAAACCTCTAGCGATTTGTGTAATTGAGGACCACCCCACGTGGGACACTAACGCTTGAACTTTGACCCTCGATTCGAGAAGGTGAGTTCTTAGAGCATGTCAATTATGGAATACATGGAAAAACCATTTCTATTGTAATTCCGCAATCTGACAAACAATTTACATGTTGTGATTTTGTTTTTCCGATTATTATTTATAACAATTTTACAATTGTAAATTAGTTTTTCTTATATTTATATTTATCGACGTCATTGTAGATTAAAAGTTGCATATATTCGGTCTGTAGATAGTTTAAATATAGTTTTTAACGCCTGATGTTAATTAAACCAATGTAGTATTCAACAAAAAGAGAAAACAAGCAGAGAAATTTCTATACATACATATACATACATATATATATATATATATATATATATGAACTGCATTTAGACAGAAGCAGTCTGTAATTTCTTTATATAAAATCCTTGTTTATTTCTTCCATTAATTAGATTAGCCAAAAAAAGCAAGAAAGGTAGGAAATCAAAATAGAAAAGTAATAAATCTGTATCTCTTGCCAAATTAAGTGGATAATAGACAGAATAAAACTAGGAAATAAATCTGCAGGTTACATGGGAAGAGATAAATGCGTCAATTAGTCGAGCTGTGAATTATACCCATGAGTGAAAAAAACTAAATTCAAGGTACATAGCTAAGTTACTTGGAATAATTTGAATACACGACAAACATTTTGACCTAGATAAATTTTTTCAAGACATTATATAAATTAATCGTCTTAGGCGAAATATTAATATTTAAAATTAGCTAGAAAATTTGGGCCACGTCATTCTTGAGTTGTTTTATATTAAAAATTAACGTAGCAGGAAAAATCTTAACCATCTTGACAAATGGGTTAATTGCCGGTTTTCGCCTATTTAACATTTGATTTTTTCTCTGTATTCTGTAAAAACTGCTAGTTTCATAAGAAATTAATTAACTTTCCCATAATTTGAGGGGTTGGGAGGGGAGGGAGATGAAGGAGGTACAAGGGGAGTTGTAGTAAATGCTATTAATACAACTGTGGACAGCACGATTTGAGCACAAAGAACCATAGAAGTGAAGCTTTTCATAGCTGTTTGTCAAGTTTATCTCTCATATAAAGTAAAGTAAAGGAGGGATCTGTTGGAAAAAAATTAATGGCTAAGCATAAATGAAGTACCATTTAATGTATATACTACATATATATATAGTGTATACTGTATATTCTATACACAAGAATACATATCTATATTTTCCTCCAGTGCAGTTTTTATTGCGTAATCAATCTATTGTCTGTTTGATTTACATGAGGTATTTATGAAATGGAACATATAATTTCAGTATTTAATAATAGACTTGTGATCATACGCTGTTCGAAGTGTTAATAAGGTATTCCTTTACAAATTGCAGGATAGGATGTATAAGTTACTCCTCTAATCGTTATTCGATATGGTTTGCGGTTGTCCTTAGGGTTATTATTTAATTACATATTTTATATATTTATTTTATCTATTTAAATAAAGTAAAACATATGCTGAGTATTTCTCTTTGAAATCCATAGGTACCTACATACATATTTGTATAATGTGTGTATATTATATAATCTACAAGTGTAAAGCAATTAATATATATATATATATATATGTATATATGGTTCAAGGTCTCTGCTTCTCTTGATATAATATTTGACTCTTGTACTTGTATCGAATTTTTTTTGTTTATTATGTTATGTCTAGTAGATGTAGTAAGCAAGTGCTTAGCTAAAGGTATAAGCTAACACGAGCTTAGTGCAAAAGAATCAAAGAATTAAGACTTTCAGAGCCAGTTTGGCGAGTTTAAGAATACTTTTGGATTGGTTAACGCAAGGACCATTGGAAAGGAATGTTAGATAGGTTAGTAAGTAATCATAAATGTCTTATTTTTCGATAAATCCTATTGAAGTTAGATACTTTATAACGATTCGTTGCAACTAAACACCTGTTTGTCATTTAAGACGAATCATTGCGATTGTTTTACCCCTTTCCCCTTAGCAAAATACAGTATACTTCTAATAATCTTATTATTTATATACTTTATAATTCAAGCATTAAATTATAACAGGCTCGCTGGAATAGGAGAAAAGGAATTTTTCAGGAAGAAGAAGCTGAAAAGATAAGAATTTAGTTGGGTGAGTGTTATGACATCATTTTTTGTTTTCGTAGTAATGTTTGCGACGGTTTTACGTATTTGTTTTACCTATTTCGTTTGCGTGATTACTCTCTTATACATACATTCTATATACCATTCTTATATTAATTTGAGTTATATTAATTTGGCGTTTCTGTATTATAAATTTGGTTTTTCTATGGTATTTAGTCTATTTTTATGCAAAAGTTTGTCAAAGGCAAGGCTGGTATAGGTCTTCGTGAAATTGCGGTTGTTAATCGCAATTTTCGACGCCAGATAATTATTCCAGGTCGTATTATATGGCGAGTTTGATTAGCTCATTACAAGAACGCTAGACGTCTCTCTTTAGGAGCAGTCTCCAATGACGCTTGTTGTACTATTAGTGTCCAATCCTGGTTATTTATTATTCATCCCTTAGCTATAGGCCCATGTAGATGATACTTGCTGCTGTGTCGCAGAGGTAATTGCCTAAAACGGTCAACGTTTATTCCTTGTATGTATATGTAAAGACAGTAAATCTCTTGGAGGAAAGAACGTATGATTACCATGTAAATTTTCTTCCTATGCCCTTGTATATTTTTTAATTGATCAGCCTAAATAATTTCCTCTGATATGGCGCTTTTATAAAAACTTTTTATTTATACTCTTAAAGAAATTACGTATCTATCTTTCAGTATTACCGTCGAACTATATATAACCATTGCTTTATCTCCCTGCCACTTTTAAAAGCATTATACATTAGCGCTGATTTCAAACACAAAACCCTTCCCTCTTTTACCTTTAACACCATATTATCCCTTTTTAACTTTACGCCTCAAAATCTTTCGCATTCTCTTTTCACATACAATGTTTGGATTATTTCCTATACTTTTAAGGTAGAAATAGAAAGAAAGAAAGAGAAGGGAAAAGATAGACAGATAGAGAAAGTAAGTAAGAGAATTATAAAAGTTAATCACCTTACGCTTATTATTTGATAAGATTAACTAGTCAAAAGTATGTTTAATAAGAAAGTCGAAGACAAAGAGAATGAAACTTGGATTTTCTTTGTTATCTTTGAATAAAATATGTAAATTAACATTTAAAAATATACAAATTAAATAATTAATAGAGAAGAAAGTTATTTAGAATAGTTTTTTTTATTAAAAATAAATGAGGCAAGTTTTTTCCCTCTTTTTTTATCTTGGCTTAATAAACTTAATATTGCTAATTAAATCTCTGACATTTCCTACAAGTATACTAAGTGAATAAATCATTGTTATAATGTAATAATAAAGAGAGAAAGAGGAAGCGATATTTGTTTAAAACCATTTTTCTTTAGATAAGCACATACAGTAACTTGTGTATGGTATTTATGTATATGTTAATGTATATAGAAAATAATTAGAGAGAGTTTGTTGGACACATGGGATAGGAAGAAGATGAAGAGGCGGAGGAGAAGGAGGAGATAGAAAATTTTTGACATCAACAATAGACATTAAACTTTTGAATAGATGAGATAACCTCAGCGAAATATTTATATCTTGAAAGACATAATTAACTCTATAAATAATAGGTATGATTGACATAGCTAGAAGGTAAAAAAAAGCTGATGTATTTAGTGTAAATTGTCTAGTATATTTTATGTAGAACAACAGCTCTTGCAAACATAGCCTGAAGCATCACCCTTTTACTACGTCGCCATGCGTAAGTGTAAAGCTTCAGTACTTAATTTACTTAAATTGGAAAGGCATACAGTCGGTTGTAACGCTAAATCGATGGAAAAATTTCCCTCTTAATAAGGAAAATAATCTCTGAAATTAATTTCCACAAAACGGAAAACTGAGAAAAGTGACGCCGTATTTATGCTCAACTCAAAGTATATACTATATGTGAAAATTGTAAGTGAAAACCATAGTGCATTTCTATTCTAGGAATGGATTATTATAGAATTGTAGATATTTTAAAGATATTTTCGAATTTATTGTTGTTTTAAGTTATTCTATTCCAAACATAAAGAAACTTCTGCAATACCATGTAGTTTTCAATTGGCGTAACGGACGTCTAGTTAACTTTATCTTAAAATGCAGAGCACGATGTAAAAAAACGTCAAGAAGTGTAGCATAGAACCAAATTGTTACTTTTCGACGTTATACAAAAAAAAGCAAAAAATAAAAAAATCAGCAAAGTCAGTATCATTTAACCAGTAACTCTTAAAGTGAAACTCGTTGAAGCGGGAAGCGGGATCGCCTCGGTATAGTAAACATCCCGTAAAAGACAAAATATCTTTAGGCCTATATACATATATTTATATAAAAAAAACACTTCAATATAGGTATC